CCTCCTCCACAGCTGATCTCTCGGCAAACACTCGCCCAGATTTCCTCCAGTTTTTGTTTTACTTTGGTCAAAACTGTTCTTCTTGCTTGCTACACTGGCAATTGAAAGATTATCACACTCCTTCCATTTCTGTCATTTTTGTTCCACGCTTTGCACTTGATTACTCACGCCCTCTTTCCTATCTTGCGTCCTCGGCCACTTCCTTCCTTGTTTTCCATCTCTATTATTATCCAGGACCGTCCAAAAAAAATCTCGGCTCTTCCAACTATGAGTCGTCATTCTCATTCGATACACTCTCTCTCTGACGAGGAGAAGATGGGATTGCTCGACAACAGGTCTGTCTCCGACGTTGACAGTGACAGCGGTCGAGATGATCAAGACCACCATCGGCTTCACTTTGAGAAGTGGGCAGGCCCCATTCTCGCTCCTGTGGACTACGTTCGTTCAACCCCTTGGAGAGTTTACCTAGTTCGCTTCGCCTGGTTCTTCGTTCCCAGCTATCTTCAGGGACGACATGCTCGGGAACAGATTCGGCCAGCAAAACTCGCTCCTACAGCCTACCTCGACGGCATGCGAGGTGTTGCCGCTCTTGTCGTCTTGTTCTGTCATTTCTTTTACCAAGCATTCGTCATCGCCAAAGGCTGGGGCTGCGACGATGCCCACTACAACATACTGAAGCTCCCAATCATCCGATTGTGGTATCAGGGTCCTCCTGCTGTCTGTCTTTTTTTCGTCATCTCGGGATATGCCCTTTCCTATCGTCCTCTCAAGCTCATCCGGAGTAGGAACGCTCAGGACTTCTCAACTACCATGAGTTCTCTAGTGTTCCGACGAGGCATCCGTCTATACCTCCCAACCGCTATCTCCACCCTCATGATCCTCTCCTTCATCCGCTTGGGTGTTTACGAATGGACGAGAGAGTTTGCCATGGACCGTACTTTCATGAGGAACGTCAGAGAACCTCATCCTTCACGGCTCTCTACAAACTATGCTCAGTTCGCGGATTGGGCAAAGGATATGTTCAACTTTGTCCACGTTTTCGGCTGGAAGACTCATGGCGGAAGCACCAGTAGGTCAAATTATCCACTTCAATAAGCCCTACTAACCGTTCTGCCAGACTATGACCAGCATCTGTGGACCATCCCTGTTGAGTTTCGTTGCTCGCTGTATCTCTTCCTCACCCTCATAGCCACTGCTCGACTTCGAAGCCAGTACCGATTCATCACAGTTGCCGGCATAATGCTCTTCACCTACCGAAACTCGCGTTGGGAATTTCTCATGTTCCTGTGCGGCATGGTACTGGCTGAGATTGATCTTATCCGCGGCGCCCACGTTTCACCTCCTGCCCTCCCCATTGAGGAGAAGACCCAGTCTAATCACCCCCGTTGGTACCAGAGCGCTTTCTGGGCAATTTTCAGCGTCGCAAGCTTATATCTTATGAGCCAGCCCGATGAGGGTGGTGATCGAACACCGGGCTGGATTTACCTTACGTCGTTGATTCCTAAGTGGTGGGCGGCCGAGAAGTACAGATACTGGCAATGCACGGGTGCTGTCATGTTTGTTCTCGCAGTGAGCCGCTCGGCTAACTGGCAGCGCGTATTCAACTCGGCTTTCGTGCAGTACTTGGGCAAGATTTCCTATGCCCTTTATCTTATGCATGGACCCGCCATCCATGCAGTTGGATATCATTTCGAAAAATGGAGTTATAGCGTGACGGGCATTGAGGGGCACCGCTTCACTGCTGGATTTGTCCTGAGCTCGTTCTTTGTGATTCCAACTATATTCTGGTGGGCGGATATATTCTGGCGGGCTGTCGATATCCCCACGGTCAAATTTGCAAAATGGTGGGAAAACAAGCTCACTGTTAAGTCGGACTAGGGTTCATGGCACCAGAAGAAAACTGATTCGTGATATTCGGCGTTTGAGGTTAGCGTCTTGCAAGGTTTGGTTCTACAGAGGCTGGTCTTCGAAAGAAGACCTATTCCGCGGCGTTTGGGTGGTTGATTTCTATCACACAAGGGACAGAGGAGGGAGTCCATTTTTGATCCCGGGAGAGGTCTATAAGATGTCTTGACTTGGTGGTCCAGACGTTCTATTCAGTTGCTAAAACAATGCCATATTAAAAGAACTGTTAGATCATTTTGCGTGCGAATATAGGTGCAGAGAGATCAACAAAATACAACTTTTATTTCTAGCTTTATCACGCGTACATCTATGTCTACCTAAACAATTCCCCAAACTCCTGGGTCCTCTTCTAGATGACATTTCGTGATAAATAGGGCCGGCCATCAGTCATCATTAGGTCGTGCATACACCTGTTTGCCTGCCACCCATGTCTCCTTAACTTTCAGAGTCCGTAAATCATCTATATCATAAGACTCAATAGGTTTATCGAGGACCACCCAATCAGCCAAAGCACCCTCACGGATGACACCAGCGCGACTATCAAGAAAGGCTCCATAAGCAGGTGCTCCCGTGAATCCCCACATCGCTTCATCTAGGCTCAATGCCTCTTCCGTATGCCAGCCATCAGGGCTATCGTCTGTTCCACGACCAGTATGCGGGCTTCGACGGGTTACGGCGGCGTAGATGCCCTGGAATGGGTTGGGAGGCTCGACAGGGAAATCACTACCTAGAATCGGATGGGCTGGAAGCACAGAACGCATACGGTAGGCGGAGGACGAGAGACGGTCTTTTCCGAGACGAGCAAGGGCGTACTTCATGTCCGATGTTGCGTGTGTGGGTTGGATAGAGGGAATGATGCCGAGAGAGAGAATTCGTCGTTGGTCATCTGGGTGAATGATTTGGGCGTGCTCAATGCGAAAGCGATGACGAGCTTGACAAGCAGCACGTGCTTCAATCTGGTCGTGAGACTCATTTGTGGATTGGCCCAGGGTCGAAAGAGAGGCACCCTGAGCAGTAGCCTCGCTAAGACATTGCTGGACAAGAGCCGCCTCAAGAGCGTCAAGAGCGTTACGGTTGGCAAGATCGCCGATGGCATGGATATTGACCTGGTAGCCGTCGGCAGCCCAGCGCTTGGTCACGTCAGTAAGAGCAGAGGCGTTGATAAGGAGCGAGCCTGATGTCCACGGGTGATCTGAGTATGGGTCGAGCATGGCGCTGCCCCAACTTCCGAGAGCACCGTCTGTCCGAGGTTAACCACAATCTTAGATGATATTGCTAGAGACACATACCCGCAAATAGTTTGACACTCTGAACTGCAAAACGATCATCGTCTCGAGCAAACTTGACAGCTTCCTCTGGGCAGTACGAGTTACGTTGAGGGCATTCCAACATTGCATAGACGCGAAGAGTCCAGTCGTCTCCTGAAGAGAGCTCGTTGTAAAGATTCAAAGTATCTGGAGTTGCTCCAGCATCGTGCATGCCAACAAGACCAACTTCGTTCAGGCGCTTCATGGCAGTCTTGACTGTACGAGCCTTGAAGTCTCGGCCCGGTTGGGGCCAAATGGAGATGACCAGGTCCATGGCGTTATCGCAAAAGACACCAAGGCCAGGGTCCCGGATGATCTCACCTCCTGGGACAACTTCGGGGAGCTCTGATGGGAGGAGATCGAGAACAGGCTGGGAAACCCAAGTGCAGTGAACATCAATGCGATCAAGCATGAGATAGATGTTGCTGAGCTCTGGATCCTGCGTAATATCTGCCTATACTTCTTAGTATTTAACGGGAAACTATTGGATATGAGTATCTTACAGCTGTAGGCATACGCCCAAAAAAGGTCTGATCCCATCCAACTCCGCGAACCCAATTATCTTTAGATCCAGCTCCAGGGTTGGCAGAAATATAGTCTTTGATCCTCGTACGCACCTCCGCAAGAGTTTGGGCACCGAACAAATCAACAGAGTGGAGGAACTCCCCGTACTGAAGTAAGTGACCATGTCCATCCCAGAGTCCTGGAATCACATAGCCATCTATCATTGACTGATCAGCATCTCGTGGACCAACAGCAGTAAAGATGCCATTCGCAACTGTGAAACATTGAGCTTCAGCCTGATCAGAGTCATGTGTTCGGATGGAGTTGTAACAATATGTTGCTGGATCTTCCTCGTCCGAATCTGTGAGTGGTTGTTGAAGGCGGTATGCAACTGCGAAGGCGACAACTATGAGGGGCAGGACGAGGCCCCATCTAACTAAAGGGCCTGTAACAGCCATTGTCGAACGTGTGAGTTATAATTGAACTACTACTCCTGATATAAATAATAGAACCCAGTTTTGGGTAAAGGCATTGGATCGTTTAGATATAGTGATTGTTGGGATGATGGGGGAGCAACGATTTGATAGCTCCATGTTATCGATAAGAATTTGGATTGATCTTTGTGGGGAAGTTGCATGGCACGCTTAGAGAGGTTTGCGTTTAAAAGTCTGATTTAAATACACATCATAAAAAAGAAAATATTATTTCTTTATAAGGTCTATCTAGAATCATCATATATACTGTCAACTTACTACTTGCAAAAGATTTGTGTCAGCCAGAGATCCTTGCCCCGTTGTATCTGGATGCCTGAGCTTACCCCAGAGTCTCAGCTCTCCACATTAATTCATACCTTAATTGAATCACCACCCCAGATCCTCTAAGCTCTGGTTGATATCATAACTGTGAAACCATGTGATATTCTTTCAAGGGGACACAAATGCTGCAAATCGCAGCTCTATGGCTCGCTCTTAAACACCGAGCTTCACTGTTCTTCCAATGACAGGCAAAAGAGACTGAGAGTCTATGTTTGTGATGACTTGCAATGACCAGTAGCTGAATCCCGGCAGAAAAGATGCTGCCGGGCCTGATACACTGAGTACCTATCTCTATTTCCAGATGCCTAAACTTGCCTATATAACCATATGGCACTGGCAAACTTGGTCCGGCAGTGTCAGCTTGGCTCCTTCGTAAGCTTCCTATTCATCTCTATCACATCAACAACAGGAACGCTAACCGTCGTCTTTACAACTTAGCCATCTAAACAAGAAAGGAGAAAAACCAAACATGGCTCTCTCGCGAGCTGACCTCGAATCCCTCGTGGCTGTTCACGTTCGAGAGCCCATTCCAGCCGACACCCTCACCACTGCTTTCAACTCTAAACCTTTCGTCCCTACTGAATCGATTATCAATCTCCGCGATCTAGGAGCTGTTCCTGGTAGCGCCATACGTCCTGGGCATATCTTCCGTTCTGGAATGCTCGACGCCGCAGCCGCCGACCCAGAGGCTATGGCTTGGCTCGCTGCCAACGTCAAGACTGTTTTTGATCTTCGCAGCAAGGAAGAGCGAGCTGCGTATCCAGGCCCAAAAATACCCGGTGTCAAGTTTGTCTTCTGCGAGCGTGTTGCTGAATACCCTCAGCCTAGTCCCGCCGACTTTTCTGTTGATGACGGCAGCACTGCTTGGAGGGTGCAGCTGATGGCTGTCCTAGCGGCGTACAAACCTTCTATCCGAGCTGTCCTCGAGCACGTGAGGGATAAACCGAACGAGCCCTTTCTTTTTCACTGCACTGGTAAGAAATCAAGTTTCTGTTTTAAGGAGTGACACTAATTGTAAAACTGATCAATAGCTGGCCGTGACCGCACAGGCGTCATGGCAGGGCTCCTTCAGACCCTTGCCGGTACCAAGCAAGAAGACGTCATTTTTGATTACATGCTATCACGAATCGGAATTGAGCCAGCCCGCGAGCGTCTACTCGTGTTCATCTTGGCAAACATTGATGTGAAGGACACTGAAGAGCCTGGCTTTTGGAACATGGTTAGCCTACGCCCGAGCTTTTGGAAGGCTTTTGTTGAAGCTGTTGAAGCCGAGTATGGAGGATGCGGTGGCTACGTGAAGGGCCTTGGGTTCTCAACCAAGGATTTGGAGACGATCAAGAAGAACTTGCGGGCTTAACGATGCCATGGCCGATGCTACTGAAGGTTAGACAGAATCGTCTTGGATATCGATTAAGTTGGCTGAAATGAGGTGTTCCACTGGACAATGTTGGGACCCTTATTGCGTTTAGGTAAGATACGTCGAGTTGATCACAGATATGGCTCAGTGTCTGCCTCCCTAAGCAAGTTGGGAATATTGGATATTCCCTTCTAACCCTGTCATGGTTGATCCTCCAGCCCATCTCGATCTTGCTCATCGTCATTTCATCTTGGAATGTTACCTTATTGGCACAATAAATAATTAAGTCCTATTAATAGAAGTAAAGATAACCAACTTGCACATAGTCCTCTCTCAACTTCGTGCATTCAGTCATTTACTATGTACGACTGAGTACCTTATCCGAAATCTAATGGAACACCCCAAATCATCTGCAGCCCTATGACATCACATCCATCATCCCCTGTCTGGGAACCCGTTGGACCCTGCATCTTGAACAAGGACCCACTACCCGCCTACCAATTAAACTTCATTGCATCCCATTTAGTGACGTTTCAGTGTATCCCTAAAACGTCAATTCCGCCACTATAGACCAAGAGCCGATTCGCTCTCTACGTGTGTTTCCAAGTTTTCCTCCTCGTTCAGGGTCTTGTGGTCATTTCCTCTTTCAGGGTCCAAGTTAGAACTGTATCATTTCTTTTGGATCTGCCGATAACGAGAAGCGCTGACCAGGTTTCCATACATATTTCATCAGTGATCGTAATAGGTGATGCAATAATTCTTGGCCAAACATGGTTATACGATCAAGTACGTTATGTTGCGTAACCATTCAAATGTGTATATAATATACTGTTGCAGCCGCTCTCAACGTCTATATCAAAATCATCAAATACAACAAGCCGCAAAAGCACAAGCACAAACACACACTATTGACTTACACATTCCAACACACGTTAAACACTTATCTGTATCCAACCTACCATACAATAGACCATCAACATGCCTCTCACACGAACTCACCGTCACACCGCTCCCCGTCGCTCCATCTTTAGCACCCGTCGCCGGGCTCCGGCCCATTCTCACCGTCATACAACAACCACCACTACCACTACCACAAAGCCCCGTCGCCGCGGCATGTTTGGCGGCGGTGCTGGTCGACGAACTCATGCTACCACCACTGCACCTGTTCATCACCACCAGCGCCGACCTTCTATGAAGGACAAGGTCAGCGGTGCCCTCCTCAAGCTCAAGGGAAGCTTGACTCGTCGACCTGGCGTCAAGGTATGTTCATTCTAACTGCCCTTGGGTCGATGGTATACTAACTCCATCAAAGGCTGCTGGCACTCGACGCATGCATGGCACCGATGGCCGTGGCGCGCGCCACCGCCGCTATTAAACATCTTAGGCAACTTGATTTGACAGTGGCTACCAGGTAGACTGATGTTACAGGAAATCTTGGGAATCAAATGGAGTATGGAATAACGGACAATGAACTTATACACAAACATGTACGATTATGATAGCGTTGATACCCTCTACTGGGAGTTGAGAAGAATTGTATGATCTGCTATACTGCTACAAACAAGCATAAATCTGCCCTGCCAGTGACTTTATCTATCACAATCTCACAGCTCGACCTGGCTACATAGCCCTTGGGCCTGCTTCTGTTCAAATACATATAAAAATGGTTTTTGTTGTTTTTGCCCCGTCCTTGACTACACTTGTGCCCGCGTTCTCATGGGCTTCCATCACCGTTCTGTGCGATATTTCTAGACCACTGCAGAGGTTTAGTGACTATGGTCGTGTGCGGCAGACTTGTTAATGTAACTCGTCCACATCAGAAGGAGAAACCCCAGCTGGGCGATAAGGAGGCGCTAACCGAGTATCCTTGTGCAATTTGACCGAATTTTGTAGCATATAGGGGCTTCGTACCAATTGGAGCATTGATGTTGAGGAGCCTCGGCGATGGTGAACTTTGCCGCATGCTGGATCAACCAGCTCGTCAATATTGGTGACAGATAAACGAGCCAAGCTCAATCTCTTCCTTTCGTATGCCTTCAGGGATGGGCTCGCATCTATACATTCCGTTCCAAGTTCATCCACATCGTGCTTGACAGGCTCAGAGACACGAACATGAGTATACTGCTGGAATTGAATTTCCAACCTTTCCAGAGCGTCTTTGCTGGGTGATGGGTGTTTCTTCATCCCATTAGAGGCCTGCAAGTCTCCAGTCACTTTCTCCCAAGCTTGTCGAGCTTGAGTGACCGACTTAACCAATACATCGTCACCAGGATTCAGAAGCTTATGGCTTGAAGGATAGTTTTGCCCGATTTCTTTCCGGTTAGATGTTGACGAAGCGCCCAGTTTCTCATTAAAATGCTTCTGTGTTGTCTGTATGCCGCTGGCCGCGGAGCAGCAACCACTGCTCGATGTTGATGGTCGATCGACTCGAACCCGAGGTGTTGAAGACCCGACTGGTGTACTGTTCAAGAATCTATCTTCAATGTTGTCGTCGAATCCCTTCTCAGATTCGAATGGATTGCACAGCGAAGGGAGAGGCGTCTTTTGACTATCGTTCGAACCCTTCAGTCGGTTTTCGAAAGTTGTTAGAGCTCGCCTATCAGCTCGTTCAGAGAATGGATCTTCCACAAGTTTTCCGATTCTCAGAGATTTCCCATCATCCGCTAGTGGTTTTCTGTTTACGCGACCTCCAACGATTTGCTGGACCTTGCTTTTGTTGAGGTTGTCCCCTTCATTCAAGCGGAGCTCAATGTTACTAATGGGAGATGCGTTCTCAGTTGATGCATGTGAGCGAGGGGTAAGAACAATGCTCCCTTGAATCCACCTATCGCCTTGTTCATCGCCTGACGAAGGTATGGCTGGAGTATGTTTTTCTGCGTGATTCAAGCCTTTTGGATGGAAACGATCCCATGCATTCGAGACCTTTGCACGCACTTTCGACGGTACCATACGCGTAAATCTTGAGGTCGAGCAGTTGGCTTGTTGTGGTGATGGCTTAAGTGCATTGGTAGCGGCTAGCATAGCGGCCAGTTTTCCATTGATTTCTTCACCAGCACACCGCTCTTGGATGTGAGGAATCTGACATCCTTCTGCAACACGGTTTCTCGCATTCTTGTCAATGGCATTGAGCGCCACAGGTGTTGGCGCTGCGAAATGCTTCGTGGGGTGAAATTTGAGGGGGTCATAAGACAGCGATCTCGTAGGCCTGTGGCGGCGTTGTAGACTTATGCTTGGTCGCCTTTGTGACGTATCCATGCGTATCCCAGTTGTGGCAGCTCGTCTAGGAACTCTTCCCAAGGCTTTTCGTGGCGAGAGCTTGCCCATGCGGGAGTTCTGACGGTAATTATCAAAGGCTCTAGGTGGTGCTTTGACAGGTGAAGGGAGGTCCAGCGGCGAGATGGCTTGGATGCTCGCAACCGAAAGCGATTTCCTTGGTGTAGTGGTCCGGCGCTTTTTTGGAGACGAGTTCTCTCCTTCATTTGAGAGGCGCTCTGGGGTGGAATCATCTAGTAACCAGCTTGCCATTTCGTCCGCAGTCTGCAGATCAACCATTGCTCTCTTCCGGGATGCTTGCTTGGGGCTATGGCTCGTATGGAACTCTGATTCTAGAACAGTTAGGAATTTACCCGGAGGGCATATGGGATAACATACGCGGTCGATCAGGCAGTAAAGGTTTTGTTATGGCTCTTTGGCGACGTGTTCCCAGGGTCCTTAGAATACTTCTGTTTCTCTTCTTACCGTATGTTATGGTAGCTGGCATCGTTGGTGTTTGATGTAATTAGAGTGTAGGGAGTGAGATGAAGTGAATGGGTGGCTCTACCCAGCGGTGATGAGTGAAAAGAGTGACTGTAGTCAGTTCAGTACATCCGTTAAGAGTGAAAAAAAAAAAAAAAAAACCCCCCGGAGGATTCGCAAGGAGACAGTGATCAGCGAATGCGGTTGAAAGTTTGTCGAAATATGGTCGGAATCCTTTATCTGTAGTATGTCACTGAAACACCTTCATTTTTCAGCCAAAAAGGACTCGTCAGGTCCAAGTATGAGAGACGTGATCGTAGAATGAGGTTCTAAGAGTTTGATTGTGAAAGCTGAAAAATTTGTGAGCGAGGGAGTCGGGAAAGAAGGAGAGAGGGAGGCTCATTTCACATGTGCCATACCTAAGGTAGGCACCTATGCCGGGAAATGGGAATTGGAGTTGCAGGCAGATAGGTAAGGTGGTAGCTAGGCGGGATAGGAGCTGCCTGAAAAAAGAGTTGTGGAAGAAAGTCAAGTGAGATGCTACAATACCGATCGGGAGTCGATATCACTGCCAAGCAGTGCTCGCAACAGTTGGTTTCTTTGGGCAGCTCCCTTATATTGGACACGAGCGGACCTGTACGGAAGCCTTTCTTGAATTTCTTAATGTGGAGATCTAAAGAGAATCAGGGTGATACCTCTGTATGAAGTCGGCGAGAGTAAAAGCACGCTCCCTCCAAGTTTCTGACCAGCCACTTGCAGCACAAGCGTACAATGGCCGTCCTACGTCAAGATGCATAGTACCATGTCGCCTCTTCGCTCTTTCCTGAACAGAGTTTCAATATGAAAACCACCATGCAATGTTGCACTGCAGATCATGTTCCAGATGCGATTCGTCAATAGTAACTCAGAGCCATGCTACCCCTGATTTAACATCAAGCAACTTAGCAAGGCGAGAAATGTTTAAGAACCACATAGAATTCCTATCATGGAACCGAGTATACTAGGCCTCCAAGACATGAAAGGCTTACTGAATCATTCCTGGCTTGTATTGTGAAGTGTTCAGACGAACTGTGGTGGAATTTATTTACTCGATTATTCTTAGTTGTAGGTTGTCTTCACCAACTACCTACCTAATCGATGATAGCCAAATGTAGCTACATACGCATGTACGGCGAAGCTGACCAGATATTCGATACAATAGCCAGCTTCAGAATTAGGTAATTATAGCTTGAGACAGTCCCCATTCTTCTGCTCGTACAACTTGGTAATCTCATCCTCAAGACATGGCCCGAGACTTGGGGGCTCAGACAATGCACTCAAGTCCACAGAACTTTACAAAATCGTTGAATGCTTTATGACCGTCCGAACCACTGTTTCGAAACGAGTCACTTGCCTTGCAGAATGAAAGATTATGATGAGAAAATCTTAGTGATTGCTCTATACCTATCTTCAAGGCTAAGGTGTTGAGGTAGCACAACTGTCGTCCATGAAGAAACACGTGATCCCACTGCCACCGAAGTGATGTGTGGCTTAGTGCGGATCAGAATGTGGCGCAATCACTCATCATCGTCACCTCGCCGAACCTCCAGAAATTTCTCTCGAACGACGGGTCGACTGCTACCGAACGAGTTCGGTGGAAAACGGCAAGATAACCTGATTACGGTTTGCAAATCCATTATTAAGACTCACGATGTTCTGATCATGAATCTGGCTGGTTTCCCGCATCTTTCAATTTCTTGACCAACACATTAAACCCGAAAGCTCCGACCAGTTACGATTAATTATCGCCTCTCATCCGTTCCGGCCGATCACGAAGTTTCTCAACCACGTTCTCTTCGACTGTAAACCACGAGTCAGGAAGACATTGGCTTTTGTGACTAAAGCGACCTCATTTAGTCGGTAAACATGTTAAGACAACCTGTTCGCGGCGTGCGTGCGCCGTTACAGGCCTTCAGCCAGGCAGCTCAACAGGCAGCCTGGAATGGTGCATGGAGAAGACTCTTCACATCACAGGCGCAAAATAAGACCGCGCATCAGCTTCTGAGATGGAAGGCCATCCCTTGGGGTGGTATGATGGCCAGGCTGAGGAGTGCTCGCTTCGGGATCGGTTCTACGACAACACCAGGCATGCTCCAGGGCGTGTTGAGGCGTGGTTTTCGATTTACCACAAAGCGCAAGACAAACAAGGGGCCGGCCGTTGATCAAGCCGAGGAACCAAAGGGCCTCACCGCCAAACTCAAGAAGCTCACAAAGGAGTACGGCTGGGTGACCGTTGGCGTTTACCTTGGGCTGACCGTTCTCGACTTCCCATTCTGCTTCCTGTTTGTTAGAATGGTCGGTGCTGATAAAATCGGTAAGATATTGCCGCGGCCTCACCCAGATCCGTCAACGAGGTCGTGCGGGTCTTTGTTCTCAGTGGGTTGCTAACTGGTGCCGCTGGCGCAATTAGGCGAGGTTGAACATCGTGTGATGTCGTCAATCAAGCAAATGATTCCCGATACTGTTCGGGAGGCCTGGCACACCTACTGGCAATCGTTCAAGAAAGCTGAGGCGAGAGCCCTTGGCGATGACGATATCAGTGACAAGATGGAGATGGCCACATGGGGTGTCGAGAAAGCCGAGGAGCGCAATCGCACCGATGCCAGTGAGTACTATCATTAGATTTTGCCCCTGGGCGCATGCAGTAGATGCTTCCCCTCGCCCCTAATTGCTCGTGATGTGTGGGAATTACAGAACGCTTGCCCAGTTGGTGAGAAAGGCTAACGACTCAATCTCTGCGACAGGTTTAGCAACTCAGCTGGCGCTGGCGTACGCCATTCACAAGAGCTTTATCTTCATTCGAGTGCCGTTAACGGCCGCCTTAACGCCCAAGGTCGTCAAGATCCTTCGATCATGGGGCTATAAGATCGGAAAGAAGAAGGCTTAGATGTTGAAGATGGCATCATAACGGTTCGAGACTGGAAACCCAGAAGCCTCCAAACACAGAAACGTTGCATTTCTGAAACGCTTGGCTTGGAGTGTTAGCCACTTACACGGTATTTGTATAATTAGTGTAGTTATTGGTGTTGGCTGGAATTGTTGATAGATAGACTTGATTGTATAGTACAACTCCTTACTTCTGAAGCACACGGGCATTTGTTTCCTGTGGCTGAATCACACGGGATGAAACATCTGGGCCTCGGACAGATCGAGCAAATTCGGCTGCACCGAGCCAGTGATCAGCCAACAAAATTACTGTTGTTAGATGCGTATTCAGGAACTGGCTTCGGATGGCATAAGCCATTGAACTCTAAGACGGAGGCGTCGAATGGGGGTGACCTGCAACATACAATAGGAAACAGGCGTGAAGAAGCCCAGACTTTGAACAATGGTCGTAGGAAGCTTGGCGTGCCTTTCGTCCTGAGGAGGATAGTGCGCCGATAGATCTGCAACCGCAACGTTTTGAACAACGCCATGTGTTCCAATGGGGCTTTGTTTGAGATTCTCTCGAGATGGCGGCTGTAACTCCAGAATGGGCCTCGAAACGCCAAGAAATTCACTGAGCAGCGGGGCGTCAATTGTGGACAACAGGAAGAAGAGGGCGGCTAGAAGTTCTGGAAGGGCCGTTAGTTGTGGATTTGGCAGCCTGTCTCAACCATGTTTGACCCACGACGTACGATTCAGGCTCAAGAGTGAGTTGTGTGATTGACTTTGCCCTGGCCGATGTCATAGCAAAGACCGAGCGAAATGCGAAAGGATCCTCATGATTTCGGGGATCTGTAAAAGACTGGAAAGAAACCCGTTCGGAGGAAGTGGGGATCTTCGTTGGTGCGAAAGTAAAAAGATCCTATTGTCTCTGAATATCCAGAACTGGAGTTAGTCCCGGGCGCTCATGTTTCTGTTAATCCATGCGTGACAGGTCAAGAAAGTCAGGGTTCAAATTCAAGGTTCAGGTAACGTTGACCCCCTGCAGCAATCAGAGAATTGGGGCGGGCTTTAGTGAACGGGAATAACGGCTAGTTAAGTTGGCGATTGTTTCGAGTGCCTGACTTTTAGCGGTGGGGACTTACCAGGGTTGGCTTTGTTCCGCGGTTTTCGATAAGGTGGGCTTGATGAGATGCATGGAGACTTATGATTGAGCATTGACCACTTTGGAGTTTGGAGTTTGGAGAAAAACCTGCCTTTTACAGGCTCACTCCCTCGAATTCCTGAATTTCCCATTCATCGCCTTCCATGAGGCACAGCATACGCACATGTACTATGAATGTATGTACGTTCATGACCTAATCGGCGCCAAACAGCGGCTCCGAGAAGCGGGCCTGATAGTGTGACCAGCTGTTGGCCTTACAATTTTTAGACGCACGCGCGATGTCATTCACCGTTCTCGTTCTCGTGATTCAAACCTTGATTTGGGTTTTTGGTGTTTTCCCCCTACTCTTTTTTCTTTTCTTTTCTTTTTCTTTTTTCTTAGCCCAAGCCCTGAAACCCGGGCCGTTGAGATGCGTTGTTTGCTTATTGTGACAGCCCAAGATGGTAATCAATTCGCTGTCTGTGAGATAAATACATGGTCTACCGTAATAGAAAAGCCAAATTAAAATGAAAATCGAGATGCCTAAGTACGGATAGATGGCAATCAACTATGCCTGCGATTGCCTGTGCAAGGGACCCTTGCAATGATCAACCCAACGGCTCAAACAAAACGTGGAGCATCCAGTTCACGTACTACGTAGTAAAGGCTTAGCAAGTAAACAGGGAGAACAATTGGTGCTTGACAATAGAGTTTGGCGATGAAGCAGCGGTGGACACACCTAACACAGTAGTGGACGGTTCGTGGAAATTGCATGACAGGGCGAGTGGAACTCAAGATAACGTCCGTCACCCACAGACCGGCCACCCCTACAGACTGGCCACCTTGGCCAAAACACCAAGAACTAGATATTATAATTAATTAATTAATTATCTTAATACTATATTTTTTATATTAAATAAAAATTTAGTTAGTAAATATTTAAATAAAATTAAGTATAAAGATCCTTAAGTTTTAATTTCTAGACCTTATTTATTATTCTTTTTAGTTATAAAGTCTTTTATATCTATTTATAAGCCTTTTTAATTATTAGAATCTTTATAAACTTAATATTTAGGTTATAAATAACCTTTTTATACTATTTTAGTTAATTTTCTTTATTTTCCTTTTAAAGAATAATTATTTCTTTATTTTACTTCTTAATCTTAAAGTTATAGCAGTTTAATTAACTTCTAATCTTCCTAAATAGTAGCCTAATAGTTAAATCTTATATAATAAAAGCTAGGATATGCTCTAGAGCTTGCTAAAGCTATATAGATAACTAGGGAGTCTTTAGGAGACTAGAATCCTGCTTTTTAGCTGGCGAATTTACTATAGCAGTAAGAGAAGCTATCTCTATAACTATTAGGTTTATTAAGACCTTTGCCAAATTAATAAGCTATAATTTAGTAGCTTTAAAGCCAGCTATTGCATTAGACTTTATAATAGCTTCTTTCTAAGCCTTATTATAAGTATATAAAAAGGTAATCTTATTAATATAACTATTATTAGTAATAGAAGCGAAATCTAATAGCAGTTAATAATATGCTCTCTTTAAAGGGCTAAAGATAGTAATATCTAGTAGCTATAGGATATAAAAAGAGTAAGCAGGAAGAAATAGTAAATATATATTATTATTAAAATATTCTTAAAGGAATTCTTTAGTTATATAACTTCTATAGCTATTAAGAATAAGAAGTTAAGGTTTATTCTTATTCTTAGGTATTATTAATAAAATAAAGACCTTTCTTAATTAAATTAATATTAGTTTATTACTTATCTAACCCTTCTTATTATAGGCAAATTCCTAATTATTTAAGAAGTCTAAATCCTTAGGGAAATATTATTATTAAATTATTTTCCCCTTAAAGATAACTATAAGTCTTAAGACTTTCTTAATTATTAAAATATACTTAAGAATTATAATTTAAATATAAAAACTAAACTAATAAATAAATACTAACTTCTTATACTTATAGCTAAGGAATAAATTATTTATTCCTATCCCTTTTATTATTCTAACTTTATTAATATTATATCTATTCTTTTACTTAACTATTTATATTACTAGTATTATTAATAATATAAAGAATACCTTTATAAGTTTAATAAAAGCTTTATAATATTAGTTATAGTTAATTTTCTTGCCTTTTAAAGTCTTAATATCTTTATTTTAACTTAAAAAGCCCTAAAGCTAGTTCTTTCTAATGCCTTTTAGAAAGCCATTATAAATAGTAATCTTACTAGCAAACTCCTTAACTTACTAGTATAATATAAGGTATCCTAAATTAGCTTAAATAAGAATCTAGTCTCTTAAATGCCTTTCTTAAATATTAGAGAGCTTTTACTGCGTTTTTTAGGCTTCTCTTAGTATTATACTTCCTTTAATCTAACCTTATAAAGTAAAATAGTTAATACTATAAGCTTCTATTACTTTATTTACTAAAACTTTATTTATAACTATCTAAAGCGCAGCACTTATATCTTTTTTAGTAAAAGAAGGCATTCTAAATTAATTAAAGTTAGTTTAAAATTAATTAGAATTAAATTAATAGAGTTATAGCCGTTTAAAGTATATATAATTTAGGTGGCTAGGTAAAAAATGAGGTAGCCAGTCTGTAGGGGTGGCCGGTCTGTGGGTGACGGACGTTAATGAATGGTTGTTCAAAACTGACAGTTTACAATCACAACGTCAGCAGAAACTGAGAAAAGCGTCTGGCTCAACCATCAGGCGGCGATTCACCATGCCATGTGGGAAAAAGTGGCTCCCATTCAGCAAAGCCAAGGTACTAATCGACCACTGTGACATCAACGGTTGTGAGGTGTGATGTGACATCAAACTGAAGCTGGGGACGAGAGGTCAAAGTGTTCCATTGGCCTTTTGATTCGTGACTTTGCCGCTCCATAGACGGAAATCTTATGTAGTTGACCCGGCGCGTAGCTCGCCAATTCTCTTCTGCTTCACCATGCATCCAGGGCCTGGCCTGGTCTGGCTCAGGTGGATAGCCATAACTCCGGAGCGTCAGGGTTGGCATCGACAATCACATGGATCATGATCCCCCACATGGTTTTTCGGAACAAAGAGATCTGGAGCTGGAACTGGAGCGGAACAGCCTGTGGACCACTGCGGAAGAGGGCCGGGCCAGCATCCATCTCGAGTAGCGAGTGTGTTTGTGTACCAAATAGCGACTTGTGATGACGCTTTGGTGCTGTGGCATCACCAATAGGTACTGGACCGGTGAGAACAAAACGTCAACTCAAAGCAAACAAATAGCAAGTGTTGGTTGTCTCAAGGGTCACAGGGCACACTTATGACGATGTTGAGTCAGGCTGCTGCAACGTCGGAGAGAAATGGAAATGAGACTGGGAATAATAGTGCCACTTAGTGGAGGTGTCACTGATCGCTACGTTAGCTTGATGTCTTGGCGATGATCCGTATTAGGCGCCCTGCTGAGAGCAACAACCACGCACACACTCTTTCAACTTTGATATTATACTCACGTATCCAATAACCATGAACACAGAGTGTCTAGCGGCAGAACAATAGAATAGTGGCATTCAACAAACTTTCCTGACAGGAATAAGCTTTGCTGTCCCAAAAAGCTGGAACGTCTACACGAGATGTGTGTGTTCAGATGGAGTCATAAAGTCAAACTTTCGGGTCCTCATAATGTTACAGTTTGGCCAGAGCCTAAAGAGCAGAGGATGAGTTATGCTGTGGGACCTCAGGCCATTGATGATGTCTTTCATTTTTTACTATTACACGGCTGACAGTTCATCATAACCAGTCGGCTGAGCGGAGCCAAAATTTTGAAGAAAAATATAGCGGGATGGATCTCCTTTCCAGTCAACGCGGCTTGTTTTGTTACCTGCTAGCCTGTGTATGGTGATAAGGAGATGAAGCAGGGCTGACTCAATCATGGTCGCCAAGACCGGAAAGTCGAATAGCCAAATTACCACAACAAATATAGTTCGGATAGGACCAGACTAGATAAGCAAGCGCCCCTATCGTCAGAGACAAGCGCGTGACAGATGTGCGAAGCAGTGCATACTCAAGAGAGTTAGGGACAGTCGGTGAGACATTTCATAAACCACTATATGCAGCCTCGATGTGTTGTCAAGAACCAAAAAAGAACAACACGATGAACAAACATGCTCTATGCCGAGGTTGGTGGAGGCCAGAGTTTTAGAGTTTTAGGCGAAGTTCTCAAAGTTCTAACCCATGAATAAGGGAGTCCCCGAACCCATGCCCGTGTTGAGTGGAGAAGGACGGAGGTTATGGAGTATGAAAAGCGGAGACTCGGCACAAGCAAAGTCTCGATGTAAGAAGTTTGCATCTCGACTGGTTAATAAATTAATTACTTTACACAAAGAGCTCTCTTCATTGTCGATGACTGAGCAGGTGCAGATGGCAAGGTGTAGAACTTCTGGTGTGCTAGTGTGCTAGCAGCATGCAACCTGCAACCTGCATGCTACAACCCAACCGCCGTTCAATCATTAGTTTAGTACACAAGGAAGACGAAGAAACCCTATTCAGAAAAAAGAGTACCTTATGAGAGATAAAAGGCCTGGCCGGATTACAGGGCCTGCTGCCTGCATGCGTGCACATGCATGCAATTCTGCTCACGCCGTCTCAAGTCTGCAGAGGAACAATGGCGCGGGGACTGCTGCATTGCATTCCCGGCACATCACCGTCGAGCTGCCAAATGCTGTGTAGTAATTGGCACTGCACCAATCTGGATGGATGTCAACAGTGCGTCTAGGCCATCAATCAAAATTGACGTGATGTCATAACGTTAGGCATGTTACAACAAACCCTGAAGTACTATGATGGCGCGACACCAAGAAAGGACAACTAGAATCAATGCCGTATTTGATGTGAGAAAGAAACTCTTTTCTTCTTTGAGTTGCCCACTTCCATTGGTCCCGCAGAGGCTGAACTCTGGAAGACTGAGGAATGGAATCGACAGGAACGAAAGCCAGAGGAATGGGCTATGGCTTAATCTGGGAGGAAAGGAGAAGCTTGGTGCTGGTGCTAGAAAGAATCCAGAAGCATAGTGGGTATAAGGGTCGTCCTCAGTGACGCCAGGTCGATGGCGCCGTTGACCAAGCGCCAAGGGCTTGGAACAACTCAGTGCAGGACACGTAGGGCTGTTTTGGGTTGAGCTGAGCATCACAGGGAATTCTCTCCTGGGAGCGGCACATACTCATTACTAGGTATCTATGATACTAAGACAAGAGGGGATTGATCAAGGTTATAGGTTGGACGACTGGTACGATATTCTCACGAGATCAGGGCATCTTAGGTATTTACACGGGCTCGGGGACAGCCAATTCCGCCTCTGATCAATATGCTAAACTTTGCCATCTCATTACCTTCACCGCATTTTTATCATGACACAAAGGACGAAATTGCATCCGTATTACCACATATATTAGAAAGTTACGGAGCTTAGCCAACACAAATCATCATTACGGGAGGGTAAGATTCAGGCCCCATTCGAGGTTCACAAGCTCTAACTCCACACGAGGCCCCTGTACTAAAGTCTATCAAGCCCAACAAGGCAACTACTGCTTCACTAGCGTGTCTTTTTTGGTCATGGGCAGGCGGGAGCCATGTACTTGATGTTGCCGCGCTCCTGAGACCAAAGACATGTACCTTCCTCATCCTTTATACCAATCGAGTAAGCGCCATTGAGCTCCGTACTGAACACCCCACGGGGGCTTTTCTCTTTCAGGCATCCCCAAATCGGAGACTGAACTAACATCATAGAACCCTAGCAAAGGCACAGTAGAGAGAAAGAGGAGAACTGGTAAAAGAGAAAGATCGAAGACAAGCAAAGAAACTTTCACGGACCGGAGAACCAGTCGGCACTACATCCATTTCTCGGCGAGACCTTATTACATAGAACTGACTAAGACGTCAGGGCCCACGGATCATGCTACAGAACACGGCCTCCACTATGCCATCTCCATCATGGACATCCAGAATCAAAAGTTAACCAGCAAACCAGTACACAATTACTTCCAAACGTTAACGTTCAATGCACATACACGACGCACACGACGGGTCATGACACTCCGCCACAACTGACAACTGACAGTCATATCAATCTCAACGTCAACATCAGTCCCGGGCCAGGGCATGCTCTGAGCGCTACGCCGTTGATCCTCTGTCAGCCCTGCTTTGAGTTGGCGTCTCGTAGAAGAGGACCTGGTGGTTGCATTATCGACATGATGCAGAACGGGTCCAAGACACAAAAGCCCGTTGTCTCGCGCCACTGCTGGTCTAAGTACCCAGATCTGAAGCAGATCTACATCGCACGCTGTGAGTCAAGTTAGTAATCAATTAATCAACCAAAACTGACCAGGGGTCAGGTTCCCGGCCCACGACTGTTACTCAGGTAGTCCCCAAATTCCTTGCAAAGCCGAGTCACGCCGGAGCTGGTCTCACGAGGGTCAGAAGCCTGAAGTTTGAAGTCTGGAGCCTGTTGATCTGCCTGACCCTCTTTCTGGTGCGAATAGACTTTGGGCCCGTCCACTGGTGTATTTGCAGCCAGGTTCTCGTTACGGCGTAGTCGCGTTTTTGCCTTCGCTTTTGCTTTGTCTCCTATACTCTCCGTCCTCCTTCCTTGGCTGGGTCAATTCCCTTTCTGGACCCATGGTGTATCACGGCACTCCCTTGTCTACACCCCAAGCCAAGGGAAGCAAACCTTAAACCAGAAAACCAAAATTGTCAACCATACACCCAATTCCCTTAGGCTAAGTAGTGAATACGGCGCATACTTTGCTTTAGCGGGGTTTTGACTTTTTTTGCACCCCTGCTTGATTTTGTCGTTGTCCCCTTTTTCGTCTCTTTTCCTCCTGCTATGTTGTTCTTTTCCCTGGCAATTGTCATCCAGACTTGCGTCGTTCAGACACACACCCCTATGCCCTGGGTCGATCACGGCAACGACTATGGCGTCGGCGCCCAAGGGGACAAGAAAAGTGGAATACACACAAAAAAAGTCAACCTACGTAACGTGCGGTCAATGGCAAACGACAACAAGATATTATCGACACCTCAAGGGTGGCGGTTTGGTGAGCTTATCGCTCATGAAGCCGAGTAGGGAAACCATAATCATTCTTCCTATCCAGTTAGCCATTGGGGTTATGTGATTTGAGCTGGATCTATATAAGAGAAAGCCGTTTACTCCGGATTTCTGGGTTGATTTGTTCGACCAACCTATTTCAATACTCAACCACATTCACCATCCAAAACACACCTTGTCAACTTACTCCTATTGCTTAGCATTGATCCACGTTTGTAAAGTCGTATTATTATTTAGAATTCAGTTTTGTTATTGCCCATTCGTCTCAATTACCCTTCACCAACAAGCATCCATACATACATCAGCCACCCTTGCTACTCCCCGTCATCAGTCATACAGACAAGACGAGAAAGGAAAAAAGACAAACCAGAACAGAGCAAGGACAGGGACATTTACCAGGATCAAAGTGACAAGGGCCTCAAGAACCCAAAAGACCAGGACCAGGACCGACCCTTTCCCTTCCCACGGCCGACATTACTCGGACTCTGTTTGGATAGAGTGACAGCAACTATCTGTGCCAGTGTAAGACATTCACCAACTCAAAATCCCCGAGACGGACGGATCGAACCCGTGTCAGGCCTACAACCTACAGGCGACAGCACCACTACCATCCTAGAAGAGGACATCCCGCGCATTACAGTTCTTTGGAGCAAACCTTCAGGGCGACGTTGACCCCTGTCATAATTCGATCCACTTGAGACGTTGTTCCAGATCTGGGACAGGCATTAATCTCATCACCCTCAGCCTGTCAACCCACACGAGCCACTCGCCCCCCCCCCCTCCTCCCCCATCACGCCTCTCCACTTGTCTAAGTAACCTACTTTCCACAAGGGCAGCTCTATTTCCAGCTCCCTAGCCTGGAAGTCTCTCTTTGATACATGCACGACTCGCCTGCATCAACCCCATCCACCTCTCCTGCTTATATTAGACGTACAAGTACTACCATGATGTCCGTCGCTTCCCACGAATTCCAGTCCCAGCCTTATTACTATATCCCCCTCCGTCCTGTCTCTTCCCAAAGGCCACAGCCTCAGCAAGAAGTCCCATACTTCCCTTACCCCAATATCAATAACACACACACTTTTGACCCTGCCACCGTCGACGCCATGGCCGCCGCAGCTGCTAGTCACAGACGCTCCCAACAAGAAGATGCCAGTGTCGCGCAGGCTCTTGAGATTGCTCGGGAGAGCCCTGATGGCTCATCGGACCCTACTATCAGCAAGATTCTCGAGGCCGCTCTGACACGAATCTGGGACAAGGTGGAAAGGAATCCCAATACCTATATCATGACTCGAGATGAGTTTGCTGTCTTCAACTTCTTTCAGTACCGCTTCACCGGCGACAAGAGAGCAGTGAGCGCTCGAAAGCGATACTGGGACAACACACATGCCTGATTGCCCACAAGGGTCTCATTACATAAGGAGGCTTTGTCTTCCGCACCATATGTTCTGCACTTCTGCATATGATGAGTTTCTCTTACACTTCGAGCGGCCTAATACAGCAACACGGTTGAACGATGATAAGAGATGATTTTCGTTTTCCCTTTCTTACCCAACGACACCACGACACCGAATCGCCAGGGCCACGCCTATACCCTTGCCCATCAAAATACCCACAGAGACAACCGGGCTTGGCCCAAACCTGATTATCACATCCGAATTTCCGACTTACTGCCCTGTTAATACCTACTGCTCAGCGAGGTAGACATATTACCAAGAAGCGAGAGCTGAAACTTGAGGGTTCGTGGCAAAGATACAAGTCCGCTGCAGAAGAGCGAAGCACATGAGCTATGAGGGAAACGACCAAGTAGCCCTTCTTCGCCTGGAGCAGGGTTTCCAATGACGTCTTTCAGCATGACTTGCTAATGTATACAAACTCTGCAAGCAATGGGCGCCATCAGCAATATGTCAAGTCATGTCAACTGCTGGCGCGGAAACGGAGAAGAATAATGGAAGGATGAAGCAAAGACCAGGCAAAGAATCACCCCAAAAAAATATTCGACTCCACTTACTGGCAAGAAGCCCTGGATGATCCGCCACAACCCTCCAACAAACCAGACCAAACCCCGGTACCTGAGACCGTTAGCTGAGTGGGTCTTGGACCAGCATTGGATCCATTTCCCATCATTCGCATGGCGCCCCGCTATTCTGTTCCTTGTGGCTTCAATCTCCGACAACATTTCCGGTTTCTCTCTGTGACGAGGCGGGACTTGGCCGCGACATGGCTTCGATGGTTGGTGTTGTATCCTATGCAATCCAGTCAAGGTATCCTGTCATTTTCTCCCAGGGCTGCAGAGCCACATCATGCAGTGGCGAGGAGTGGCGCGGCTCTCAACCTCGGGCTTGGTTTTGCTTCAAGCTTCTTTAACCAACTTGACTCATGAAGGTCAAGCCGGCGTCGCATCGTCTCAAACCATGAAGGATACTGCGGGCCTTTAGACCCCCAAGCAGTCTCTATTGTCCAGACTCTCGTCATTGCGAACTTTGTTCTTGACTCGCTGGCATTTCACATCCTTCACGACCGACACTTGTTCAATTCTTCATGTTTTGTCATGTATCTTTTTCGGCATCGTCCCTAGCCCGGTCATCTGGCCTTTGCTGAAACGTTTTCTTCTCTGGCTGCTGGCAGTCTCTCAAGTCTTTCGCTGCACATACTTCTTCCCATAACCTTCGAGTCATGCCGTATGAATACCTTTTGGGTTAGCTCACCGCGGTGTTAGTTGTTCTTTATCTACTTGTATTGTATTTTTTCTACTTCCATTTGTTGCCTTGCAAAGATTCGTTGTATTATAGATATACCACTGAGCGCATCTTGGCTATTTGTGTTTGGAATTAGTGCATATAGATCAATTCATGAGATAATACTCTCTTCAACGAGACCACATCGTTAACTTTAGTGTACCCAAGTTGGCACACGTACTGTCATGATTGTGCACTTTGTCCAGTATGACTACCTAGTACTCAAATGTCTATGACTTTGCTTATCATGGTTGGAGGAATATGGAAGGCGTAATTTCAATTGGCAGTAAGCTTTCTCAATGGCAGGGATATGATTGATAAGAGGGAAGAACATTACGCAGCATCAAACTCAAAGTACCTCATGACAACATAAACGTTGAGAAATACTCGGTTTGGGTGTTGTGTCTTTGAGTTTGCCCTTCCATCACTAATTCTCGATAGCTCGTCACTAAAAGGCCCCAGTGTAGCACACAGTATATCCGTTTGGCCAGCAGGGAGTTTGGGTTTACCTACGCTGGTGTGCAGACCAGTATGTATGTGCCAGAATACGTTATGCCAATCAGACACATCATTTCCTTTCAACGCCATTCGACGCTCATGTGTAGATCTCTGAATAATTGGCAGAACACACAAGTTTCGTTTAATGCGCCAGAGGACGGCCGAGTCTGTAACAGCGGCAACGGCGGCAACGGGAGCAAAAGCCCCGCCGTTATATCGCCCGTGATCTCGGGCCCGGCTTTAAACACGTATCCCTGGCGCATTTCACGGTGTTGGGTCGAGTCAAGCCTGTGCAGAACGTCCCACAATCGTGGCCATGATAAAACCTTGTGAATACCATGATCCAGTGAAGAGTGCTCGCTAGGTCACTTAACAGTGAAATTTCTTGTAAAACACAGACCTCTGCAAGACTTTTTACAAGTAGGGACGTATATTGGGCAAATGTAGGGTGGATCTTGTGATATCTTGCAGATCACTCCAGTCAAACTTTGGTGACGCCTAGAGGAATCCCATGTGAATGGATTCTGATGAGGCGTCTCGCTTCAACGGTACCCAAACCCGCCATGGCCATATTCGACGAATCCTCTCATGTGTTGCTCGGGATACATGTTTCCAAATGACGAGATGCAGGCCGATTCTCACGACCGGGGCTCGGACACATTCTACGAAGTCGTAATGTGGGATCAGCATCAAAGGTTGTAGCGAGGCCTCAGACTCGGGTCCACAAGAGGAAGCTGAGCGTTGAACACCTTCAGTAACGTCGCGCCACAGGATTACCCTTTTCAGAACCCAAGCAGCCAAAAACAGGTTAACGCTGTTGGAAAAAGGTCCTGGCGACAGTACCGCCAGAGAACGGAGGCCACATCAGAGAAACTCCGGCAGTCTGTTGGGCTGAATCAGGAACAAACAGAGTTCACTTTTGAGCCACCGATGCTCATCTTTGCACACGATTGTGGACATGATGAGCTGCGGCCGCTTGGCTGGTTGCTTCAAAACGTCGGAGAAAGGACGTTGCAGTGCCCGCGCCAGGAAAGTATATCTTCAGACTATTAACAGGCCTGAGCCAAACAGACAGGCGTTAAGCTCAAGTCTTCACCGTCGTGATGCCCAGAACGACTGACCTCTCTTCCGGGAACCAATAGGCATAACGTCCAGATCGACTTACGGCATTAGGTGTTGCGCATCACATAAGTGGGGTTTCCAACTGGCTCGCTGAGGTATTGAAACCCCGATCTAGTACTCGATGAAGCGATCTGCTTTGGCGTGGCTACAAGATTGAAGAAACCAATAGCACAGTTGCTCTAGTGGTACCATTGTGTTTATTGTCCGTCGCTTCCGTCACCACAAGACATGTATTCCCGTTTGAGGCTGGGGAATGGCACTTTTAGGTCGAGCGTTGAGATCTCGAAATGTCACTACCGACAGTCTCGATTCCACTATCATATCTCACCTAATGCTGTGAGTGTAACGCCTGTTGAACCGTAGCGTAGAATCGCGGCACAAAGAATGGATAGGGGTGTCCCAAGGCCCGAGCCCTGTGCCAGTTTTGTTGGCGGTGAGCCTCTGGAGAATCCAGAAAGTCGGTAAGTTGATGTTTGGAAACTCTAATACGTGGGGAGGCCTGGAGGAGCATGACACGTCAAGCAGTTGTGAAGGTGAAGATGGGGTTTCCAGAAGACTCCCGGAAGAGGCAATGCGTGCTGGTTCAAAAGGGAAAGTTGGTGTGCCCAACCTTGAGGGTAAGGTAGTGCGAAAAGCATGACGGCGGGAGCGAGACCGAGCAATGGAATGACTTCACGCCAAGCAAGTCTTATTTGCTTCACACCTCTCACTAACCAACGCCCATGTATCCAGTACATCGAGTCCGACGGAGCGCGCCAACAGCTTAAGAGGCCTAGAGAAAGGGGTAATGTCGAATGTGGATAGTCCTTCTCCTGGACCGCGAGTTTAAGCCCGATGTGGCGGAGATGAGCATGAAATATCCCGACTCCGTGGAAGTAAGGACCCGAAAGGTTGGGCGGCGTTACGATGCTGACAATCTGGGCGGCAGCTATTAGATTTCTGGTAAGGGGCATCATCAGCAAACTTTGTGGGCGAACCAGTGGCTCGGTACGTGGGAGCAACGCCTTTTAGTGAATCGAAGCGGTGAAGAGTGACATTTCCGCACGGTTGAATCTACCAAGATGTGAGATTCCCAAGTTTTTCCTAAATAATTTTCCGACTAATGAAGTTGATGAGGCTCTTTTTTTTGCTGTAAATCATGACAGCGGATCTACCCAGGGATCCTGGGCTGCACCCGGGACTGACAGCTGCAACAAGGGTGGTCTTGTCCAATAGTGAGCAGCGGTGGGTGTTGCATCGGGGCTGCGCGCTGTCAATGAGGGGAATGAATTACGAGGGATGGTATGGCGTAGGTGATGTTGACCAGCTATCCTGCCAAGTCGATTTGGCGCCATGTATGCCACGGACCGCCTTTTTCCAATGAACGATGTCTTGCAGCTGACCGCCTACCTAGTTATGACATGCATCTTGGGCCTTCTTTTTCAGACTCCCGTGAATTATCGGGACCCGTGATCCACTAGATGGGTTCATTCAGTCTTGCAGATCCATGGAAAGCCATCCGGCCGATCTACCTGTCGACAGAGTGGGTAGCACGTCTTTTACATGTCGCAGCATGCCTTTCTGAATCAAGTGCGAACCTAACAATTGACCCAACGACATGGGCAATCTAGCATACTGGAGTTCCAAGAAGATATACTCGAATTTGTCAGGGTTCCTGTTCCAATGAGCTGAGCAGTGGCAAACCCCACTAGACCCTGATTTCTGGAAATGGTTTAGAAGAGCAGCCAAACATCGACGGCGGTGAAGGGTTCTTTGCGATGGATGCACAGTAGCGAATTGCTTCGTTTTGTGATGCTATGCTCATTCCATGGGTGTATTCTCGAACCAGCTGGTCGGAAAGGTAAAGGCGCCACCAAGATTTGACAGCGAACGATGATCTTGATGGCGTAAAGATCGATGGGTCCCGAGAGGATGGATGCGCCTACGTCGAACGGGCTCTTCCGTAAAAAGGGAAATTCAATTCAGTGGCCCAGCGTGATGGTGTTACGATGGCTAGCTGAAGGCGGAGGGTGTCGAAAGCTTGTCTAAGCCATTTGGCTGAAGGCGAGATTTGGTATGCACCTAGGTAGGTATGGATCACGAACGGGTGATGCTGGTTGGAGTTTTGAGAATTGTCAAAGGCTCGCGTATGCACATGCACTAAGACATTGAGTATTTCGACCAATAAATAGCAGGGGAGATTGGAATTACTGGGAGCGGGAGGGACGGAAATACCCTTGTTTTTGTTGTACCACCTTCAAGAATGCAAGGACTAGGATGCATAAGCGTGCTGGTGATTTAGCAAATCAACTTCTTTAGATGGGCTATAGCTCAGTAATAGATTCCTTAGAACGGTAAGTAGTCGCCGCATCTAATGTCTGATTCTGTCTCAAGTACAGGACGTGTAGCCGCCCGTCATTCCCTCCACTGACTATAAGTGGTCTAGCTCTTGTCTATTGCCCAACCTACATCGCCCTGGTTCACCTGGCAACCATAGCCACCATGATTGGTGACATGCAACTCCAGGGCACAGCATGAAGTTGATGGCCAAAGAATGGACTAACATGCAGAGTGTTGAAGCTCTGCTGTGAAGATATATGACCGGTTCATGGCACAACTGCTTCAAAAAGAATGCAGCAAATATATCACCCAATCGACGATGATTTTTTATTCAAAGTCGGATTGCAAATCTGTCTTGATGCCAGCGGTTATGGAATGTCAACTCTCGTCTGAAGGCATGGCTACCGCTGGTGATGATGCAACAGAAACATTGAATTGATCAAAACTTTGCAAACAAAGTGTATTAGAACCATCTGAGAATTGATTTTATGTTCCAGCGTATTCGTATCGGCAGTCAGTCGAGCGGTTAGAACATAGTATGTGGAAGTTGTAAATGAGCCCCTTGTCCCCTCCCACTGTTACCCTGGCCGAGTTTATTCATTGTCAACGGTTGCTTGGGCAATACGCCAGCAACGATATAACCCACCACGACCCTATCACCAGATGTCTCGAGAAGCAACCCTACCAACACCGCACCAAATTGACTCAATTCAACTCCACATGTATCCTCCACCAAAAATCGCAGCCTTCTGAGGTAACTAGACATCTTCATCCCCGCATTGCTCCAGCTTTGCTGTCGATCAATCATAGGTCCGTCCATCTGTCACTGCCAGACTGCCTTTGCAAATCGTCACTTCGAACACTTCGACCAACTCCTTGCGCAAGGTGCACAACCATAGTGCAGGGACTTCGACATTTGGAATAGTGTCACAGCTGTTGTGCTACTACTGTTCTACCTCTCGTATCAACCCCATCAAGCCCTGCTATCCAGCATCCGTTGCCCACTATGCGGTATAATCTTATCCAAATGATCCTGCGCAGCGTCGCTCTGCTCATGACGCTCCTCCTAACGGCTCTCATCGGCAACGTTATGGCGTCAAATATCGACGCCGCAGGCTCTGCAACGGCTGCCGTCAACTTTATCATGTTTATTGCAATTGTCTGCTGGATCGTTTGCATTGTCGGCCTTCTCGCTTTCTTTGTTTCAGCTCTCGACAAACCACTTCTGCAACTACCTTTGGATGGCATAGCTGTTCTTTTCACCTTCATCGGTGCTATCGTTCTTGCAGCCAAGCTGCGTGTCGTCAACTGCGGAGATATTAACCCCAAAGCTCTGCCTGGGGACTGGATCGCCTGGGGCTCAGCGAGTGATGAGGGACGGTGCCGTCGACTACAAGCAAGCACTGTCTTCATATGGTTTCTGTTTGCCTGCGTGTCTGGAAGTCTCTTCTTAACCATCCGAACTGCACGCAATCAGTTCGGCTCGCTCCGCAGTGCCGCTTCAAGGCCATCAATGTCTCAGATTTCTTCAAGCGTCTGATAAGCCATAAGAGCATCAAAGGACCATAATATAGCGTCTCAGCTGCGTAAAGGGGGCCCGGTCATGATAACACTGGTCGTTTGCTAAAAACCCATCAACGCAAGCGTCATGGCCACCAACTCTGTGGAATACTGGGTACGTGTTTCCGATAGCCGTGTTACACCAAACCCGCCCGAAGGCATCACCAACTCTTGAGTACCGGTATCAAGTCGCATTAGGATATAGAAAGCGTTCGATGTTAGGGATTTTTATACCAGGATTGTTAAATGTATTAGTCTTTTGGAAGGGAGTTGGAAGGGTAGTCCATTCAGGACTGGTGTTGAGTGAAGGGTAATGATCATGTAGCGAATGAAATTTAATACAGGGACTGTTGGTTCTCGAGATTTCACAGAATAACCGGTCACTAAGAACCTGTCGTACTCTGTCTCTTGGTGGGAAAAAGAAATTCAGTAAAGGAAAAAGGAACAGAACAAGGGTATAGAACCATCTATTATAAAAACACGCATATTTATACCCCAACACCATATGAAAGCCATGCATATTCCTCAGGTCATCCATTCATGTTGACATTGGATCGCCCATCATGTTCAAAGCATGTCGTCTATAACGTTGCCGCTGTTTCCACAACACCTGCCGCCTTGAATGTCGCCTTATTTGTCAATCGAATATCGACGTTATGCGCCCACTCCATGTATCGTGACCAACCTGGGCAACGACTGGTTAGAGACCTCATCAAGCTGGGAGAAGTGGTGATATAAGTGAATGAATTACTCACTCCAGTAAGCAAATTTGCGACCAAAGTATTTACCCATCCAGGGAACAATCATCATTGTCAGTATCAATTGTAGCTGCTCGAGGCTGCGCTCCCACTCCGCTTGGGCATCAGAGTCGGAAGTATCGGAGTAAATGTCGTCGGTGGATATGGATGGGAGAGAGTCCAGATCGTCCTTGTCATCTGACATGGACGCATCATGGAGGTCAACAAGGGAAGAATCGGCGGCCATGTTGACAAGTCGTGATTCACTCGGCAAATGCAGGATTCAGAACGATTCGTGATACGTCGATTGAGTCAAAGACGGTGTATCTTCGAAGGTTGTGAACTGTTGATGGTGGGTGTCGAGATCACAGCTTGCTTCGGTCGAGACAATAGCAAGGAAGGTTGAGGTAGCTGTGTTAAAGTAGCTTCTATGCAAGAGACTGATGAATCCCAAGCTTTCCAAGTATGAGAGAAGTAACGGATACAGTTGCCGTATCTTCAAATGTATTCTCAGTTGCGACAATCAACGATCGATTGTTGACCGAGGTGATGAATAGTCGTTACAGTTGTAAAGGCCGTGGTCGCATCGGGGCCCGGAGCTGGACTCCGACAAGAACTGGGGGAAGCTCCAACGAGCTTCTCGCTTGATTGGTGTCGGCCACACTTACTCAGCATCACGTGGTTATCCTCGTGACTCTTCATCGTGAAGCTTGGGGGCCTGCGCTTTGGTTTGGGCTCTGGTTGACTCAAGGTATCGCTCACCCGGCCCATGACGTTGGACTGATCTCCCTCTACATCCTAAACCCACAACTAAATCCATCAGAAGAAGCATACCAACAGCGCGCACAGACTCTGCGATCTAAGGATACAAACGATATATCGTTGCGCGAGAAACCCCGAGCCAAAGAACTTTACAGTACCTTATACGAAGAAGCCGCCCATTTGCGACACCCACATCCAGAAAAAACCCCAATAAACCAGCAACTGGCCGTTAACAGCAAAACCAAGAGCCACAAAGCAATCATGGAGGGCGAGGTGAGTGACAAGCCTGCAACAAATTGCACATACATTTCCTATCAACACTTATTGAAAGGCTGGTACATGACATGAAATACGACCTACCCACTACAATATAGGCCTGGCTTTGAACTTCAAATGCTTGTGCCATGCTTTCATGGCGTGTCTCGTACCCTCTGGACCACACAGGCCCAATCTTTTACCCCTCCAAAACCCTCGAGTGCCTCATCAACGAGCCTATCAGGTTCTTCTTATCACTCTTTACCCCACTATCTTTCTCGGTGCGAAAGTACCTGTGGTATTGTCGTACACCACTTTCTGGGGGGGGGAGCAGGCGATTTGACATCGATTTATTTTACTGTTTGGGCCTTTGACTCACATTTTCCCAACCGCCACCTTCACATCATCATCTATCCTCTACGGCCACAAATCAACACCGCATCCCTCAAACCGAATTATTAACTAATCTCATCATTTTTTTGCTTTATTTACAGGTACCAACCGAACGCAAATCACGCAAATCCGTTGCCTTCACCGACGAACAAGTTGTTGTTGACGCTGACGGTTCAGTGATCATGGTCAACGCTACCGAAGAACCCAAGGATTCGGCTCAATCCCATACGCCTCGTACGCCGCCGCTTTCTGCCGCCCTTGAGTCCTTTACTGATTCGCAAACGACAGTCGCTGAGGACCTTCCCCCAGCTGAGGATGGTGGTCTCGACCTTTCCCTACTCAAGAAGAAGAAGAAGAAGTCAAAGAAGGTCGACGACGCCGATGCCGATGCCGACGCCGACGCCGACGCCGCCCCCGCTGACGATGCTGCACCTGCCGAGGATGGAGGTCTTGACCTGACTCTGAAGAAAAAGAAGAAGAAGAAGGCTCCCAAGGGTGATGATGATTTCACCAAGCAGCTCGAGAAACTTGAGCTTAAGGAGGGTGAGGAAGCCGAGGAGATTCCCCAGGAGCAGGAGGGTGATATGAACGAGGGAACCGGTATTTGGGCTCACGATGAGACCAAGACTATTGGCTACAGCATGCTTCTTTCCCGTTTCTTCCACCAACTCACCGAGAGAAACCCCGACCACACTTCCCCGGGAACCAAGAGCTACAAGATCCCCCCTCCCCAGTGCATGCGAGAAGGCAACCGAAAAACTGTTTTTGCCAACATCGCCGATATTTCTAAGCGTATGAAGAGAACCGAGGAGCATCTTACCGCCTATCTTTTTGCCGAGTTGGGTACCAGTGGTTCCGTGGACGGTAGCCGAAGATTGGTCATCAAGGGTCGTTTCCAGCAGAAGCAGATCGAGAACGTTGTCCGAAAATACATCAGTAAGTTTTTTCAATATTGCGACTTCGGGTTTCTGTTTGCTAATCATACCCATCTTCAGTCGAGTACGTTACCTGCAAGACCTGCAAATCCCCTGACACCGAACTCAACAAGGGTGAGAACCGTCTTTACTTCATCACCTGCAACAACTGCGGTTCCCGACGAAGTGTTACCGCTATCAAGACTGGTTTCTCCGCCCAGGTCGGCAAGCGAAGAAAGATGCAGGGTTAAGCAGCTCCGCGACCTTCTCTTCCCTTCGATGCCGCCCCGCCAACTGCCAACAAAGTTCTTGGCTTGTGGTTTTAGGGAGAGTGTGTATCTTGGCAGTGTTCTATCTTAACTGCGCAGTTGAGTTTATGCTACAAATGAACGGCTTCATTTTTTAGCTGCTTAGTCTCGATGACGGATGCATTTTTCGGATTTTGCTTTAGGCATTGCTTATGGCCGCCTACTCCGCAAAATATGGTCTTTAGGGTCAAAAGGAGTGATGCTGTACTCACACAACGGGTACCGGGGTGATGATGTGGCGTATGGATTATGTACATGATGCCGGAATGAATCAAGACTGCACCCAAAACCACAAAACGCTTGTGCGTCAGTGACAGGAATGACGATGTGTATTTGAATATGTTGAAATATCATGGTTTCATAGAGACGTGAGGTAGATGTATACATAATCAGTATGCAAGTAGATTACATACCAAAAGGTCTATTAACACGACGACAGCGTAATTCGGCCACGCCTTCATGTGGTCATCCAACCACGAATCCACCCCTTACTCCTATCTCTAAAAGATGAGGACTAGTACTCACACCACTAGATGTGAGAAAACTGCTAGTACATAAAATAGAAACTCTGCAGCAACAGATGCTTTCCCCAGACGCAAAATAAATACATAAAAACTATGCCCCGGTTGTTCTCCTGGGCCAAACCAATAAAATCCCCATTTTTGCCATGCATGTATACGTGTTGCGTTGTAATGTGTATAGAAGTCATCTGCGTTGATATATGCCGTAATCATAACACTGGCAGTCATTCATATCTCGATGCCTTTGGGGGGCATATCTCGAATAAACCTTGTATTGTACACGCGAGGAAAGATATGAGAGGGTGACAAGTCGAGCATCAGCCGCCTCAGCAGCCTACCTAGAGCTGCCTGTGAGGGTTGGCGACTTGCTTGCCATATTCAAATATTGAGCCACCCATTGCAGTATTATTCTCGGCAACTCGGGGGGCAGCAGCATTCTTAGTGGCGCTATCCAACGTGCTGTCCAACTCTGCTCGAGCGGCTTCAAAGGTAGTGCGGACCCATTCGCCGAGACGGTTCTTCTCCACATGCTGATGGAGAATCTTATCCTCATGTTTCATGATGTCGATCAGCTTTGTCCGGAAAGATGCCTCAAAATCGCGGAACCGGCGGTCGATGTTCTCGGTGAAAGCACCAAGAGCCTCATGTGGAGATAGAGGCCGGAACGGCTCACGCGGATCTTCTGTACTCAAGTCAGAATGGATTCCCCTGAAGTTAGATAAACATTTAAACTTACGGAAGCTAATGCAGTCGGTTAGCATTGAATAGAGCTCAGTCTCTGCCAGTCTCTCAACCACCTCACGATCATCCTTGAGTTGGGTGTCGTTGATCTTGGCCCAATCATCGCGGATAAATACTCTCCTCCAAATCATCCTCTTGGCCTCTTTGACCTCATCACTATGGCAGCTACTCTCGGCTACCAAAAGAGCTAGCCAGAACGGATTGGGAATCTCGGCTCGGGACTCAGGCTTCAGATAAATTAAGGTCAGGAGGTCAATGAGTGTCATTGCATCCAGAGCCTCATGCTTTAGAAGTCGCTTCATGCCATCCTCAAAGATCTGATGTTGGGCCTTTTGACGTCGAGGTATGTTCATGCTATGAACCTCCATTGCGAAATTGAGCGCTGCTGCATCATCCACAGCATCGTATGTGCTGGGGAGAACCTGGTTGTATAGTTGATCTTGAATCCTGATCGCAACCAACTCTTGGTCGACCTTCTTTAGCTTCTCCTCGGCACGCGCCTCGTCAGCGTTCACCTTGAGGCCACCCGATCCGGTGTTCTTCTCTTCGAGCTCAGCAAGAAGAGCAAGTTTTCCGAGACTTAACTCAATCTTCTTGTTCCATACTTGCTGTTCCTTGGTAAGTGCAAGGGTCACGAGAGTATCTGCGCTGTGGCCGACGTCTTTCTCTTGCTGCACATCGTTGATCCACGAGATTCGCGCCAGTTCAGGCTTGCTACGCAGGAACTGGGTCTTATAACCGAACTTGTCGAGGTCGAATTCCAGGACAGCCTCAACTCCGTGTTTTTGGAGCAGGAACTCGTATGCCGGAAATGCGAACGCCTGACCGTAGATGGAGAAGCTGTTCTCCAGCTTGGTCTTCTTGCTGTCTCTCAGTCGTTTGACGTTTTGCGTTTCAACAAGCGATAGGTCTGGCTCAGCAAGGCGGTCTTCAAGCATTTGGATATGGTCCAGCAAAATAATAGATAGAGCACGGAGGCATTCGTGCTTCTCAGCGATAGAGGCTCCCTCCTCCCACCTGCCTGATCGCGCTAGGCCAAGGGGCTTCTCAAATGAATCCGTGTGGTATACCTTGGCGAAATCTTGCGATATAGTCTTCAGCTCAGGGTGCGTTGCTGACCAACGAGCATATTCCAAAACTGAAGTGAGCATTCCATCGACAAGAGTTGGCATTTCTTCGAAAATTTTGGATATCACCTTATGGTCCCGCTGATTTGAAGCCCTAGCCGGCTCACCTGCTTCGTGATCCTTAAGCAACCATTGATCGGAGAGGTCGACTAGACGCTTGGCGTTGTTGGCAACGTACTGAGAGCCAGTCCATGGCTCGGGGAGGTCATCATATCCATCGCGAAGAATACCTAAGCGCAATTCTTCAAAACCAAGACCGTAAGCGCTCAAGTTGTTCTTTCGGAAATCGAGGGCTGCGACGTGCGTGCAAGTGTTGACTTGGATAGCTTCGTAGATCATGACAGTAACCTTGGCGTCGTCGAGCAAATTCTCCTTATACAAAGTCTTGATGACTTGATATGCCCAAGCCACAAGTAACTCGAGACGGAAGACATCGCGAATAAACCAGTATCGAACTCGATCAACCTCACCTATCTTAGCGACAGGGTTGTGCTTGTCGTCCTGGTGAATGAACTCGACAATCAAACCAATAAGGCTCTTCTTATCATTCGCTGGTCGTGCCGCAGTGAAGGCTTCGTGTCGTTTCCAGAGCAATGTAGCCACATGCATTTTCTCGGCATTATATAGCAGACTCCAACGTGTCTTGCGATCGAGGTCTGCCCCCATAATCTTAAGTTGGGCCATCAACCTCTCAAGTGCAGTCGACCGAGCTCGGAGATTGTCCTCTAGCGAAGCCGGGAGAGTGGAGATAAAAGGAGTGCTTGAGCTCAAGATCTCGTGGCTGACTTCAAGTGCGGCATGGGCAACTTCTTCGTTAGAAAATTTAATTTCTTGTCGTCCATCAAAAACCAAAGGGTTGTCTTGTTTGACACCGTAGAAAACGGCCTGCTCGATCTTGCTCTTCGCGGAAACCTTAGGGGGTTTGTCACTAGCAAACTTATCCACGTCAGTTGTCACGATTCGCACTGCACCGGCACCCCGAACCATGAGAACCACGGCGGGATTCTTCGTCTTGGGTCGATGAAGTCGATGCTCCTCATGACCAGAAGTAGGCGAAACTTCCTCAAACCCTGAGCCGATTATCTCATGTACATCGTCTTCGCGGAAATCAACAACATCTTCGAAAGCGGCAGGCAAAATGTGACTGTCGGTTTGGAGCTGCGACTCAGGAGACTGTGGTGGTACAGCGATTGATGCGATGACAGTTGCGCGATCAAAGACGACGAAAGCAACTAGGGCAGGGCGAGGGAGATATAGACGTGGCCGTGTAGTTTCGGAGGGTGAAGATGGTGCACTATATGAGGTTATGGGACGAATCATGCCGATTTGGCATTCTTGGGGTGTTAGGATGGCTTCAACCAAAGCGTAGCGAGCGGTACTTCGCAAAGTCAGGCTGACGAGTATCAGCAGATGCTGTACTGTGGAATCGTCGGTAGCCATAGCCTCGCTGAGCCTACTCAACTCAAGGTACTTGGGTTCCAAGCCCTTTGGCACGTAAGTGAAATCAACTGCCTCAAAAGAATCCTGGGGGTATTCCTGAGATGCGGGATCGGTCTCCTGGAGCGCGGCGATGATATTTTCACGCACGTCTGCGTCGCCGATCACCTCGTTATGGCCTCCGCGGTGGACTCTCCAGGCATGCAGTCGACCTTTACTGGTAAGGGCCACGATGTTCCTCTCGCCTGTTCGCGAGGATCGGTCAGCACGAACAGCTGCAACATCTCCTTTGAGAGACAAGTGTTGAAAAGCATGTCGAATGCTGCCAAAGATTCCGCCTGTAGGGGGCGACAGGCTGTTGCGGAGAAACTGTACAGAAATGGCAGGGCGGCCTTGGCTGTCGCGCACATTCATATACGCAAGGCGGCCAGAGTTGAAGGTGAGAATAAATCCGGCGGATTCGGCATTCGTGATGGCCACAACCTTTTCCCCAGACTGCATTCCAGATATAGTATACTCGACTCCGGTACGGTCCTTCTTCATGAAGACAAATGTAGCCGCGCTCGCAATCGACTCCCAATAGACGACTTTTCCACTACCTCCCATGACCACAACTAGGCCAGGCTCTGCTGATGACGCGGACGGCGATACGAGGCATCCTACAGGGAGGGAATCATTTGGTTTGGACGTTGATGGGAGGTTGAAGGAGAAGGTTTCGGGTGACTGCGATGTCGATGTGTAAGGCCAGACAAGGGCGTGTGTTTGAGTAAGAGAAAGAGCATAGCCTGTGGAGAAGATATCGGCAGTTTGGTAGGCTGTGATGATACAAGTGAGTATGGTTTCGAAAAACAAAGTTGTGGTGTCCAGAGACTTACCTGACCAGTCTGTGCGAATTCTATCGGGCAGAGCTGGGAGCTTACTGACGTTATATGCGTTTGTGCTTGTCTGGACAATCTCATTGTTAATATGCAGCATCATCGAAGCAAGAAAATATCAATTCTTACCAAAACAAGACTTCCGTCGCCTTTATTAGCGGCGCGGTCGCCGTGCTTTGCCTTCTTCGTGCGAACATTCAATTCCTTGCGCAGCACTGGGCTGGGGCTCTCAAGAGGCTCGATGTTTTTGTTTTTGTTTTTGGCGGGTAGAGTTGCGACCTTGCCATCAGTCTTGACCTCAATCATTTCCTGCTGAGCATCAGGATTGACAAAAGTCTGCTCTGTCAAGGGAACTCTCTGTCTCTTGGCTTTTGGCTGCTGAGCGACATGTTCGGAGCTCAAAGGACGTTGGCGGCGGCGTGAACGAGTTGCCGTCGCAGGGCCACCTTGAGCGATAGATGGAGAAAACATTTTGGGTGGATCGCAAACTGGACAAGGAGAGGTCGATATCGATGGTTGTAACAAAGAAAGAGGTCGCGAAATAGGACGTGTCGTGTTAAAATGGCGATGGAATAAGCCGCGTGGTCATAGAGGCATCTTGCGGCGTAAACGTGACGGGGGATCGTAATGGATCGTTGACGTGAACGGAAGCGTGTGAGCGGTGACTTTGTGAAATGATGGATGGGATGGATGAGAGAAAACTAGCCCGGGCTACCTTGGGCTGTGCTAGTCGAAGCCTGTAAAGAGCAGTAACGAAGCGTGTATCGGGACGGGAGCCAATTGAACAACAAAAAAGCTTGCTGGTTACCTACCTAGCTACGGTGTCTGGCGCGTTATGATTGGTTCAAAACTGGACGGTGCCTTTTTCAAGACGTGCTAGAGCTGCTACGATGAGCTGGCATTGCCTTGAAACCCCTTGAAAGCTTCAGTTGCTCAGTTGCACATGTACCAATCAGAGCCTCCGTCTTCAGCCGCTAGTCTGATGTACCCCACTGAAGATCGCATGCAGAAGGTTTGTTGCAGAGCCTCTGTTTAAGGTACCTTTTGGCTTGTGGTACCTTGCCTTAGTCAGAGCTGAGGTTGAGACAAAGCTTTATGCTCAGGTATTTTTGGCCTCTTGATACATTAGGTAGTTCTGCTGTACTCGACCTGTGGAAGCAAACAACCATCATCAACTGGTTCTTTCTGTTCAAGTTACCAAGGCATCTAATTATTTCACTAAATGCTTCTGATTGTCTTCTTTTCACTGACATGATTTCTTTGTGATTTTTTTACTTTCTCACTACCAGCTAAGGAACTACAATGCAACATGTTGGTGACATTATTACTATGTACTTTGGGTGTCAGGCAGGTCCCAGATAATCCCATGGGATTCGCGATTGTTATATCTTTCATCAGGCTGGACGATGATTCGAGCAAATTGTAATGGGATGCCTCGATGAAGATTGTAGCATACAATTGAGGTCTTATGTTATTTTCAAAGATGAGTGCATTTAATAGTATATAATTGGGGCTTTAGAGAAGTGTACGTGATATAACGACTTGCATAAGTCGATGATGCATATGGCTTCTCCGATCTGATAACGGCTGGGTCAGATAGAGGATCGCGAAATTCCCTAATCGCCACATCGCATAGCGTCCAACGTTTTGACCTTTACTCCAACGCTCAATTGCCAGATAAAACTTAAACGCTATACCTACTGATATCCCCATCGACCACATCCAAGCTTCCAACCAAACCACGTGGTCGGCAAAGATCCTGTTAAATGCCTACCCTGTGCCGAACCCGCTAGATCCCATCTGACTATTAGCTCCATTCAACGATCATAGTAACGAGCTGATAAAGACCCGAAAATGAGGCGGTTTTCTACAGCGGTAATCATAACCGATCCACTCGTCAAGTATCAGACTCATGTCGCTGCTGGTCTTTACGCTCCCGACCCATCTCAACATAGACTTGCACGGCACTTACACAAGATATATAACCGAATCAAAGACTACTCTCCCCAGGCAGAGTATCGCCAGCGCCTGAGTCAAGTAGCTCGCCTTACAGAGGCAAAGCCCAAGGAAGAAGCACAAGACGATAGTGACAATATCCTTGCATTACGAAATCACTCAATATGGCGGAACCCGCTCTTCAGGCACCTCCTCTCGACACCTGAAGGAAAAGAGAGTCTCGCTTTGACACGGACACTCACAAATCATGAGTCTGCGATCGAGATAGACTCGCCTAGGGGATTGTTCTTATCAGGAGAAGTCGGTACTGGAAAGTCAATGCTCCTCGACTTACTCGCTGATGGTCTACCGACTGAGCGGAAGAGGAGGTGGCACTTCAACACGTTTATGCTATACACTATTTCACAACTCGAGCAGCACCGAAAGACAACTTTCAGAGCCGGTGATGGCGAGACAGACTACTCTATCTTATGGATGGCAAAGAAGCTGGTTGACGAGTCTCCAATCCTGTTCCTTGACGAATTTCAATTGCCTGATAAAGCAGCCAGCAAGATCCTCAGCCATCTCTTTATTTCATTCTTTCAGCTTGGTGGTGTTCTCATCGCATCGTCTAATCGCATACCGGAGGAGCTTCAAAATGCCACTGGCGTTGATTACACGCCTGCACCGACAAAGGGTCTGATTCGCAAGTTTTTTGGTAGTGCAGGTCGCGCTCGAGGGGAGCTATACGGGCCAACCAGCGACTTCGCAAACTTCCTTGAAGTCTTAAAGGCTAGATGCGACTTTTGGCAAATGGAAGGAGCTAAAGATTGGCGGAGAAAGGAGGAAACTATTAGTCCGCCAGCTGTGACTGGGGATGCTGTCGAGGATGAAGCCGGTATGGAAGAGGTGCTCACTCAAGACAAGCCTGAGTCTGTAACCAAGAAGCCTGTCAACTATTATCTATTCAAAGATGAACAGGGCCAATGGCTAGAACGAGTCCAGTCGGCTCTGGCGTGGACAGGACCTCAACCATTACCTTGGGAACCATCGACAGTTGTGGTGTATGGTCGAAAGGTACACACCCCTCGACATTATAATGGCTATGTATTATGGGACTTTGAAAGTCTTGTTGAAACATTCGGCCCAGCTGATTACATTACAATGACCTCTACTTACCACACCTTCATTATCGACAATATTCCCATTCTCACGCACGCAAAGAAGAATGAAGCTCGACGTTTCATCACGCTCTTGGATGCTCTATACGAAGCTCGCTGCAAACTGATAGTCCGAGCTGAAAACCCACCAGATACTCTCTTCTTCCCAAAGATGAAGAACCCTGCGATTGAGAAAACAAACAGTGCAAATGAGCCAGACAATCTCATATCCGAGACGATTGCCGAAGTCTATCAAGATCAGATGTCTCCGTTCCGACCGAATGTTGCTTATTACGACACGAAGTCGAGCACCTCATCCTATGATCCAGATCAGGACTCTGATTTTGGATTACAAAAAAAGCCAGTTGATTTTGCAAACACTAGTGCTTTCACCGGAGAAGATGAACGTTTTGCATATAAGCGAGCAATCTCTCGTCTATGGGAACTGTGTAGTGCACAGTGGCATGCCAGGACAGGAGACTGGTGGCAGCCGCTGCCTGTCGAGGCTCGGCACTGGGAGGGAGGTGAAGTCACACAGCGCTTTGAACATAAGATCGGCGCTAAACGACCGAGCAAGAACGAAGGCATGGGCCAAAGTTTGGAGGTTGATGAGATGGCTGGATTATCAAAGTGGAGGGTCGAGGATCTGAGGAACTCCGACAGGAGAGCTTAGAGCAATTCCGACTAGTCGAATATCAGAGGAGAAGCGAGCAAATAGTGCATACAGTTGCTTGAAAGCAAACAGATATAACTCATTTCGTGAAAAAATCAGTTGCCCATACAAGAGCAATATCTAGGTAGTCTATGACCGGATATACCGTTATGCCAGACTCCAAAACGCCATGCACCTGTATCTTGCTTGGTTTACTTATACACTGCCCTTTCCGAGCTCAGCTTAGAGGCTTGTCACGCCTGGGGTCCAGCCCTCTCCTATCCTCTTCATGTCATCAGCAAACTTGCGACTTGTGATCTTCTTGCCTCCTCTCCCGCCCAGGGGAGCATGCTCATCCGGGTCATAAAACGGGTTCTGCAACAACTTGACATATGCATGCTGCATGGCGCGAAACACGGGCTTAAGCTCAGCGTCGCGTAGGCCTGCAGCAGCGCCCCGACTTGCAGCTACTGGGGCATTGCCATCGACACGCCGACCGCGCATGTCCACGAGACAGACCATGCGGACGCCTGTATTGGTCTCGAAGCCGTAGGCGGTAAGGCGGTCATCGACGGCGTGGAGAAGTCCAAAGTCGCCGGAGAGGCCAACACCTGAAACTGCGTTGGTCTTTGCGCGCAGATCGAAGACATCGATAGTGGAAGAGAGCAGGAGGGAGAACTGGAGAGGTGTGCGAATCGGAGCGAATGTGTTTGTTACTGGATCGAGCGAGGGGAAGATAGAGATATGGAGGGGGTTGTTCTGTGTGCAGCCATGGTGCGTCAGTAGATATCCAGTGATAAATATGGCAATTTGGTATTTTATACTGACATTTCGGCCGATAACGCCTAGACAAGCGATTGAAGGTATTGCGGTAGACATGGTTATAACAGCTTGTTGACGAAGATGAAGGTTGAAAGAGGAAGCTCGGCTTAGTGGGAGCCTCCATGCTCGCTTGGTGCCTGCGGGCAGCCTTAACTTGTAATCCCCACCAGCTTCTAAGGTCATCATAATCGATAGTCTGCAAGGGAATCGAACATTCAGATTGTAGTGAATGTGAGATTCGTTTCTGATTGTAAGTCTGGAAATGTCTATTATATTTATTATCTCAAGTTGGGATCATGATGAGGCGGATGGAGGCTGGAATGTCTCTCTTTAGCTCGATTGTCTGAAACCGGCCATCAACTCAGAAACCATTACATATCTATTGTTTATGGCATAGTTAAGCTTAACAGTCCCTTCAAGTAGGTATATAGTACTAATTGGTATTCGTAGATGTATGCTGTCAAAACAATTCAATAATCGTGAAAATTCATAATCGCTTGCTTGATGCAGCATATCCCACCCTATTAGCGTACACTCCAATTCATAATAGGTAGTGAATAGTTCCCAACAAAGGGCTATGGAACGATTCACCCAAGACTTGTACAGCCGTCTCTTATATCCCTGGCACAACTGAGCTCGTGGCTTTACTCTGAATACTCATCATCTTCCATGAGATTCGCCGTATCTTCAAGTCCTCTCAGAACCTCCTCAACCTCAGATGGATCTGTAATAGCCCATACGCCCCCTCCCTTCACAAGGTCCTTGCCGCGCATGCCAACCTCTTTTCCAACAAGATTGCGGCCGACCTTTCCAGGTCCAACGCCTACCCATCGCCGTATGCGCGCCTCTTGGTCTAGGTATTTGATGCTATCCCACCAGCGAACTGTATCCAGACAGCCACGGGCCAGCAAATCCTTGAGCTCCTTCTTACAGCAGACTGGCCGTGCAGAGACGTTGCTCACGATGGGTAGCTTGCCTGGGAATGTCACAACATCCTCCTTTTCGCGACCCTTTACCCTGCTGGGTTCTTCTAGGAGCTGGCGCATTACGGTAACGGCTGGTTGCATGATGGGACTATGAAAGGGACTGTCAGCTTTGAGACGTACGGCGCGCGGGTCGTAGCCAAGGAATTGGCGGACATGGGCGATAAGTGTCTTTATACGCTCGATATTTCCACTCAGTACAATCTGATTCTTGCTGTTTATGTTGGCTATCAAAACTTGTTCAATCGGTGGTAGGTCGGCCAGGTCTTCAGCTGAGATGCCGACAAACTCTCGAATGGCCTGAATCAGGCTATCCATATGTTCCGGGTGGGAAATAACTGCCACCATGCCATACTCGCCGCCATAGTTTTCAATCGCATGTTTCGTGGCGTCCGACATAGCCTCTGCCCGTTTACGAACGAGGTGTAAACTGTCCTGGAAGGAGATATAACCGCCCGCGACGACAGCGGCAAACTCACCAAGCGAGTGCCCCAGTGTTACATCGAAGTGGTCGGTGACTCTAAAGTTGAATTCGCGTTCAAGAATGCGCAGGATGAAGATGGACGTAGCCATGATGGCCGGTTGCGCATTGGGTGTCTCAGTAAGAAGCTTTGATGGCCCGTTCTGAATGATGTCGGAGAGCTTGTAGCCCATGTATTCGTCGATCTCGTCTCGTAATTGCGATGCTGTCGAAGGGAATGCTTCGAGCCATGGAGTCAGCATGCCAACCCTCTGGACGCCCTGGCCGGGGAAGAATAGGGCTGTTCTGGTGCCGCCGCGATGTGTAGAACGCCATCTTTGTTGTGACCGTTGGTGTTTTGGTTGTTGTTGCTGCGGTAAAGCCTGTAATAACGGTCGACTTGAACTTGTTAAAAGAACAGGAGAGCGAATGTGGGTAGCTAGAGTATAAGTGCGACGGCACCGCATCGTGGACGTCGCGAGCTTGTCCATTGCCGTCTGAGCGGCGGGGCAGAAGATAGAGGTCAGGATGGACAAAGAGAAGATATCATGCTGAGGTGATATGCGTGGCAACTGGGACACAAAAGGGACACTGGAGGAGAAGTAGTATTCCTAATTGCAATTCAACAAAATAAGAAACCAGTCCCAGGTCCCAGACCAAACCCACGAGACTGATCACCCTTTGGGGGCCCCAGGCCTTGGGCCCTCCTCAGTCTAGGTCTGGGGTTCGGGAGTTTGCGTGACGTCGGGGTAATGTTAGTGGGACATGGTACGTACTGATTCCTCGGAATTGGGGGAGTTCTTCAATTGTCATGAAAATCATCGGGATGGGTTTCCCCTTCGCCCATCCAATCATACCGCGATCGCATTATCCGTTGTGTGATGTTTGGGGCTCCGGGATTGCCCCCACACTTAGAGCCGATGCCCCGACCTCATGCGGCTTCGGAGCTCCGTCGCTCCTTGGGAGGCTCCTCCGAGGTGATACTTCCTAATTCTTCCTTCCACTCCCGCGGCAACGAACCCGGTCATGTATGCGAATAAAAATTGCAGTACATTACATGCAGAAGAACACATGTTCACCCTTCTGTGACAGGTACGTTCTTTGTTGCTTCTGTCATGACTTCTACCTCTTCTCCTATTGGCTCGCAAGTACGACTAACAAGACGCCTCGCTCAACGCAGCATCATGAGTCTATATTCGTGTTTGTTTGTGTTCCCAACTGCTATCCCCGTCTCGTCTCTTTGATTAACATCGTATCTCCACACCTCCCTTGCTGATTGTCAAGTATTTGACACCCTTGTATGGCTTGACACTCTCTCCCAGGCCCTTACTCTTGCGTGTGTCTAGCTGAATACTCTCGACCTTCAGACCACTTGCCAACCATCCCTTGACCGAGAAGCTTACTGATGCCGATGTTGGCATCAGGATTTTGTTCTGTGCGACCTTCTTGGCGTCCTTGTCGTCGCTTGTGCTCTCCGGGTTCTGTGCCGCCTTGGCGACAGGTACGCTCTGATATGGCCCATCAAATGTGTAGTCGGTTCCAAATCCAAACCCGTTGGGATCGAATCCCTCATCACCCTCCTCTGTCAGCGGTCCCACTACAGTGCCTCTAAGTCCAAAGTAGCTTGTCCCGCCTGACAGTTCCTTTGCAGGAATATACCATTCCAAAATCTTCTCTCCTGGATTAAAGCTGGCGTCGCCCTTGCTAGGCCGGATCTCAGATAGGTTCCTGACATCTGCTGGCAGTGGAATCGTCACAGTGAGGTCGTCCATCAAAGGCGCTCCTGGTGATCCAGGATGAGGCCCGCCCAATCGACCCCCACTGCCGCCTCTTCCCAATCCCGATGATGCTGGTGAAGGTGCTCCAAGAATCTTGTTGACCTGTAATCGGACTTCGAAATCCGACCCTGTTGCACCTAATCCTGTTTTGACTTCCATATTGATCGGTAACTTGAGGTTGTTGGAGCTAAGACTTCCACTCTTCCCACTTGAGAAGGGCAGTAAATCTACTTCATACCCAGCCAGAATAAATCTTCCATCAGGTGGAATGAAGCTAAGCTCGCCTGGTCGCTCTTTCCACCGGTTGAGCCGCACGCACGGGTGGAATACTGGTAGTTCCATGATGCCCCCAAGGTTGTGTTTTCCTGATGGGCTAGTGATATTAAGCGTAATATCAGGAACGCCTGATACCTTGGACGTGAATGCGATCGTTCCGTTGGCAAAGGCAGCTAGAGGCCTTCCTGATGGAGCAAGTGTAACGGACAAAGTTTCGACAATATCGGCGTACATCTCATTCGACGTGTGCCGTACGTTGGCTCGCCTCCATGGTAAAGCGGTTGAGTTTGAGGGCAGGATGGGTGGTGTGCTTGAATTCGAAAAGTTGGCGCTCAAAGGTGCTTTTCTGGCCATAAATTAGCTCAACTACCAATTTTCCAAAGAGCTCTACAGTTCACTAACCCTGGAAGATTGATGCTTCCCAGTAATTTTCCAACCCAGCCTTCTTGCTCCACCACTTCACGTAGAGCATTCGGCTCTGTTGTGCTTATCGTACCCGCATCACACATCTCTGTTAAGAGCTGTGCAATTATGTCGTAATTATTCTCAATCTTGACAGCCAGAAGTGGCGCGCCAAGAAAGTCCTCGAATGCATCTATTATACGGTGTAGAAACTCAAAGACTAGCAACGGTTCGATCTCGGTCGACGATGTAGCAAGAAATAAGAGGTTCGCATGTGTTAGACTGAAGACGAGCGTCGGGGGGCTCGTATTGGGGAGGTAGATCAGGTTCGGTCGCGGTGCAGGATGTTCTAAGTAGAGGGGCAGGAGATGAGTTGCCGACAACGGCCTCCCTGCATAGGTATGTGAGAGAATAGGGTTTCTGCGGTCAGGCGTTAGATAGATGACATGTGAATGCTTATACGAGACGTACCGGTTATCATCGTAAATGTGAAGTGCCTCAATAACTCCGTTCATGGTGATAACCTCCCTCTAAGTCAATGCGTAGGTAAGGTAAGTAGCTTCGCTTTGCGCCGACGTGGGACAGTCCAAGCAATGACGAAACTGGCACTAAAAGTCGAGACCCTAGACATGCATGACTCAGCCAACAGCAGCTTATCTGCCCAATCAAAGTTTGGCATTACGCGACTTCAACCCTTTGTAGCTGTGATAATTCAATGGCAGTTTGTATTAGTCTTCCGAATTCCAAATAACCAAGCGAAAACCCTCACAATGTCTGACAAAATACCAACAATTCAGGCTCTTGAGAAGCCAGAGAAGCTTGAGAATATTCTGCGCCAGGACAGAGGAGATGACTGTTTGCCTTGCAAAGTCGTTGGTAAGTTTCTAGAATTTGGTGGTTGCGATTTCTTGCAGCCCAGAATAACCTAACATGACGATAGGAAGCGGCGCATTCTTTGGCCTTGGAGCTTACAGCTACTTTTCCGGAATGTCACAGCTTGATAAGCAAAAAGATCTGATCCTACGGAGCAAATCGCCTTTCGGCATGAGAAGCCGCAAGTTTGGAATCACATCTATTTCGCTTGCTCTGGTATGGATGGGACTCTGGCGAGCTTTCAAGTAATCAAACATCTACGATACGAATGATGCAGCAAAGTTCTCTCAATTTTAACACGTATCCGCTTGTATGATAGCTCCTGGTGCGGCACCCTACAGCCCGCTCCAGCTTCCCTCCTGTCTTCTGTTTCAGAAAATCATGTCTTACTACTATTATCTATACAAGGCGTTGGGTGCTTGTTTTGTCGCTCAGCCTACGGCACTGTACGAACACTATACATATGTCATGAGAGAGTTGACGTGTGATTTGAAATATCTCCGCACGCCAGTAAATACAGAGTACGGAGCAAGGGGAAAAAATACATACAGGATGAATCAACGGTGTTTACCGCAGTACCTATGGTACATACTGCGAAAGTCGTAGTTTTAGCCATTTGATGTCGATTCATTGAGGCTCCGGACTTGAATCCGGAAATAGAAACCTCAAATAACCAAATAACCAAATAGAGCTCCTGTGTCAGTTTACCAAGTTATAGTTGTTTTGTTAATGGATTGACATCATGTCACTTCAGCTCCGTATAAGCTGCTGCGCTGTGTCGTAAAACACTAAAATCTCAACATGAAAGCCCCACATTGAATCTTTAACCAAACTCACCCATCAACCTCAAAAAGCGACGACAGAGATCAGGAGGCTCACCAACCGGATACTGCAGAATATATCTTGTTTGCATCCGACCACAACAGATTGGAAGGCTTCTTCAGAACCTTTGTACGGTCACCTGACCGAATCAGCTAGTTCATATCCTGCTTTGCCATCTCACGATCGTCTCACGATGCCTATCACAATCCTCAGTCCTCAGCCTCCCACGCCTCGGAGGCCACAGGCTGTCGCGGCTACAAACTCCGACTCCGACTCCGACTCAGAAGGCGGTGCTGGTGTTGCGGCCGACGACATTCTTACTCCAGGCGCTGAGATAACCTCAAATGCCCAATGGATGCGGTAAGATTCAGCACCTCAGACCTCACACTTATTGATGTCACTAACTTCTTCTCTAGTGGACATGGTACTTACGTACCGCCTGGATCATCATCTATCAAATCTTCCCTTGCTGGTACACTCACAAAGACAAACAAGCTGCTCTCTGTGCGGCCTCTCCGAGCCCGTTACACTCCGGAGATTGGTGACCTTGTTGTCGGTCGAATTGTCGAAGTTCAGGCAAAGCGATGGCGTGTCGATTTAGCCGCGTCTCAACTTGCCATTCTCCAGATTTCAGCCATCAACTTACCCGGTGGTATTCTCCGCAAGCGTACCGAGACCGATGAGCTTCAAATCCGCAGTTTCTTCGCCGAGGGAGATCTCGTTGTCGCAGAAGTCCAGCAGCTGCACCAAGACGGTGCCGCGAGTCTCCACACCCGCAGTTTGAAGTACGGTAAGCTTCGCAACGGTGTCTTCGTCGCTGTCACTGGCACCGGTGGTGGGGGCGGTGTCGTTCGATCCAAGAGACAAGTCTGGACAATGGATGTAGCCAACGCTGGCGGCAAGGTCGATGTACTTCTTGGTGTAAATGGATACATCTGGATCAGCAAGCACATAGAAAGCGATCCAGCCGCTGAGGCAGCGGGCATCAATCGCATGGAGGAGAATGTTAGCAGCAAGGTCTACTCGAGTCAGAATGATCCCATGGAGGTGTCGACCATGCGCGAGATTGCGCGAATCCGCAGCGTCATTCTGGCCCTTGTTGAGAACGGGCTCAAGGTGGACGAAGATACAGTGACCAGAGGATACAGCGAGGCAGTAGATATGGTCCGTGATTCGACCGATGACGACCTGTACCTGGGAGGCAAGAAGGGACAGCACCTAGCAGCCGTTTTGACTGGCCGTTAAAAATACTTGGATGTTCAAAAACCTTCTAGACAATTGTCAATCTAATATAAGATACCACAACCTCAAATTTTATCAGACATGGAGTCATAGTATCTCAAAATGTTAAGTTTTCTTTTGTTTGGATGATCGACACCTTGATGAGGGGCATTAGGATGAACTTCAGAGAGTATAGATGCTGCTATAATACATTACAGAAACTAAGGGTAAAACTAATAACCATCCTACATGGAACCGTATACACGAGGGGTATCCTTCAATTACCACCGTAACTGCTTTCCATTTCTCAACGAATGATGTTAGCTAGGCTTGCCTGTACCTATGTTTGTAGTTATTTGCTGTTTGCCTTGCTACCTAATATGCATATAGCCTATCTGGGCAGCAAGGACAAACTGATGATACCTATAGAGGCGATTATCTCAGGACTATTATAAATAGTCCTCTTTCTTCTAGGCTAGACTTAATCCTACCAAGCCTTCTTTTCCTATCTAACAAATGGGGGGAATTAACTAGATGGTCATCGTGTGAGCAATTGGCTCAGAACACCTTTCTTTGCTTCCAGTATGGCGGCTGCAACCACAAGGACGGCCCACCTGAGAAGAGCGCCCTTGGACTTCTTTGATCCGAGGCCGAGGACCAGCGCAAGGAAGTATGTAACCCCCTTGGTTTTGTTACCGTTGCGATCAAAGTTAGGCTTTGGGTCGGAAACCGCCTTCATCCGATTCATAACGGGCCACTGGTATGGCATGTATCGCACGCGGAAGAGGAAGTCAGCCCAGTAAGGGACTTCAGCGATAGTACGCTGATGACTGAAAGTTCTGATAGAGTAGATGCCATGATAGTTGCCCATTCCAGACTGGCCGACACCTCCCAAGGGAGACTGCGGAATCTGAGAGTGGAAGAAGGCATCGTTACATGTGGCGCCGCCAGAGGTCACATTATCCAGAACTGTAATGCGTTAGGTATATTGTCAAAATATTGGCGAGGTCAACGTACTCTTATTATTCTCAGCCTTGCTGCCAAAGGCGCTAAGGGAGAGAGGTGTTGGGTCAACTGAATTAGCAATTTCGATGGCCTGGTCGAGGGAATCAACCGCCATCATTGCGAAGATGGGACCAAACGCCTCTTGGGTCATCATACTGTCGTTGGTATCGTCAACAAGCACCGCCGTTGGCTCCATAAACAGGGTCGATTCGTCCATGGAGCCACCCAGGACAATCTTGCCGTTGGTGCCATCAAGCATCTTCTTGAGGCGGTTGAAGTGGCCAGCATTGACGATGCGACAAAGGTCAGGGCTGTTCTTGGCGCCTTGGGGGAAGAAGGTGCGCATCTGGTTGTTGAGCTCTCCCAAGAATTGAGAAAGGACACTTCGCTCGACGAGGATGTAGTTGTGAGACATGCAGACCTGGCCTGCATTGAGAGACTTCTGCCACAGAAGTCGTCTGGCGGCCAATTTCAGGTTGGCGTTCTTGGTGACAAAGGCCGGGTTCAGACCACCGAGCTCGAGAAGCACAGGAGTGAGGGTCTCAGCAGCCTTCTGGGCAATGATCTTGCCGACCGCCTTACCACCGGTGAAGCAAATTTTGTCGAACTTCTGCTCGAGCAGAAGCTGAGTCTCGGGCAAAGCTCCGTTAACATATGTGAAACATTCGGGGTCCAGGGACTCGTCAAAGATCTTCTTGAGCACCATGGCACAGTTGGGAGATGATTCAGAAGCCTTGAGAACAACGCAGTTACCACAAGCGATCGCGCCAATGACGACAGGGAGGTTGAGCTGGAAAGGGAAGTTGAAGGATCCAATGTTAAGGACAACCCCGAGTGGTTCGAAGCGAGTGCGATGCTTCATGGCACGAAACTGCAAAGGAACATTGGGGACAGGCTCATCGCGTAGCCATTTTTCCATGTTGTTGACCATGTCGAGACATTCTTGCTTGCACCAATCAATCTCGGCCAGAACGGCCTCGTACTTGCACTTGCGAAGATCTTTAATGAGGGCATCTTGCATCAGTTCAGTGTTGTCGACGATGGCCCAATACAGCTTGCGAATCTGAATCATGCGAAACTGAATGTCTTTGGTGCGGCCTGACCTGAAGGTCTTCCTCACGAGATCGACCTTGGCGGCGATCTCATCGAGGGGCGTGTGCTCTAAAGGAGCAATGGTATAGGATGAGTTGTTGTCAGCCATGTTGATAAGTGATGTTGAAATGTGGTTGGGTGACAGAAAAGATTAAGTGCTGACGCCACTGCATGTGCTTTGGTGGGTGTCGTGGATTGGAAACGATGTATGGAAGCGAGAGGTGGCTTGTATAATGCGTAAAAACAACGTCTTGTCGAAGAAAAGGATGGTGACGCTTTCAGTTGAAGAAAAAGTTGAGAAGGTTTGTGTTGGACTGAAGTGATCAGATTGAAAATGCGTTGATAGAGGCCTTCTCCTAATTGATCAGGCTACCTTGCCCAGAAGAACTCAGGAATTGGAGGGTGCTGGCTGTCGAGATTGGGTGGATTCGGCAGCTCTGGGAGGAATATTTGACCAATACTTTTGCGCAGCCTCACAATATAACAGTCATAGACTTGAAGCAAGGCCAAATCAGTTGCTGAAGCGTCAAAGATAAGATACGACCACTTCGAGATGTCATAAAGAAAATAAAAGGGCCAAGACAAGTAATTTCAAGGGATGTAAATGAGGGGCTTGTTGTATCGAACCCCGGATCGCCTCTCCTCGGCAGCCATCCACATCCACGTGCTGAATCATGCCGAGGCACAGTTTGGTTAGAACTTGAAGTCTGTTTAGGTATTGAATTGGTTCAATGGATGTTAACGGCGATCGTTTGCAATGCCTGTACCCGCACGTTCAAGAGCCACCAGCCCTACCCCAAGTACGCCCGCCTGTTTAACTAGTGCTAAACCGAAGCCCAAATCTCTCATGAATTCAGTTTGTTCTTATTCAATGGCATCTTCGACCAATCAGGTAACTCCTGACTTATAATCAAGACAAAGACATCAATGTTGCTTGTTAGACTTTCCCATTTCTTGTTTTACTTATTTTCCTTGATGTACACGACTCGAATTAAGTTGGCGGGTAGCATTATTGCTGTTGTGTTACTCGAAGTCCTGCACCTACCACCTTTGGTGTAACGCAATGCCACCTATACGTGCATCTCGCATGGTAGGTCTGAAACTGGCATAGGGTGCTTTTTGGGCTTTGCCCGTTTATTATACCAGCATTCTCAAACTGGCATGATGTTCATACTTTCGTTGCTCTGTGCTCAGAAGCACCCCGACCGGGCCCACCTTTAGGTGGTGATAACCTCACTTTGAGCTCCTAGTGACAACAGTGATAGCTTCACTTATGATCCTGCTCCCATCAACATCTCTTTTCCGACTCCCTTCCTTTCCAAAACCCTGGCCGCCAGCTCCTCTACTACATCCTTGACCCCGTCTCCCCAAAGTGCCGACGCAACCCCAAACTTAGCCCCTAACAACACAGACAGCTTCCTCCCCTCCCCTAACCCCCGCTCCCATACGCTCCCCGCGGCCTCCGCGCCATCGGCCTTGCCGGCAACCACGGCCGTGGGTGGCGCCGCTTCTCCTAAGTGCGGAGCCAGCACTTGAAGGCGTATGCGCCGAAGCTCTTCCAGACTCTCGATAGAGGAGCCGTCGTATAGCAGAATTAGAGCATCCGCTTCCGTTGCTATGCGGCGGGACTCGGGAGCAGATTGGATAAACGTCGATGGGATGCGCTCAAGGTTGATGATTGTCGGGATGCCAGAGATGTTTGCCAGGCGCCGGTCCCCGGATGTTTCGGTAATGGGATCATACAAGTCTGTGAAGACGCCTTGACAATACTGGTACTTTGCTTAGCAAATGCTCTCTCGTTGAATGAACGCCGGGCTCAACAGTATCTATTCATCTTTTTTGCATTAACTCACCCTCCGTATGAAGCTCTTCTTTCCAGAAGCTGGAGCTCCAAGAATAATAATGTTGACGAGGTGTTCCGTCTGCATCGTGTAGTAAGTCACCCTTTATCCTTGGTTTTTCTTGGGGAAAACGAGTAATAGACGATGCTTTAGAAAACGAGGTTATTTAGATGACAATCAATCATATGTTTCCTCATAATTGCTTGGCAGTCATGATGCTCTTAGTCAGCAACTTCAACTTGTTGGTCATGATGAAACGACATGAGTCTATTTTACCAATAAGGTTGGCTGTACACGCTTTCTGATCATTAACGTCAAAGCACAGGTAGAATAAGTGCCCAGCTACCTACTAATGACGAACAACAAAAGCGTGGCTTGGATGCTCATGCCGAAGAGCAGCCATAACTTCTCCTCGATAATGACTCCTGAACTAGGTGTTCATTCAACACTAACCCTTGTGCACTCTGAGAAGCTGGTTCAAAATTGCCTGAGGCGGCTCAATATCCGTGTGCCTTTTGTTAATGCTCGCTTATATATACACCTACAATTGTACATGCTCCGCCTAATCCAGCGTACGTATAATACATATCATCCCACGTTAAACATTTGAGAGGGTTGTCTATTTATTTCTTATCTCCTCGCACGGCTACCGCCAGCACTCTTGCCAGGTGTTGCAGGCACAAGCTCCGCAATCTTGGCCTTCTTCTGGTCCTCAGCAGCCCTCTTGATCAGATACTCGTCGATGGCCTGTGTTCCATCGATCAGCCGACCGCTCTCGGCGATTTTAGCATCCTCGATTGCCAAACGTTGGCGGTGGGCATCGAGCTGTTCACGGCGCTCGGGAGACATGCGCCACTCCTTGGGGAACTGCGGCTTGGGCTGAATCTTATGATGTCGGGTATCAAGAGGAATATCCTCAAATGTATCCTTGGGGTCTTTAGCCGCAGCAATGAGGTCGTCAACTAGATTGGAGAGGTAGCGCTTGTTCTGTGCTTGGTGCTCAAAGCTGTCGCTGCTCATCTTGATAATCTCTGTCTCAGGGTTGTAGCGAGAGCCAGCAAGCTTCTTGAGCTTCTCGGTTTGAACGGGCGTGAGCTTCAGGTCATCAGGAGCGAACTGTACCACCACCTTTTTCTCGGCTGGGTGGAATTCGCCCATATAAGAAGTGTACCGCCATCGCAGAACCTGGTTGTCGCTGGGAGGGACGAAGGGCTTGGCATACTCTGTTACAGTATCAATATATAAGGTAGGCATGTACTGCCAATTTCAGTTCCACTCACTCGAAAGAAGAGGCAACTCCCATACTGCCAATCGTGCGTACTGTCGCATATCTCGGATTTCGTCAAGCTTGCCATGAGCCATAGATGTTATGTCGTCCTCGTCGAATTCCTCAAGTTCTTCGGTATTGGTTTCGGGATCCTCCTCGTCGAACCAGAATGACTGTTTGTTGGGCCTTTCACCCTTATCATCTCTTGTGATATCTTCCAACACTGACCTATCCTCTGACGCCCAGCCAGGGTGGTATTCCAATTCATTTTGCAAGTAGTGGTCAATGGAGTTATAGCCATTCTCTTTGGCCAGCTGATCCAATTGTTTCAAGCCCTCTGGTGTAGACGCCTCAGCTAACGCAGCCTCAAGCTTCTTCAGCTCTATAGGACCGAAATCCTCCTCCTCATTGTCGTCTTGGCGTTGATCCTCCTCGCGCGCCCATCGTATCGTTGAGGTGGTAAATGCCCGTTGAACAAGTAGTTTTGGGCGGATAATCTGCTGAGGCCGGGGCATTTGCTGTATTCGAGGCGCCCGACGGCAGGCTATAGCGCATAGCCTTGCGGCTACCGATACCGAAGCCATTACGATTCGTTCAAGAAGGCAATGGCAGTGTCGAATTGTCGTCGACTCAAAAGATGGGTTGGCAGCCTTTCAAAAATTTGGCTGCACCACCAAGCGTAACTGTGGCTGACCAAGTTCCGATAATTAACCGCCATAGCTTCCTCTTACACAAGCCAGCCTACCTACCCTATTGCGGAAGCATGCTAAGGTTCAACGTTCAGAATCAACAACTCATCATACTTTCTTTCTTGTTTACTATTTTCTCGTGGTTATGGAGGAGTCTCATCTCGAACGCGTGTGCCTTGTCACGGTCGGTGCGACCACAGGTTTTACAAAACTCGTTGAATCGGTACTCCAACCTAGTTTCTGGCAATACCTGAGTTCACAAAGGTTCACTGGACTGCGCGTCCAATGCGGCCCCGACATTGTCTGGGCGAGCAAACAACTTGCCGGTCGCAAAGACGATGTTCCATCGGGTCTATATATCGACCTATTTGCTGCCAAGAAAAATCTTATGAAGGAGGAAATGTCATTATGCAAGGAAGCTGATTGCAAGAGACAACTCGGCCTCGTGATTTCTCATGCCGGTAAATCAAACAATCAATAACTTTGTGACTTGGACTTACATGTCTCAGGTACTGGAACAATCCTTGATGCCTGGAAGATGGGATTGCCTCTCATCGTGGTGCCAAATAAGCAGCTCCTGAATGACCACCAGACTGAGATGGCCAGACATCTCTCTAAGGAGGGATATGCAATTATGAGCTCTGGAAGGTATGTAAATGTTCTATACCTTCAACCAAGCCTTCTTCTCATATTGGATAGTACCGGGGATCTTGAAGAAGCTATCCATAAGGTGGGACTTCTCTGGGAGGAGAACAAGACTCGCTGGCCTCCTCACATTGTCCCCTCCCAGCAGCCCAAGAGGCTTCGCTTGTGGGATCTCGCCCCTGAAGAAGTCGCCAAAGAACAGAACGCCACGATGGTGCATGATTAGGGCTTTGACATCGTCAAGCGCGCGGTGGGCCTCTGATCGGATAATGGATCACTTAGGAATGAGAGGAGAGGTATTCACGTCACGCTTTGGACGGCATATGTTTGGTGTTTAGGCGTATCTATTCGCGCACAACTTGTCAAAAGGTGCATCTATCTAATGTATATTGAGTTTTCGGTCCCCCCCCGGGTGGGAAAACACTAGTCAAGTACAGAATATATCTTGCTCAAGGCAAATTCTGAACCTTCCAGATCTTCACATTGGCATCCCCTCCAGCACTGGCAACCCTACCACCTTCGACCCAGGCAACCCCGTTGACGCCGTCCTTGTGAGCGTTAGCAGCCTTGATTCGCTTCCCTTGGTTCTTCTTTTCAAGACACCAGATAAAGACGTTTGTATCAAGGCTACCACTAGCAGCGTAGGCGCCTGTGTCGTCCCAGGCAATAGAGGTTACGCGGGCAGTGTGAGCTGACCAACGGTCTGCGACCAATTCCCAGCTACCAGCGCTATAGACATAGATCTTTCCGACAGTGTTTCCAGCAGCTAGATGTGAGCCATCTTTGGAAAATGCAAGCGCAGAGATGGTGCCAGTTGGGTTGCTCAGCGACTTGACTTCCTCGAGCTTACCATTAGAACTAGCGTTGTAAATGCGTACGGAATTTTCGTTGGCTCCGATGGCAATGAATGACCCGGATGCCGCAATAGCACCAGGGGTAAAGTCAAAAGACTGCTCGTTGACCAGCTTTTCGCCAGAGTAGACGGAGACACCAGTATAAGTCGCCACATAGACAAGTCCGTTCGCCGCGCTCACACCCTTAGGCTGTGCCTGTAGCTTGATGGAAGTACCCAAGAAGGTCTTGGCCGACTCGTCAACAATTCTCAGAGTATCATCCCAACCAGCACTGAGAACCTTGCCATCGGCAGTTGCGAACTGGGCGACTTGGTTTGTATGAGCTTGGCCATCCACAACCGTAGCAATCCCTGACTTAACGTCCCAGTGACATACCCGGCCGTCAAAGCTGCCAGACCAGAGGTCAGCACCCTTACCGTCAGATCCAGTTGACAGAGCGGTTATGCTCTTTCCGTGACCATATACAACGCGCGTAGGTTCCGGCTTGCCCTCAGATAAGTATGCAAGGTTGCCTGCGAGGCTGAGACTAATAATGAGGCCATCACTACGGCCAGGAACAAATACAACACCGACTTGCTGATCGCCAACACTGACATCCTCTCCAAACTTCCAGGTTTGGATGACGCTGCCTGCATCGACATCCCAAAGCTTAACAGTTTGATCAGCACTAGCGGTGACGAACTTCTTGCCATCTGGCGACCACGACACGGCAAAGATACTTCCTGTGTGCTCGCCCTGCCCGATCTCTTTGGTGGGCTCGCCTGTCTTCCCATCGTAGAGCTGTATCTTCTTGTCGGCACCAACTGTAACCAGAGAGCTTCCATCAGGAGAATAAGCAGCGCCTAGAACAAAACCAGTATGTTGAGCGCTCTTGTTGTTGAACTTGTAGGGGGCTCCATGATAGAAGACCATGTTACCGTCGTCGCCAACCGTAGCCGCACGGAAAGGGCGCTGAGGTTTCATTGCGACGGCATTGACGGATTTAGAGTGACCGATAATCTCACCAACCGAGTTCCCACTATCAGCTGTAATGCAGCGACCGAATTGCTCGCGACCATCGCCAACAGCAATAACGCGTTGCGACTCGCCGTCCCAGGCAATATCGTTCAGACGGCCAGAGATGATTCCATACTCGCCCCTTGTGCTCTCGATAGACTCGGGCTCCCACACCTTCAGCATTCCGCTCGAGTCACCACTGGCGACCTTGAAGCCATTAGGAGCAAAGCGAGCAACGGTTGTAGGGGCGGTGTGGCCGGTGTATTCCTTTGCGTCCGAAGGGTTGTCGATGGAGCGAACAAATATGGATTTTCCGCACTACATGGGTCAGAGACATCATCTACGGAATGTAGTCTTCTGGCAGAGGGCAAATCATACAGGATAAGCTATCCGTTGACCCTTGGAGTCGGCCGAGATCTGAGTTGGCTGGCCACGGTTTGTAACTGGGACTGCCGCAAGGATGCGGTCGAGAGTGATGGATGGAGAAGCCATGACAGCAGCAGCGGTTATGAGGTATAAATGTGTAGAAGAGAGAGAGAATTTGCAAGACAGATGCGAGGATGTACCCGTATAAAGTCTTGAAAGTCAAAATGCCGTCAGCTTCTGACAGGAAGTTGTTGTAAACGTGGGGGATACGTTTCTTGTTTGGAGGGGCACTTCTACGTACGTCAACAAGCTGGTGTGGGGCAAGTGAGAATAAGGTAAGGTAAGGTACAGGAGCTTGAAGTTCCAATCTTTTTTGAGCTTGCTTCAATGCTGCTTATTACCTTACCGAGTACTAAAAAGCAGATTTCATTATTGTGACATTAACCTTATATAATATTACGTCCTGACATATAAGTACTGCCGAGGTAGACAATGTTTTCATTGCCATGAACTTCCATGGTCATATTTGCGTGGCTTGTTATTACTGCCTGGCGTAGGTAGATGTTAGGCGTTATGAAACTGGTCGAACCCATGGCAGCTTAATAGACATTCACTTTTTGAGGATCCAATGTAAGATGAGAGCTGACAAGTCATGATGGAGATTTGTTGGGAATTCTAATACTCATGACACGACGACTAAAAGCCGGCTCTGTCTCTGCTTCACAACTCTATGCATCAAGTACCAACATCATGTCAGTTCAAATGACTTGATTTTGCAGCAATACCCAAGGGCCCGGCGAGTGCTAGAAGCCAAATGGTGGAAAAGCGTCGTCACATCGTAATAGTTGGCTGTATCCAAACACAACACCTGTAAGCTATTGGGAAGCTCAAGGCTGCAAGACTCCAGTATCCTAGCCAGAAAGAGCATGTACTTTATTTGGATACGATGCTGGGTGTTTTATGCTTGTGTGATCCATGACATTGTTAATTTTGTGGCATGTTCTGGGCCTCCATCTTATCCCCAACATGATACTTGTGCTGGTTGTACTAGAGAATACGAGGCGGTTGAGACATCCATATATGCACAACATCTGTGGTCGAAAGCTGTGGCTATCATGGCTTCACCACTTAGCTCTAGTCTTCATTGCTCGATTTGAGTACTGCTCCATGCCAAACAGCAGGCCTAAAGAAAGTGGTGAATAGCCATCCTTATACTTAAGAAACTGTAGGTAAGTCCACCGAGGTTGTTTGGTGGCGCGTCAAGGTACACACGGTCGTGTCTGACTGGGCAACCAAACTCACAGCACGAGAAAAGACACACGATGTTGCAGTCCTAAATAACTACTCCATAGATTCTGACCAGTCATAAACTGCATGATACAGCATAACACCGCACAACATCGCACTGGTTCAGCCTCCTTGCCCCCTTAAAAGCACGCTAGTCATCTCCCCATCACCATGCAGGGACATCTCCCGGAGCAAAAGCTAGGGATAGCAACAGCGTTAAAGTCTCCTGTTGGAGGAAAACACAACGAACGACACAGGGATAAGGGTAACATTAGTCGACACCATGGTATCTAAATCTCCACTTTCACCAACAGCTAATGCAATGCGCCGTCGTTACTCCCAGTCAAGGCTGGTCAGCAACCCTACCGAAATCGTAGAATTCAATAGATTTGCACTGAATCATTGATCTTGTTGACCGCTACGACTTCAAAGACAATTATCATGTGTGACTGAGCATCGGTCTGAACATGACGGTGAAATGAGCATCACTATCAAAAGATACGTAGGCAAAAACAAAACATGTCCAAGCTTAAGCCACTAATAATACAACAAACACCAAACGGCAACATACATTTAGCCTTTTGTCTACCTCCTCAACACTCTATCTCAGGCACAAAGTCTCGAGTTGCCCCTGTTAGATAGCCCATGCCATGGTGTACATGCTTGTCATGAGGCGCTTTGGTCTCGCCTGGGGTGGGACGGTAGAGCATCCTTACCCATGCCCATACGGCACGATGCTAAACAAGGCCCTGTTCCTAATATCCCCCGTACTCTCGCCTGTGTGATTTAAAAACGCCTCGAACTCCTCAGTTTATATAATTACCCTCATTTTCCCTGTGCCAGGACCCGTCTTTTCTCCTCAACCTACTCTAGATTCTCCGATTCTTCCTACTCCATCCTTAAACACCCATCATGAAGTTCCTCTGGTCCATCGCTCTCTTCGCTGCTGCTGCTTCTGCTCAGTCTTCGACTGACTCCGGCGCTGCTGCTCCCTCTGCCTCTAGCGAGTGCGAGGCTGAGTACATTGTCAAGAGATGTCTCGAGACCGAGAACGCAAAGGTCCAGGACTGCAAGTCTAACGACTGGGACTGTCTCTGTGCTTCGTATGAGGCCGTTGCTACGTAAGTGAAGCATGACTACCCCTTGAGCTGAACTTGATTTTTAACAACTACCTCCAGCTGCTTCAACAACTGCCCAGACGACCCTCGTGCCAGCTCCGCCCAGAGCCAGGTCCAGATCAACTGCCAGCAGGCCTCTCTCTACGGCACTGCGACCAAGGCCACCAAGACTAGCTCTTCCACAGCAACAGCTGGCGCTTCAGATGCTACCGCCACTGATTCCGATGCACCTGATGCGACTAGCTCTGCTACTGAGTCTGCCGCCAGCGCTGAGAGCACTAACAATGCTGCCGACAAGGCACGCAACACTGCTGGTGTTCTTCTAGCCGTCGCTGGTGTCGTCGCTGCTATTCTGTAATTACATCTCGGAAATGGTTTATGAGTAACATGGAGGAGTTTAATTTGGTCTGAGCTTACGGTCGAAAAGCGTGCCATCAATGGACTGTTTAGATAATAACCTAATTCATTAATATATACTCGGTTGAGGTAAATGTCCTCAGCCAGTCAATGATTCGAACTACACCTACTCCATCCATTTGCTTTCCTGAACTGATTCAAAGATCTGCGCTACTATCATGCGTTTTGCCTTTAACTCTAATCAGAGCTAACATTGCTCAATCCGATTGGATGGCCATCAAGTATTTGCAGGGATATACTTCCTTATAGTTCAGTAATATGCCCATACCTTGTATGGCTGAGAACAGCCATCAGGGGTAGAGATGACCATTTCTTGGCCGAACAACGAATTTTTGAATCTTCGTAACCATGGGGAAAGCATTGCTGCGTCAAATTTTCGTCTTATTAATTGTACTTTCACACAGTCAGCTTATTCCGGCTGAGAAGATTATGATACAAAGAGGCGAAATCGCTTGAAACCAAACTCTTGATATAACTAATCCCGATCGTACAACATGTCCCTTCTTATCTGAGGATAATCGCTCAACATACTAACAACGAAAACAAAAAACAGGTGCAACTACAACCAAACCACCTGCATTCCGATAAGAAATCCCGTCCCGTAGCGCCGAAGTAAATATACGTGGTTCTCTAATTCAAACAAGACCGCATGTTTCCCGTACTGTAACCCCACAAAGCGCCCCCAATAGCCCTAGTTTTCGTTTGTGACAAACTGAAACCAAGCAGTTGTCGTTTCTCAATCGTGACCTGTTCCCAGTGGTTGTTCGTAAAGTATTGACTAAAAAATATATGGTTGAAAATCGGTGGTTCAAGAAGAAAGGCGAATCCAATGGTTTATGGCTGTACAGCGTTGGTGATGATGGATGGGGAAACTGACACAGAATGTGTAGATACTATGTTCCAATAGTTCAGAGTTTACGCGACCTTCGTTCCCTGGCATTGCTCTTTACCGGCGCCATCAGAGTAACATGCTTGGGGTCATCCTTACGAAACCTAACGGCGCCTGATGCGCCGCTGGATCCCCGACGCAATGAGCGCGAATCTTGGTCGTCATCCAATGTGATCTCTTCCACGTCCGACACCGACTCGGTTTCAAGATGATCACTGGTGCCAGAAACAGAGGAGCCATCATCTGTATCATCGTACTCTCCATCATCACTAACAAGGGAAGGCGCATTGTTGCTGACCATGGTATTGGGGCTCATGTCAACATCCTCCATGTCCAAATCTTCATCTGAAAGCACAGGATTCGCATGATGCGATCCGCAATTTGCAGACGTCTTGAAAGCGACCGGAGGAGCACGACCTTTGCTACTGGCTGAATGGACTGATGCATCCATGGCAGTTGGAGAATGGGTAGCCTTTGCAGGCACGCGCATAACGACTGGTTTTCGCACAGCAGACGGGTCTCTTAGTTCCATGTCCTCGATTGATGTCTCAGCAGGCTCTGACTCTTCACCGGAAGTCACATCATCCAATGGAATCTTTGTCTTTGCATCTGCAACCAGTTCACGCAAGTTCCCGTCGAACTTCCGACTTTGCAGTAGATGTGAGAGAAAGGGCACATCCGGAGCTCCAGAGACAGAGCTAGTCCTTTGCGCTTCACGCCCACGGGTTTTGCCAGGAAGCGAAGGGATGTGAGTGACGCCAGGCAGCTTGCCTTGTTTATAAAGCCTGAGCGAATCGGCAATTCTTGATCTGAGAGCAATGTATGCCTGTTGTTCGGTCATATCAGGTCGGGCAAAAGGATGCACAGAAGTGGAAGTCAGGGTTGGTACGGTCGGTGTTGGCGCCTTTTCCTCTCCGGCGACTCCCCCTTCCGTTACTTCGATAGGATGGCCGCTATGAACGGCTGCTTCCTCGTGGCTCTTGAAGTCCCTCTTATGAGCAATGCGGCAGTGATTGATGAACCCTTGAGTACTTGAAAAATTCTCCCGGTTGCAATCAAGACATACCAACTTTACCGTCTTTCCATCGGCGCGCTTCAAGATACATGGGCCAGCCTTGTCTTTTGGTTGAGGATAGCCACTTGACAAAGATTGTAGCTTCTGGCTACCAGCTCCACGGCCTGAGCGGACCTTGAGCGAACTTCCGGATTCAGTGAAGCTATTTCTTGTTGTCCGCCCTTCAGCAAACGAGGCTCTCGCGCGTGAGGCTTCTGGAGTAAAATGCCACTCGGGTTGCATGCCATCAAACGAAGGATCAGGAATAAGCCACTTGGCATAGTGTCTGGCATATGGACCATCAACGACACCGAATGGAGGTGCCCACCTTGGTACATCTTCCCCTGGACGTGACTGAATAGCAGGTCCCTTTCCGACACTGACATTCAGCATCTGTTCAGGTGTTGGGCAATTCACAGGGTAAGGGATGAGATGACAACGTCGCAGCTGCTCCAAAGCAACCTGACATTTCGCAAGTTCCTGGTTAATGAGCCGAAGTTCATCATGCTTTAGCAAAATTTCAAGGCCAAACTGATGGCGAATCTCATCCCGAGCATCGTCCAAACTAGAGGTCGTAGGACTTTCTTGTGTTTTTGGGCTGGATGCTGAAGAAGTGTCGCCTATTATGTCTAGGTTTATCTTGGCGCGCTTTGTAGGCACGTTCATCTCGGACGTTTCATCAGAGCCATAGATGCTTGGCCGCCTCCGTTTGGCAGGCTGCGCCTCGGGCGACCCTGATACCTTTGTTTTTGGTAACAGGGGCGACTGGAATGGCTTCAGCAGGTCTGCGATTGGTGGTGGTGCCGGCAGCGTCTTGTCGCTTCCCCGTGATTCAGATGTCCAAAATCGAAACATGAGAATACCTCGACAAGGAGTCAAGGAAGAGACCAAAAAGTCACGACGGAAGGGCCGTAGCGAGCTTTTGTATCAATGTGACAGGCAGCAGCTGTATGTGGGTTTAAAGACTGGTGAGGATTACGAGACCGGTGCCAAATTTGCGACAGAAGTGGCGCAGGTGAGGCTGACGTAACTGGAAAGTAGGTTTGCGGGTCGGACAATCGGAGTCGGGCGCAAAGGGGGTTGATGATGTGGCCCCTCAGAACAGGCCAGAACCAGAGAGGAGTTTGGGTCAGCCAGCGACAGTAACAACCAGGGCCCAGAGCGACAATGTGCCAGAAGAGAGAGAAGAAAGAAGTGATCGAGCGCTAGCGAAAGCCTCGACTTTGTGGTCTCTGAGAGACAGCAAACAAAGAAGTGTTTTCCTTGAGGGAGAGTGTGTTGTGAATGAAGAGGGAGGGAGACAAGAGGAGACGGGAGAGCGTGTAAGAGGGAAGATTAGGTAGGTTGTGGTAGTGAAGCAGCAAAGGGAAAGGCAGGAAAACGGGAGTGCAGGCGCAAATGAAGGTGCGAAGAGGAAAACCGATAACACATGGGAGGAAAGGTGCGTCAAGGGGGGAAGTGGAATTGATGCTGCTGTTGCAGGAGTCTGACACCACGTCCAGGGAAATGGGGATAAAGTCAAAACTGGAAGAAGGAGAAAGTGGGTGGCACCTGCAAAGTGCGCGATGGGAGCACCTCAGAGTTCAGTCCTTCACAGTCAGTACCCGAGAGTGACGCTTGGGGTCTCGGTCTCTTGTTTTGGTGCTGCCTGTGTACTGGGTTTCCTCCCTGATTGATTGAGCGATCGGCCAGAGACTTGATTTGATTGAACGGCCGATTGAATGCCCACAAAAAGCAGACCTGAGGCGAAGCCGTCGAGCAGGCTAAAACAAGCCTAGGAGTCAAGGGAGTCAAGTGCTGGCAGGCTGTTGGTGGGCACACAGGGGCGAAATTGGGTTTTTCTGGGCCTTGGGGGAGTGGACCATCAGCCAAGCAAGGAGCAAGGGGATGGATTGTGATTGCGGTGCGACGGTCAGAAATTCATAACCATCCACTAATAAATGCAAGCTGGAGCACTTGGCCCTCGAATCTTGAACGCTGTTATACACTCCCTTATAGCCCCTACCAAAGTTGGCAGATATAACTGATGATTTTTCATATAAGTACCTCAAGTAATTGATGAAAATTTTTATTTTGTGGTGGTCAAGTTAGTTGTTTGTTTGCTGCTTCAAACGAGTTTCGCCGTTTGTCTGCTTATATGATCCTGGTCACTTCCCGGCTTATTAACATTGATAACAAACGGGTGCCCAGTAAAGTTGGGGACTGGACAGGGAGAGATCCGTCAGATCCAGTCGACGACCTAGCCCGAGCTAGTGCAGACTGCTGTACATGTAGAGACCATGCTTCAAAACATGTGTGAAGTTTCAGACACTTATGTATTGTTGTGAGATGCGCTCCTCAAGTAGTAACTCCCAATCGTGATTTGACGAACAGTCCAGAAGAAGAGCCTGACGGAACACCATTCAATGTACTTGCTCAGATAGAAGATACCACAGCGTAACCAGAAAATTTGACTACAATCCCAATAACTCGAAGCAAAGCATGTTCTAAACCTAAATCCATCTTATCTTGTGCTTGGCAGCTACACTAAACCTGAAGACTACTTGGCTTCATTAGATCTCAGAGGACTGTCCTGCTATCAGTTCCCTTGGACCTTGGACTGTTTCTTCGCCTGTCTGTCTCACATCTCTCCTATTCCCATCACATGCTGCTGGTTTTGAACCTGGGCAATCAGTCCTACACTTGATCAACTTCGGGACGAGTCTTGGACGTCTGACAATGCAACCATCTATGAGACACATTTGGTTAGAACGAGACAGAATGGTGTGTAGGATGTGGGTCTATCTCTGTGTAAGTTGCTGCAGCCACTTCCAACCAGCTCGCTTATTTTCCACCTGGCTTGGAAGCCAAGCTGTAATGGTTTAGACTGTGCTGGTGTCCTGTGTACCTTAACATGAGTGCCTTTCTTTCAGAAGCCTCACTCCGGTTGGTTATTGTGTCTAAAGCTGGTCCAAGCTCCTTTATCTCTCCAGTTGAGAGTATCAACAGAAACTGCAATTCATCAGTATTTCAGTTACTATTGTCCGGTGAGCGTTGCACGGAAATTTTAAGTCCATATAAGCAAAGGCTGCAAATTGAAAGTTAGAAAATGGGGGATCTTGGAGCGATGAGATGATTCTTTTGGATTCCTGAGGAACTGCTCTCAGCCCCACTAGGCGACTCTGGTGCAAATCGTCATCCATGACATCGTCAGATGGGACTGCTGCTCATAAAGTGCTCATCTCCGTTCGAAGGTAATGGAAGAAATTCTGAGATGAATAGATCAGCGAAAGAAGAGATTCAGCTCCTCTGAGCTGGCTAGGAGCGAGACTTAGGTAAGCTGAGCTGGGCTCATGTGTTCAAGCTCCCAACCCACAGGATCTGAACTCCTCAAGACTTTGGCGTTGTGGCGCACGCCTTGCCAGCCACTTTTACCATGTTCCAATCTCAGATCTTGCACATCCACGTGAATTAGTGAGCTGCCTTTCCTTGTCATGTAGCCACGTGCTTTGAAGTTTAGTTCCAAAGGGACGGCCTACTGAGGAGAGAAAACTACCATATAAAAACAATGAAAGCTCATGATGCGTTGCCAGTTATTTACCTAGGCATCTCCCATAGCACCTAAGGTTTCTCACATAACTGGAACTCTTTGAAGGTGCTTAAGTGAACTACCTACCTAGGTAGTGTATTCTGGCGTACTGTCCTATGGAAGATACATCGAACCAATCATCAGGTGTTAAGCAAGGTAATGGCTGGTAGAGCAAAGATCTCTCATTTTGTTTTAGGAAAGTTAATTTGAAAGTTGAACCCCACCTATAAAAACGTTTAGTGACTGTTTTGCTATTACGTTGAGGAGCGACCCTATTTAGCTGAGATGGGATAGAATCTTGATCTTAGATTGTTCAAATACACGGAGTGCCAAGCATTTATACCAAGTACGGACCTGCATGTGCCCCGCAAAGCTCAAGTCCCGGTCCGCAACTTTTCCATCCTTTACAGCCACCTCGTTCTTTCAACATTTTCGCTCACAAAGATGCCCACTGCAACATTAAACCATGTCCCTGGCAAAAGGAAGCCAGATACGAATATCTCCAAGGATGCCCATTTGCCGAAGCGACCCCGAAGCAACGATCCTAAGACTCCAATACCAGCTCTGCTAGCTCCACACGAAACTATTGTCGCCGAGCTCAACTCCAAATATGACATCCTACCTGCGTCAGTTATTTCGTCAACGCAAATCAAGAACCGCATCACGCAGGTTGCAAATCACATAATAACTCAAGGCGACCGCCCTCGAGTAGCGCTGCTGTATGCGCGAACCGGCGACGTCTGCAAGCTTATCACTGTGGTGGAAAAATGCAAGCGGATTGTCAATGAGGAAGGGAAAGCATATTATCAGTACAACCAGCTATTCGACCAACCAGAAAAATCTAAAAGTAAGGATATTGTTGAAGAGACAATCCTTGAAAAGGACGCCCAAGAAGACAACGATTCCGACAACGATGATTTCGAAGTTATGCACAACAGCCGATTCGAAGACGCAGTGCTACCTAAGCCCTCTCCACGATCTGTGAAGTCAATGAGGGTTTTCATTTCGACTGTGCCCATACAGGAACTGAAAATAAAGAAGGGCGTTACGGTCCAGTCTGGTACAGCCAAGCAGGCTTGATACAATCCCGATAATTCTACTCTGCTCAGGCTATTATATCTACCTTATGTTTTAAAGAGTATAATGAACCACTCCAGGGATGATTTATGTTCGAGAAAGTCGCATAGCAAATCACAAGATACCCAGCGCAAGTAATAGAACATTCTGCTTTTATTTGTGCCGCTACAATTGTGCAATACTGTGTAAAGAAAATTTGCGATGTCCCGGCTCCAACGCAAATGGCCCGATGCACCCCAAGATTCCATTCCCCACTGAGCCATACCTACCTCTTCCCATATAAGCGGCCTTTATATTCCGTTAGTTGACTGCAACTGCTGCGGTCATGTCTTGTGACTCTCTAGTTGCCATGGTTCTTGGACCTGTCGGTAATTCGGAGGACAAAGTTGACAATGACGGCCAGTAGAAGAATGATGGCCAGAACGGTGGGACCAAAACGGTCATCGAAGCCAGCCTGACCCTTCATTCTTATAGACTTGGCTCGCCAATGGTACGTTACCAATGCGTATATCATGGTCAACATAGCGACACCGGTGAAGAGGAATGCAGAGATGAAGGCGACTCTGTCACCGAAGTTAAGCATGCCGATGGCAAGGGCGCCGAGGATGACGGTGAAGTTGAGCCATGATAGGAAAGTTCGTTCGTTCGCGAAGAAGACCTTGGGCTCGACGCGGGTTGGCAAAGCAATGCGCTTACCTAGAAGACATGTTAGACGGAACAAGATAACCAAAAGCCAATTGCAAGATTCAATGGGCACTTAGGGCGGACATACCGGGAGTGGTCTGAAGGAGAGGCTGGGAAGACATGTCGGAATTGCTCGAAATTGGCGAGGTTTATTGTTGACAGCTCCAGTAGTGAGTGTTGTGTCTCTGTTAGCGAAGGAGAAGGAGCGCTGCCAAGTAAAACTGGTAGTTCTTGGGACGGTATGAGATGATGCTCAATTGATAATCCTAGTGCAAGCGATTGGCGAATGACTTCACTGGGCCAAAAAACTGTTTGTGACAAGAAAAGGACCAAGTCGTCTGTTTATGTACGACATGGACTGGACTGCCGAAACGAGGACGAGACGCTCGCCCCACTTCTCGGTGCGTGCTCCTGTAAGTAGCAAGCTTGTTGGAAGAGCACGTGGCTCATTGGTTGGATATAGTAGTAGCACACGACCGCCCTATTGACTGCAAAAAACTTATTAGCATTCAAAAGCAGGTACGAATACAGGTGCCGGATCTGTCTTGACACTTCCTTTCCGATTACATGGAATCACCTACCTGTACGGCGATGACAGATCATATATTCATTACAAATTTTTGACAATTCTCTTGTAGACCTCACTTGGAATGACAGGACATTTCGAAGGCAACGATAATTTTGTTGTTCTTCAACAATGCTTGCAGATACCATTGAGACACATTGGATCAGTGCGTAACTTCTCACCCAATGAGAAGAAACTGATTCATGGAAGTTTATCATGGGCTATCATGACTTTAGCTTACCAAAAAAAGCAAGAACTAACCTTGCCAGAAACGAAGCGCAGAGAGGAGGTACTAATACACAGGTAGACACAGGAGTACGATAGTAATGAAGATCAAGATCGAATTTAGGAATAAGATCATTCATTCTCTATCAACACCTTCATCTCAACGAAATTGTTTAGCTCTGGAATACCTACTGTTCCTAGGTAAGGTAGGTACTGTTGGCAAAGATCGATTGCATATTGATCACGTGCCTGACGCTCCCATACTTACAGGTAGGTAGCCAAATTGGAAAGACACTCTGACACAAACTGAACCAGAATAATAATGATAATAAAATGGTCCCAATCATGCATAGTAAATAGCTACTAGGTAGATCTCGTTGTATTGACCATAAAAATTGCTCACCTATGCTTCTCTCGAGCACGATGCATGACAGAAGAAATTAAGGTTGTGGTTGTTGTTGAAGGTGCTAGCCATGGGTTTGTGCATGAATACATAACCCGGTTCCTCTGATAACGAGGCGGCTTGTTTTGTTTACCGACCGTTTTCTACCTGTCCAATCCAATCCACGACGCCATCCATCATACATCAACCCAGCTCCGAACCGTCCTCTTAACCCCAAAACGACACCAATCTCTAAAATGGCCACTCCTGTATGTGCACCAACGTTGAAAGGACCTTTTATCCGTGCAAGAGTTAATCTTTATCCAGCCGATTCCCGCCAACCGCCTCAAGCAGATCGCTACTGATGTACGTCGCCCATTCATCTCTGCTTACCGCCAACATTAAGACGGCCGCTTCTTTCGACATGTGTACTAATCACGACGATTCCAGGCTTGCAACAGCGCGATTGGAAGCGCTGAATTCTACGACCATGCAAAGACCGAGCAATGGAACTCAACAATCATTGTAGGTTGACGGCACTACTCTACACAGCATTGTAATTCAAATATTGACTATGGATACAGAGCTCTGTTCTGAAAGCCGTCATCTCCGAGTCAACCCCTGAGGGCGCTTCTGCCCCTTCATTCAAGTTCGCATGCAACAGCACCATCGTGCAGCACCTCGTCCCTACGTCCGCCCTGAACAAGCCTCGCGGTGGCACCGAGATCAAGGCTGAAGAGCCTCACATTTCTACCAGCTCCGAAGCCACTGCCACTGACGGCAAACCCCATGTCGGTCGACGAGGAATGCACAGTGCCACTGGCGCCTACTGGGACGAGAAGAAGGACGGCATGTGGACTTTCAAGTATGATGGCGGTGAGGGCAAGGGCCTTGACGTTGTCGTTATGCTCATCTGGGTCGCCATTTGAATTGCCAAGCGAGCGACGGACGGTCGGGTGTTTTCGCCTTGTTCTGGCCTCAAGTCTGCTCTCGGCGGACGTGGATGGCACCCTAATACAGCTATGGCGTTGAGGGACTTGGGAAGCGTGACATTAGGAATACGAAGGGTACGATGAAGCTTCCGGACAAGCTATCCGCCGACGACTTTGGTATTCATGCAGACCTTGGATGTAAAAATACGCTGGAGTTGGTAATATTCTCCAATACCAGAGGACTGGGATCAGCCAGGTTTCTTCTATTCATGGAACTGTGTGCTTTGTCGACCTGAGGTTGAAATAGCATAACTAAAAGGACAGTATTTTCACACACCTCTTGATGGTCGACAGTGTTTAGTGCTTCTTTGTGTTTGCTCGTCAACATTTATCCCAACAACCATCGCCGCAATTACTCCTCTATTGTCCTCAAGAACGTAAACAAGTAACAAAATCGAGCTCGATTATGGTTATCACAGGCAGTACTTCCGAGCAAATTCATGGATGAAATAGAGGGTTGCTGCTTGGTGTCATAGCCTATCAAACGATGCTTCCTCATCTTGCCTCGTCCACCAGGATTGCACTCCTAGGAGGCATGACGAGCCTCACAAGTCGAGGGGACTCCGTGATCTTATGTGCAGTTCGTCGTCGCCCCGTTCTCATCATGTTGCGTTATCCAGTACCTCATCTAGTGTGTTTAAACAATGTTCTTATTTCTGCGACCCAGCAAGCGTATCATTGGCAGACGTTTTATCAATCATATCTATGGACCGGCCAAACGATTGTTAACTCAGTAGAAGCTGCGACCAGAAACCTGGTATTATCTTAAGTCTGACTAATTCTGGCTATATTCTTCTTGGTAACTGTTCTTATTATGTGATCACAAGATAGTAGACCAACCCTTCAGGACCACCCGTGTTACGAAAAATGTAGACCATGAAGACTTACAGTACATTATGTAGAAGTGCTACAAAGCAAATGTTTCATGAAATTTGATAATTACCTGAAACACAAAGAAGGCAAACAAGATGGTCAACTAAAACCTGATGTAAAGGTTTAAATGAACTTTTAAGTATAATGCAATGCCCATATCAAAGTATGCAGTTATGGTATGATATTCATATTGAAGTACCGCCAACACCGCCAATATTGTATACCTAGGCACCCACGTTGTGATGTCGATGTGGCTTGCAATCCCGTCTGACATGAGGAGTAACCGGCCAGGATTAGGCAAAGAATCCAAATTTGTTCCAAATGTATCCTTCACTAGAGAGTCTTGACGCAGGTTGAATACGGCTCAATTAATGGGCGAGATTGCCTTTTCAACGGTTCTAACTTATGCACCTTGCTTGGTAGCTACTTGGCCTCCCTGAAGGTAGTTCTTAAGAAGCTTGAACCTGACCACCTTTCTTTCAAGCAGGTACTAGATGCCATATAAGGTAGTGTGTGATCCTACTTAGTCCCGAAAACTGTATGCTCAGTTGGTGATGAAATCCTGCAATCGCTAAATACTCTGATAAAGATTGGCACGAGTCCGATTATCCAGAATCAGGAGATCTTACATGCGTGATCCCCTTTCTGCTAGCATCAGATAAACTTCCCACTAAGCAACAACCTGATCCGCGGATGTAGAGTCAGATCATAGTATGCCCTGATTGAGAAAGGAAGTAATGGCGGCTCTTGGGCCTGGTTCGCTCGCGCCATTCCGGTTGATACCATGCATAAATGCAACCCAACTTTGAGCGCCAACGATTGATACCTGCATCTTGGGGGTACACAAGCAGTGGTGCTAGCTGCACAGTCACTGCATAGTCGTGTGAGGAGGAAAGCTCCGATTTCGAACTCATTTAGGAGGTTCAATACGTTGCAGACTTGCGTGAGAGCAACCACAGATACGCTTCACTTCGGTATGGCTTCATTGTGAACGAAAAAATGTGAAATCATACGAATACCTAGTCAGCTTAGACATGAAGGTGGTGCACACCCATCTAAGTGCATCAATGCTGCAACTTCCTGTGCATGTCTTCGTGGGGGTCTTGTGTCTTGTGTCTTGGTTTCCAACGAAAGTGAACATGAAAGACGGCTGGTGTTGAAAGAGCCTCAGTACATACTAAAAGGAGAGAAAATAGAGCCATTGAAGAATGATGCACTAGGCAAAACGATTATAAAGAGATTTTTAGACGTGATTACTTTACTAGAAGTCTTAAAAATAACACACAAAGCCTTTATGAGTAGGCAGCAGTTTTATTTCCGCATGCCGGCAGACTGATATTGTACCTCCAAGACTCAAAGTTCCGGTTCTAGACTCCCATTTCACCACTCTGTGGCTGATTGATCTCTTCGCCATAACAAATGGTAGCATCGAGACTTTTGTCGAGACTTTGCACGACCCTGACTTTATATCGGCCCCGGTCCGCTCCCAGCGGGGCTCTCCGGCCCCGTGCCTTTGAGTTGAGGGGACATGGCCGGGGTCAATCTCCATAATGACGTTGTTGCTGGGGTTATTAGCGCTCCCATGAACGCCGTTGGTTTGATAAAGAGTGTGCTTGATGATCAATGGCAGACACCCAACAGCGAGGTGGAGGAGTCGAGGCGTTTGTTGCTGCCGCATTGCACAGTTAGGGTTAGTTGCTGCAAGATTAGTTGTCACCTCTTCTGTCTGCCCTCCAAGAGAAGACAGACTTGTCGTGTTTTCGCGAAGCTTGGAACATCTGGAAAGGGTGCCTGTCAGGCTCAATCTAGGCATGATTTCCCCCCACATGACACACTGCACGACACGACATCACAATCGTCTGGGGGAAGGTTTCTCACTTCTTCTCGTCATACGATGATAGACTAAATACCACTGAATATACCGGGCCGGTACCTGCACAAATCTTGACTTGTATCTATGCAATTGGAGTTGGTGTTGCGTTTGATGGACCATATGATCAGCAAAGAGGCCCACGCCCAGTGCTATTCATGAAATGATTTTTGCGTTGCCACCAAAACCTGAATCAGGGTCCCGGTATCGCGGCCACTGGGCGGGTTTCGGCATCACCATGTCATATGGCCAGTAAGAAAAGCTAAAAGAGGCTGAGAGGCAGAAAAAAAAAGCACACAAGCTTCGGTTGTGCCTCAGACAAACTAACTTAGCCAGACCAGAATTAGCTTATCATGGTTTTTTTCCGGAACTCTATGTCCCAATTAACCCCTGGAAGGACAAAGACAGAACTCGAATTGGTTCATTATGGACCCGGGACCCATCACACCACCCCCCAAAACCAAGCAACGGCGTCCACCGACCTTCGGACTCCGACCGGCTCTTGGAAGGACTGCCCGGCCTTGTCGTCTATCCATCGTCAACGTTTTTATAACCGGCCTACGTCGCCACTCCTCTTACCTTTGCCTTTGCCTGGCTCTTTAAATACAGAACTTCAACTTACACCCCCTTCAACTGCTCATGAACGTGTTAGTGAGGCTCTCACTTCACCAATATACATACAACCGACACCGGTATAACATCGTCAACGCAACATAGAAACAACTTCTTGGAGTGGATCACTTCCCCTCCTAGTTCACCGCGTTTCCCACTATATTACATCACAACCATTGTGAATAACTTCAAAAAGGACTGCCATCAACAACGCCTCCTCAGGGTTTTGACTTCCGCCGCATTTACCCAACGGACATATACAGCAACATCTTTGCCCGCGAACCATGGTTCAATTATTAGCTGATCCCGCATTCTCCCCCGCTGGAACACCAACACACGAAGCCACTGATGGTCCTCTGATGAAGCGTCCCAACTTTGGCAGGACTGACTCGTCAACGCCAATGACCCGGGAAGAACATGCCAAACGGATGCAGGAGCTCAACAAAAAGAGAGGATTGATGAGAGCACCCAGAAGAGGTTGGTCAATGACTGACTACCAAGGCGACCATATTGCCGGGTCGCACTCGGGTGCTTCTCACATTGAGCGGCAAGCACCGATTCCCGAAAATGAGTCTCCTCCTCCGTCCACGCCTCACCAGCCTTCAACTCCTGAAGTACCAGCCGAGGATAAGGCAGCCCAACTCTCTCATCGACCGAAGTTGCCTCCTCCTCGTCGCTCATACTCTGTAATGGATTATGAGCCAGTTCCTCAGACACAGCCACAGCCCCCCAAAGACCACACACTACTAGATCTCCCTTCTGAGCTTCATTACACCATATTCGATCACCTTGATCCCATTGACAGCGTTTGCTTCGGCCTCACAAACTCCAACTTCTACGAAATTCACCGACGACTTCACGGCACAGTTCCTCTTTCCAGCCGTTACTCTGGACCAAACGACATGGAGTGGGCTTGGCGAGGAGCTGGTCCCCTTGTCCATCGACATGAGCGAAACCCTGAAAAGGAGGGCCCTATGGAGCAGATGCGTGTCAAGGGCCAGGTGTACTGCAGAAAGTGTGGCATTTCGCGATGCGAGCTGCACCGTCACCTCAAAGACTGGATGGGTGAGGGCTACGAGTATTGCTCCATCAAGGAAATTTTTGGCAAGCCCGCAGGAGAGGACGCAAAGCCATACTGCTACATGAAGTCGCCGAAAAACCCACATCGATGTGGACGTCACGGAGGAAAGCAGGGTACATCATAATGAACCTAGACGACGGCAAATTAAGATAAACGATATGATACAACAACTCACCCCATGGGGGGTATGACGACATGAAAGCAAAGACCAAGACAAAGACCTGGATCTGCTTAATTTTAGGACACCTACAGAGGCGTTATTTATTTAGAGAACTTTTGATTTCAGGCTGTATTCTCTCTTGAGAAATGGACATTTTGGATAACGGATGCTGCGTATTAGTCAGATCATGGATAGTAAACACATCAGGAGGGTGGCACCAAAAAGGAAAGTGCGGGAAAGAGCTTCCTCATATCATAATATGATGCAATGAAAACATTTCTGATACAATGAGCGTGTTTTATCGTTACTCCAAGGTCGATGAGACAGCATGCTTTATTCACATAGATATCTAATTACTGTGGAGCAATAATACTGCTAGATATCGATCTACGGAAATTTTTACCCCTGTAGTTAACTTCAGACGTCATGGACTACTGTTCTCGACATACATACTTCGTCATTGAACTACTGAAGCTTACATCTGATAATCCAATTAGTATGATGGAATAGATCGAGAACACCTAGACGACAGGAATGCCACTAAAGCTGTTCCTAGTTATACAGTTTTGGGCTTGCTATTGTCAGATCAGGGGAAAAAAGAAAATAGGTAGTTACCACTACACTCAGATATACCAACTTTAGAAATTTACAAGCAAGGTCATCATTCTTAATGCTTTTATTTTTATACACCTGTCAAGCTTGCTTCCAACAATTCTTCAAGGTCGTTGTGTGCATAAGGAGCTATTGAGAGAAATCTGTTCCCACCTCAAAAACCCTTTGTCTAACAATTGGGAACCTAATGTTACTCCTCTCTGGCCTGCTCTACTCTAATCAGACAGATCATGCAACAATGCACCGAACCAATACCTATAAAAATAAAAATAAAATGTTCATCTGTATCCCAAGATATATCCCTTTATCACGGTGCAAATTACCCAATTCCTTAAACGCCGATCCCCAAGAAAGGGATTACAAAACACCGTTCATGACCTTGGCCCACCCCGGTTAACAAGTAGTAGTGAGAAATGCACGTCGAGTGCTATTCCTTCCACTTTGGTGTACAATCACCCTTGGCGTCGATCCAATCGTTGATGCCTTGCACAAACCAGCCACTGGTCCACTTCTCTTCTGGCTTTTGCTCCTTGCGAGGCTTGCCTCTCTTGAAACTCCTGGCGATACAGCAGACGTTATTGTGGTAGCGCCATTGGAAACAGCGGCGGCCAGCGTGCCACTCCTTGTTGCCCTTCTTCTGGCTGTAACGAGACCTGATCATCTCGTTGCGTTCTTTGTCGTCCTTGAGATTGTAATAGTCGTCCTCCGAAATGTCGAGGTTTTCAGCCTCACAGACCATAGCGCAGTGCTCCTTAGATCGGTGAGCGTGTTGCTCAATGGCATTTTTCTCGTTTTCCTTCCTTTGCCGGCCCTTCTGGTGGTCAGTGGCCTTGCCCTGAGCTTCAGGACCGAATCCAATGTAGCAAACGTCGTCAGACAAATTATCCCACTCGTCGTGCTCCGCCTCCAGCTGAGGAGCCCAAAACTGGTGATACATTTCTCTGATTTGGATGAACCCCTGACATTGATAATTAGTTTCATTCTTTGCAAAGATCAATAAATCACCGCCAAACATACCTGTTTCTGTCGCGTCTTCTCGAAATGCCAAGCGTCACTGACTTCCTCGGGGTTCATGTGATGCATGGTCAAGAGAGGCTCACACCAGTGATTGTTGCCAAATGGTAGGGTTACAGGCTTCTCGCCGTTGAACATGGGGTGTGCCTGTTTGACCTTCTTTCCGGTTTCCATAACAGCCAGGGACATGAGGTAATCACCACAGCATTCATGGGTAGCCATCATATCGTATTTGTGTGCCAAGTCAGGAATCTCAACCATCTTCCTCATGGTGTCTCCGTGAATGACATAACCACTGCCACCATGGGCGAATGGCTTTCCCTTGAGCATGGCAACACTGCCGACGTATGGGGTCTCTGTACCATTGACCCTGTTGCGAAGGTACCACACAAGATTCGACCAGAAGACGTAGGTGTCGGCTTCAGCAAACACGTACCACTCCTTATTGGGCCGCATCTCCCAGGCTTTCTCTACCATGTGGAGGAACTTGTACTTATCAAGATTCCAGCCTTCCTTCATATTTTCGGTACAATACTGCTGAGCAATCGGGCATTCGGTTTGGGCTTTGTAAAGGTCAAATTCCTTGCGGCCTTTTCTGACGTCGTCCTTCACGTCCTTCAAGACGTCGTAGATTTGGTACTTGTCGATTTGTTGGTCCTGTCCGAATTAGTTAGCCGCAACCCTTTATGGAACGGTGGCTTGGTATAGTTTCATCGGTGGCGCAAAAAGTTCCCCTTGCGTCCCCATTTGTAGGAAAAGATTGTCGTGTTTACTCACCAGATCAGAAAAGAGAAGATAGTCGTCCAGACACTGCAGACTCGTCAAGAGATGAGCTGGGAGCTTGGTAAATGCTTCGGTAGCACCGGTTTTCATGACAAGCATGATACCATCGGTGTTTGGAAATCCATCGCAAACTCCGGTCCAGTTTGATAAAGGACCCGAAGGAACATCCAAGTCCGCCGTTTGAGAAGGGGTAAACTCACTCGCGATGCTGGTTGTCGCGATGTCTTGATGAACTTGGGTCTTGGTTGCGCTATCGCCGTTTTCGTTCTTGTGGTCATTGTTGTTTTGCGCCTGATCAGAAAGTTTGACTCCATCAGGTTGCTTGACTCCATTGTCCTGGGCCTTGTTTTCACCCTGCTGATGCTTGTTCTCACTTTCTTCAGGTTTGATCTCACTGTGTGGTTGTTTGTGCTCGTCGCCTGGGGCTGTCTCATCGGCCTGAAGTTTCTTCTCACCACTCTGGGGCTGCATGTTGTCCTGTGGCCGTTGCTCCTTACCGGCCTCCTCGGGCTTGTTTCCATCCTCTTGCGACTTGGGCTCACCACTTTGTACACCCTGCGATTCGGTCTCGCTGCTCTCGGGTTTCGTGGTCTCCTTTGGCACCTCGCTGTGGGTCTGGTCGGTGTTTTGAGGTGTATCGCTGTCGCCATGGTCAATCTCAAGAACCGCTCCATCGTCCTCCGCATCAACCGGCTTCTTGTCATCCTCTGGGTGTTGAGCCCCAGCAGGCTTCTCAGCACTGTCAGAGGCTTCCTTGTCCTTCTCGCCTGTGTATTGTGGCGAATCCGTATCGTATGGAATCTTTTCGGCAGGTTCCTTGTCGTTCAGTATTTGGTTGGTAGTCGTCTCGTTGAGGTTGGCGACAAAGCCTTCTTCGACATCGTATGCGGCACCTTCATGGCTGAGATAATTGGTCAAATGCCCATAAACACCTGGTGAATCGTCGCTGAGCCGATGGAGGGGTACAACGAGCAGCAAGGTCAGGGCAACGAGTGTTACTGTAATCAGCCTCCAGCCCCTGGGGGTGCTCCAGGCAGAGCTTAAGTGAAGACCCATTGGGAAGGGGAGAAAACTGGTTATACAAAACAGGAACACATGCAAGAAAGGATATGAGTGTGAAAATACAGAAAACGCAAGGGAGAGTGTTGCCGAGAGGCTATAAGATGTAGGCTATGAAAAAGAAAGAGAATGATGATAGATGGAGGCTGAGGGTGGGACAGGGTAAAAGAATGTGACGACAACCCAAGAAATCCGTCTACACACGGAACGGGAATCACGCTGTTTTGTGCAGCTAAGTTGGCATGGTTCTTTTCAAGAAGCTCGCTCGTCTCGTCCGGCAACGTGTCGATAGATACGATCGTCTCCACATCAGCTTATCCTAACTCCTTGGCTTCCGTCGCAAACTATACGGAGCATCTGGTCTGCTCTATCTATCTGTGCCCTTGGCTGCATGCGAATTGCAAGTTATTTCTCGAAGGAAACAAAACTCAGCCAGGGCCCCTCCCTAGTCCACTAGCTACTAATCGCTAGTCAGGCCCAGGCTTGATGAGGCGTCCCGTCCAAGCCGGATGGGATTCATGGGAGGACATGCCGCTAGACATGCCTCCACAGAATCAAGTGAAAGCACATGCTGACAGGAGTGGATAATTCGCTTGCATACAGTACGATTTCAGGGGTGCTACATACCCTGCTGCCGTGACAGGTAAGGTAACAGCAGCCTTGGAATGGTCCATCTGGCGATCACCCTTCCAAGGACCAAGCGCCCGCATTCCAGACAGTTTGAGTTTGATAGAATACCGCAATCCATTGCCGATAAAGCTCCAAAGTTGCGTGCCTAGGACGTTGTGCTTGGAACGCAGCTATGCAAAAGCTTCTGCAAGCAGCACAACGGCCCGGCTTGGAATTCAAACTCTGCTTCAAACACGCGGCCAAACGGCATTTTTCGCAGATTGCTCATAGCGCCAGGCGTCGCCCCAATGCCAATAGTCAAGGTCGTGGCTGAAAGTCATGGTTTTTACATGTCCCGAAACGGACATTTCAACATTGACTGTTATGACAAAGTTTGGCCCCCTTTTTTGTGACATGTAGATGGACATTTGATCTGAAAGCAGCCAGTGAATAGAGATGGGGAAAATGAGCCCTGAATCCAGACTTCGATAGTTTCTTATGAATATTGTTTCGTTTACACAGGTAGCCGCCGATAGTGTCATATAGCGTCTGTCTACGCGGCCTTAGAACATGCCAAGCGTTGGCTAGGTGGGGGTCTTTGTCTTTTTTCTCCTTTGTAGCTGTTATAACATGTTTGGCGACAAAGTGCTACCAAGTTTTTCCGCCCCTGAGGCTTGCAGTCAGACCCGTTGGGATCTTGGCTTGCAAGGTACATTAGTGTGAGCAGCTGCTGAGCTAGGGCTGACAGTATGTAATTATTGTCAAACTCCCCCTAGTCCCCCTCGTCTTTTCTTGCAAGAGGATGGTGATCGTCATCAAGTTTCTCATCAGCGGCTGCACAAAAGTCCACGTTTCAGACACGTCTGAAACTTAAATCGACATCCATCTGAATCCGTCACGAACCCTAGTCGTGGCGATGATCATTTTGATTAATCCCGACCCGGCCCTCAGGATTGGGCCTGAAGTCTAGACAGCATATACTTTCGTCCCACTATGGTTGGAACTTTGCTGTTCAATGGCCAGTCCTAAATCCAAACCTTTTGACATGTCTTTGGATGGGCTCGAAGAAGCTATCGTGAACCTTAAATGTCCTGATTTCGGCAGATATCTAGGGTTGCAGCTTTGCCCGGGATCTAGGCTCTCCAACTCACCTCAACTTGGCCCTAGGACCATCAAGGAGTTGATGAACACGGCACTTAGGGTACACTGATTAACAACATCTAAATCTATGTCAGGTTTGAGCTACCCTGAGACAGTAGACACATATGATTGGTCATGCAGGCGGATGTTTGATGCAAGATGTTTCAAAGGGATCTATGTCTTACAGAAAGGGCAGTATCCGCATGAGATAGCACTGCAGGAACATGGGCCCTCAGCTGTCTGACACTCTGAGAGACCTATTTGGTGCAGTTATCCGCCAAGTTTGCAAGGCGTCACGGTGAGAGGCTGTACATGGTTGCACAAATCCTCAAAGGTATGACAATTGCGTATTGCAGTTTTCACGCGGGTCAAACAATTGCTTTGATTGTCAGTACCTTGTGCAATTGTGCCTTTCCTACTAGGTACTTCTAGGGCCCAGGGTTAGGTAACCTGTAGCTACGTCAAGGCACCTCCATTCACATCGACTTGAGATTGCATTGGATGCCAGTATCCGGGCTGCAACTCTTGCCCACGGCCTTGATTGATAAGATGATAAATAACCGTCAAACGATAAGGCAAAAGCAGCAACGATCGACCCCTGGGGAAAGCAGCGCTAGAGATTTCATCAACCACACAAAGATGCCTTACCGTGGGCTCTAAAGCTTACCATGCGGATCTCATATATTCCTTTCCCCCCTTTCTTGTGGATGGTCCAAAGCTGTTTCGTTTGCTCGTCCATGTAGATGTCAGCGACATTACAGTCTCAAAACTCGATAACATTTGTTCAGGGACCCGTCATAATACTCGATCTGCGTGACTTGCCAATCGAGGCATCATATCAAGTGCGCGGAGAAAGCCAAGTAATTACGGTCAACCGCTTTACTCAGCACGGCATTGAATCGCACCGCTTGCGCCATTCACTTCAAGTGGTCCCGAGCCGACCGTTGGTTCGCCCATGGCTGCCTCATAGAATCATAGACTTTGATTCCTCCCTAGACAGGGTCCCGATGCCCCGCCCCCCGCCGAGGAACAATCCGAACAAGAGAACCTGAACCGAGCGGCTATTGCGCCATAAACAGTCAATTCTATAGAACGAGGCTCAAGAATCGATGATGGAACGTTCATCACAAGCCAGGACTTTCTGACGTCGACGAACTCTAAATATAACAATGCTCGCCTTCTTGCACTTGCAGGACTTCTCGATCTGAAGTACCTATCTGAGGAACTGTCATGAGAGATTGATAGTTCGGTACTCCGGATAGAGCCGGGCTCCTATCGCATCCACTCAATCCAGGGACTATGTCTAGATCGGGATTCTTGAAGTCGCTCGCAATCGGGGATCACAACCAATTAGACACACACAAGCTCACATCCTCCCCAGATCTCGCTTTCAGAAACGTAAGCTTTATCCATGACTCTGGCTGGGGATCGAGCAAATTCATAAATATGCAGCCCACTGTTGTGGTTTTTTTCTACAACATTATTTACCATCTTCTCTGTCCGACATCAAGCGAGTTTTGTTCTTCAAATACATCTCTGAAGAAACACTCGACTAGTTTTGTTATTGGGCTTTGTTTATGAAAGACCTTTTTCTACATATGATAAGGCTTTTGAGGGTTTTCAAGTTGCGACAAGAAAACTCGGAATATTATCAGAAATCTTTCACATACATTCACAAACCCACCCGCGAGCAGCCACCGTCGCAATAAAGAGGCACCCTGCACTGTGAAGGAAAAGTTCCTCGCTTTCAGTTCTGAGTGACTTTTCCGCACCCAACACTCTCAGCTCATGTTGAAGCCTTCAACCATCAACTCATTTCAAGGGCCTTAGAAATATGGCAGGCCTGTCGCAACCTGGCCATGGTCCAGTTCAGACGAGTGCAGTTGTTGTGCTTGGAGCTTCTTCATGCCTTGCAATGCCTCCTCCCTCTCCTCCTACACCATCCTCATCACCACCCGGGGACACTTTCTGTGAACCCATCGACCCATTGAGTTTGGAACGAGAACTAAGAGGAGACTCTCCAATCAAGGATCAGCGTCTGCGAGAAGGGATTCATGTGCTGAATACAGAGGCATTAGCCTTGAGAAATCTTTCGCGGCTATACGAAACCGATCCTGTAGCCCGTGATGGCTTCAACTTGTCAGTCCAGGCTATTACCAAGCAGCAAGCGGCGAATGGTAAACTAGTTGTTATCGGCGTGGGCAAATCAGGACACATTGGACAGAAGCTTGTGGCTACATTTAAGAGTCTCGCCATTCACGCCGTCTTTCTTCACCCAACTGAAGCCCTGCATGGTGATCTTGGTATCATAGGGCCGAACGATACCCTCATGTTTATCACGTACTCGGGCAAGACTCAGGAGCTGCTTATCATGCTGCCTCATATCGACGAGTCACTCCCAACTATACTTCTCACATCACACACTTCTCCTGACACATGCGAATTCATCAAGCACCGGCCTAATACCATCCTGCTTCCGGCCCCGATTCCAGAACCTGAGAAGATCTCATTTGGCGTCTCCGCTCCCACAACATCGACGACTGTGGCATTGGCTGTTGGTGATGCAATTGCAGTTACGGCAGCAAAGGAGATTAATTCCAGCATTGCCGTTGTCTTTGCAAAGAATCACCCTGGCGGTGCTATCGGTGCCGCAGCTCGACAACCTCGGATCATTAAAGATATAGCAGTCAGTTGGTGCGATATACCGGTAGCGGCAGAGACAGAGGAAGAGAGCCTAGGTTTTGACTTATTGCGTGCTGGCCTCGATTCAGTCACTGGTTGGGTCAGAGTGCAAGATCGGGTTGCATCACCGGGTACAATACGAAAGATCGGTAGACATGACCTGAATAAGAGTTTGGAGGAGATTCCAGATGTCTTGATGTCCAAGGCTTTGATGCTTTCGCTATCCTCGGAGACTACTATCCGCCAGGCACGGGATATCTTGAAGAACATGCAATTGTCACCGAACGACGAAGATATGGCATGTGGGCGAGAAGCCGCCGTAGCAGTGATGGAAAAGGGAGAGATAGTGGGTGTTCTGGAAGTTGGTAGCCTTTTGGATTTTGAGGGATAATGCATATAAGAACATGCATGGACGACATTTCTGGCTCCTTACAATCGGGGCTACACTCATGACTGGCTGGGTTAGATACCGACGCATTATGGCAGCGTATTCGCGATTATGACTAGGAGTTATCACAGATGATTGAACGGCGCATCTTTTGGGGAAACGGGCGTTTTAATAGACGAGATCACACACACAGACAAACCATGGGTTTACGAAATACATTTTCATATTTTGCTGTGAAATGTTATACCGCTATTGTAGATTACGTCTCTATTTCTCAGGGTCGTGTGACCGTGACCGAATTTCGTGAAGCTTAAAAGTGTAATCAAAGTCCTGACGAGCTGTACAGAAGAATGTTGAGGGGCCTCACGGGTTATTACCAACTCATATAACACTATCGTGAATGAAACTCTGGCCTGGACATGCCGCTTTCATCCGAGGCTTCTGGATATCTATTGTCCAAGTATCTTCTGCTTGGTCTTGTGAAGCTGGACAATCGGAAGTCGGGATACAACACATCCAGAAGATGAATGCTACCCTGGGGCGCATCGCATCGTTTCGAATAACACATGGCTTCGGTAATATGCTCAAATTAATCATGAGTACAGCCTCAATTGACAAGATTATCTCATTCAATATGGTGATGAATTGTCCTTCACCCTTTTCCTTCAAGCATTTGTATTGAATATGAGTATAATGACCGGTAGAGTTGTCCTCTTCCAGTGACAGAGCAGTACTTTGCAGATAAGAACATAAGAGCCTAGAGAACTAGCCACCTTCCACATTAGCCATTCATAATAGTGCATAGGCTGTGTAGATCACCCTGACTTGTTTCGTTGATGATAGTCCTGCCAAGTCGCCGTTACCATCTTATTCTGAGCACAACACAGAAGCTCGATAGTGCAAAATTGGCCTCATATACTGAACTATTTCAGGAACAATCACGTCTTAGACGCCAAGACAATTATCAACCAATATACCACAGGAAGGATTCAGGTTGACAGGTCACATGCTCAGCTCCATGAAAAGGGCCCCTTCCCCGTCCTGCTTCAAACTAGGGTCTGAGCGAGAACTCCATGTCGACTGGCCTTATATATATTTCTCCGGGGGTGTTTTGCCGTTAGATAAGCTTGATATGTCCATTGATTCAGATATTTGACATCAAACGGGGCTCTTGTTTGACCCATGGGGCAAATAGTTACTGGACATCTTTCCCATCATTGGCAGCCGGGCAAAAGTTCAGTAATAACAAACTCATGCATGCAATACCACGCTGCATCGTGGGTCTCCTGTTTATTCATGTGCTTGTCAAGTCCAGCCTGACCCTTGTAAGCTGATACAAGCCAAAGCGGTACAACAGAACTATCTCAGGTTTCTAGTGAACAACAGGTAGCTGGATACCTAGCAAGGTATTTCAAGTCTGATTTGCGTAAAAACTAAACCAAAACCAACAAACACAGGTCCTTTTTCAGTCCTGAGAAATATGCCGCAACGATTTTCTTTGATGAATTAGCAGAAAGGTGCCATTGTTGAGCTACTACGTAGCACAGGTAATTGTCATAACAGGACCTCTTGAGTCATAATAGGAGGATGGTCATCTGAAACCTGAATCAGGTTGGCCTGGTGAGAAATCCAGCGGCCACATGCCCACCAAGTCAGGAAAAATCTAGAACGTAACACTCACATGAAAACAACATTGAACAACGCAATTGTTGATTAAAACGTAGCACAACATGCCGTCCTATCCGGCCTCGAGGGGATATGAGAACTGATTTTGCAAATGCGGGCGTGACCTATTACTGTTTTTGGACTGCGAATTGCATCCTCGTAAACTCTGCGATGCGGTGCAATGCATCTCATGCGCGCACGGCCCATCGCTAAGGCGGCAGAACGGGTTGTGGATAGATACATGGATGAATGTGGCCGCATATCCCTGGAGGCTTAATTCATCAACGACAAGGTAGGGGGACCTTTGTACAGACTACAGAGTCTTCGTAAATCGACCAGCAGGCTACCTTAGTCGGTGGAGTGGCAAGCCAGCCTTTCACTCCTCACTTTCAAATCTGAACTGGGGCAGAGTCAGGGTCTGCGATGTAACGGGATCACGTTTATCGCCAGTAGGCTTGGAGGCAGAACGAGGCATGTAGCCCACAAGGCGATCCAACAGATGCCCGCTTTCGATACCAAGAGTCTTTAGACGAAGTTGCAGCACTTGGGCATATTAATGGGACTAGTGTAACGAAATGCATCTGGCCAGACCGAGATCCCAATTTGGCAGATGTGCACAAGATTTACGTAGAGGCTTCAACGACTGCATGCGACTCGACCAATAGCATGTTGTAGATTTTTTTTGACAACATGACACCCTATGCAGGAGGTTCACTAGCCCATAGATGCAGAACTGACGATTCGTGCCTCTTCCCCCTCTGGTCGGGTCTGATGCTCTTTTTGGGCCGACATCGCCCCATTACGCCGAAGTGATAGCAGTTCCTTGGGATGGATTTTTTTTTAACCGTCTGAAGCTAATATATCGTTGGTCTGAGAAGGTTAAGTCCTTGGGCTGAGGTGGAACGCCCAAGTGGATTCAAGGGTGTTTGTTTTAGCTTACAGTCTTTGAGCCTCAAGGAATAGAGCGCAAGACTAACGTCTTCTGCTGTACCTATTGTAGGTACCAGCTGGACATTCATGTATGTTCAAATTAGGATGGGACGCTGGGTGGATGATGTGGCAATTATTGTTGAACTAGCGACAGACTCTTGGGTATTTTGGGCGGATGAATTCGAAAGCGATCCGCATCGATCTCTGGAGGCAATCGTCCTCGTCTGTATCATCGCAGGGCCACAGTGTCATTCCCAGCTGCATGTCTGTTTGCAATTCTTCTTATCCAAAGCAGTATATTCGAGATAAGAAGCTGGCTTCGCTGTGCCCTACGGCACGACAAGATATGCATTCAGACCACTAAGTACGTTATCTCTGTGCCAGCAATTGAATTGTGCTTGTTTCTGATGAGTGTTGCTAATAGAATTGACTTTTAGGTTGTATGGGCTTTTTTGATCCTTTGTGGTGGAGAAGTTTTCTCCAGTGGAACGGCGGCTTAAAAAGCCAAGCCTCTCCGAGTGAAAGCGTGAGGGGAATTCTGGAGCGATTATTTATTTACCCCAGCAGCCAAAGAAAAGTCAAGAGTTTTGGCAGGGATATTGTCATCCCCATGTCTCATAGGCGTTCTGCCATTCGGAGGGACCTGCCAAGCTTTATTGTCGACACGACAGAGCCAGTAGTGGCAGCACATGGTCCTTGCTGGCCTGGAGAATGGAGGAACCATTGCGCTAATGCTGTCTAAGCGAAGCACTATGACGGAACAAACTCCAGGGCTGAAGAACAACAAAGAGCTGAAGAACAACAAAGAAGCTGTAGAAGTTGCACATCAGTCAGGCCGGTTTACTGTAAGCCAATGCCTTACTGAATTAATGTTGCATCCCATATGAAATCATCCAAGCCCTAAGACCTGCACGATGATTGTCATATTATGGATCGTTTTTCGCATGGACAGTGGCGTGCCCTCATCATTCCCTCGGTGGAACTTAATCTTGACCAAGACAAGGATGCGTATATCCGTAATGCATGGGTTCTGTCTAGACTCCTTGTCTGGCATCAACAGACAGGGAAAAGCTGGACCGAGCCAACTTTCCACGAGCCGCGGAAGCGAAGCGAAGCCAAGCTAAGACGACAATGCAGAAGAGAAGGCAGGACAGGTCAAGGGTTAGAACGAACATAGAACTGCATAGATGCTTTCCAACAGCACAGGCACTGGAATAAGCTTTCGAGTCGAGGCTAACTGCTGGCTGCTAAACTGGGAGCTGGGTCTTTGAGCCGCCTCGAAGGCATTTGTTCTTTTTAAGTTCTCGCGTGACCAGTAACGATCGACTGGTTGCTACCGACGCTGAGGTAATGCCATGAGGATCAGAGATGTCTTGCATGCCCTCCAACTCAATACCACACCGGTGGTAGTGAAAGTGGCATCACTGAGAATCGTTGACGAATACTATGGTCTCGGCTGTTCTGCACTGCACTGCCTTTAGTTATCACAGTGTCATGATTCCTGCAATCTGCTTGCCGTTATCCTGCTTGGAATTCTCGGCGCTGGCAACATCATCACGTAAAAGTCGGTAGGTACTTAGGTAGGTACCTTACCTACCTACCTAGTAATACCTCAATACGGTGTAGGTACTCTCAGGTACCCGTCTATGCCTCTAGGTGTGGTTCTGACCCGGTTAAGAAAAAAGGGTGACTGCGGCTGCGGCTGCGGCTGATACCCGTACGGCACAGTACAGACAGTTGTGTCGGCAACTCATTGATTCTGCACAAGAATATCATAAATAATTAATTATAAATGACTGGCTATCGGGCCTCGACTCGCCCGAGGGGTTACACAGCGTGCGGCGGCGACTTGACAAGCCGTGTTCGTGGATCAAGATACATCCGGATTACATAGATGAGAAGAGAAGGGCGTAAAGAGTGTCCCATCCAGGTAACTTAGCCATTGTTATGTTCTCATCGATGCCCTGCCAATTTGTAAGTTATGGTACGCAATGGGAGGAACTTGATTCACTGAGCTGCTACAGACCCTTGCCTAGAGTAAAGCTCAAGGTAGACCGGCATAGTAGGGCTAAGGTTCAGAGGTATCTGAGGTATGGATGTTTAATTCGAATTTCACTGAAGGAAACTGTACTTATCAACCCAAACTTAGCCGGATGCAATAATACCTGGCTACAGTGCTGGGCTTTCAACATTTGAACTTGCTGAGAAGATAAGGTGGCACAGTGCGCAAGAATGTCGATGCTGACACAGATCCTTGAGGTAGCTGTACAAGAAGACATGCATAAGTCTGAACATTTTACACAGTAGTAGCTATGGCCTCATGCTTGATCGCAGAGACAGAGATACCTGTTGCAATTCACATGTGAAGCAAGGGAATGGATTGTTATGTGTCTGTAGCTCAAAAGGTGATCAAGTACGTCCTGTATGCCAGTCTTCCCGCAGCCGTGACGTTTTCCAAGTTTCTTCTACCCGAACTCAATTTCTGATATGCCGAAGGACAAGAGCCGAGACCTCTGCACATCGCCCGACTTCGCAGTTTAACTTGGCCGCTAGCAAGTCAGAATAAAGTTCTCCTCAGTAACGACACTGTACACTACGTAGTAGAATGCATCGTGATCAATGCACCCTCGCGAGAATCAGACATGTTTTGCTATTGTTCGTTATCGCACCTAATTGTTGTTATCTTTACCCCTCAGTGTTTCTTCCAGTGTCCTTTGGGCTTGTTAAGCCGAGGTATGATGAGTTCCCTGCAGATTATTGCCAAAAGGTCCAGATCATGGCAACGATACCTGCATTCCGTCCTATCAAGCATCCGGTTTCAATCGTTCCGCTACGATGCCGAAACGACACATAACGTCTGGAAGGGGACCCTTGATCCTTTTGGCCCCTCCCGAGTCCCTCCACTCCCCCTTCCTCTCCAGCACCTGTGAACCCACCGCCCCACCCGTCAGGTCAACAGGGGCGTTGTCGCTCTGGATCGCTGCAGCACGTACTGTAACTTGCTGCGGTGTCCACTATGTATAGCACTGTTACGCTGCAGATTGCTCTTCCTTGCGCTACTGGACGCTCCGCTATGCTCTGTACGATGGATGGATCACGCCAAGTCCAGGATCTTGTCCGGGTGGGTGTTACCGATGCATGCGAAGCACGAGGTGAGTGGATGGACTCGACAGGAGTGGTAAGAGGCGGTACAAGGGTGAAGAAAGAGCGAATGGCTGATTGAAAGATATAAACTTGCAAAGTTTCCCACGCCTCGCCGTCAATTTTCTTGTAGCCTGTTCGCTTATAAGAACTCTCCAGATCGCTCACTCGCTTGTTTGCTCTTTTCAACTCAACGTCAATCATCAAACCAACGAATCTCACGAAAAAAGACGGTGGGTTTCTTCTGACTGGCATCAGGCTGCTTGGAATTGTGCTGTCTGATAAAGCGAGATTTACCAAGAGACCGTGTCTATCCCCGAGACAATACTAGCCAACAAACATTTCTGTTTTGGTCGTTGCCGTCGGCTTGCTTGTTGATTGTGGTGAATCTTGACATTTTGTCTATCCAAACTGCTGAGACTCTTATCTCAGTACGAGGGACTATCCTTGTCAACGGATTAAGTTCGAGGCTACTGTCCGTCCATTCGTACACCATCTACGCCAGCCACCAGTCAGAGACTTTGAGACAGCAACATCTGGTAAGGAGCCCGGTATAGCCCGACTCTTTCGTCTTGGTCCTTCTTTCAAGAGACAATCGCAGCTACTCGCGAGGTTCTCTTCTGCGAAGTTCCTTTCGCGCAACCATCGCAGCGCCAACGCCCGCAGAAAACCTTAGGTCGCTGTCTCGGCCCCACCCAATTACTCCTTGGGCGTTAAAGACCCATTGCCCGTCCTACCACAACAAGCTTTAATCTTTAAATTGGATCTCCAAGCGGGCTGTGTCTCGAGCCAAACAGGGTGTGCCTCATACCTAGGTACCTTATTTAGTACATTATTACCTACTGCTCAGAGTCATATTTGGGTACGTCATTTTCTGCTTCCCAATCGACATCTTCGTTCCTTACATTCTCCCGTCTCTCACAGACCAACGAGCTACACTGTTTCACTTGAGGACCAAATATCGTGATTGTCTTGGATTGCGCATTTGACTTACAAACCATTCTGCTCTGTAGGTATAAAGATATCAAGATCCACCTTCCTCAATTGAAGTTTTCAGTTCGGCGTTGAGCAGCATCTTCCGCTCGCTTCTCCCACCAACTCAACTTAACTCAATTCGACTTGATTCGATTCGATCCTTGCTCGACGGCTCGCATCTGTGCTCAGAGGCCTCACCTGCGTATAAGGAAGAGATAGGTAGCAGGGCGAGTTTGAGGATAGGTGATATCAATCGTCCGCTCTTTTTCTTCTTCTTTTCTCTCCCTGTCGTTTTAGTTGACGTCCATTTCCTTGATTGCCGAATTTTGTTATTATTGACCAGACATGAAGTTTGGCGACCATCTCGAAAGAGAGTCTGTTCCAGAATGGAGTCTTCGTAAGTTCCAATGCCCTCTGTCGAAATAAGTGCAGTATACTGACCAATTGCTTCTTCATGTAGATAACCTCGACTACAATTCCATTAAACATGAGATCAAGATGCACACGACGCGCGACCAGGCCACGGCTATGGCCATTCCCGGGCAAAAAGATGAGGCTCTCTCTCGATTCGAGGATGGCTTATACATGGAGCTTGGTCGTCAGCATGAAAGACTGCAGTTGTTTGTTTCAAGCAAAGCAGATGAGATTGCGCGCCGATTAGGTATGTCATGGACTTGCAGTTCTGCGCCACGTCTTGAGTGGCACGCGACCACATACCAAATCTAACACCTCCATAGAATACCTTGCCAAGAATATCAATCGTTGGGCGTCAAAGAACCAGGAACCGCTAGCCGGTGATTCTGCCATCAAGCACCACAGACGATTCACCAAGTACGAGCGTGAATTGGTCCGTTGTGGTAGTGACATTCAATCCCTCGAGCGCTTCGTCAAGGCTCAAACTGTCGCCTTCCGCAAGATCACCAAAAAATATAAGGTGCGTCATCATGACTGCTTGGTGTGAATTTGATTTCTGGATGAACGTACTGACTGGTCACTCATCTACAGAAATGGACTGGTTCTACAACCCTCGGTATCCGTCTCTATGAGACCATCCTCTCCGATCCCAAAAGTTTCACTCGCCGTGACTTTTCCTCCTTACAACAACGTTATGACGACATCACATGCACACTCAACGCCGCCGCTCCCGCATTGAGCGAACCTAGCTCACCAGAATCCCCAGCTCAGTCCTACCGACGTCAATCTCTTTCAGGGTCTCTCAACTCGACAAATCGTCACCTCACCAGCCGCCCTCAACCTACTTTCGAATTCTTGCCTCCACCACAGATGGAGGAACCTGCTAAATACTGGAACGAATATGACGATGGAAGTGAATGTGCAGCCGATGATGATGGATATGCTATTTATATAAACCCAGATGAAAGCACTAGTTTTCCGGGATTCGACTACCTGCAGAATATCCTCAAAGCACCCATGAAGAAGGCAAGGGGTTGGTTCAAGCACAACAACCCTCGGGAGCGCCAGTCTTTACTTGGTGCCAATCATTCACCTTACCAATACTCGAGCACGACCTTCAACAGCAGCGAGTCTGATGAGGAAGCAGGATATGCTAGTTCAGATGGCTTCCCCTCGACCGGATACGCCACCCACTATGCCCTTCCTAGCCTAAATCAACAGCAGGCACATTTGTACCGTGAGAAGACCCTGTTTTGGGGTACGGTTAGTTCTTTTGCCGTGTCTTTCCTGCTTCTCCTCGTCGCCGGCACGCTTATCTCTACCGGTCGACACAAGCTCAGAGCTGAAGTTGACGCGGGCGTTACTGTTGGCGTAGTTGCGAGCTTGTTCACCGCCTGCAGTGCGCTCGGTATGACGCTATACCGGCACGACCGACTGTCATTTCCACATCTACTGGCGGTTTGGACTACCTTCGTTGCGTCATGTATCCTCAATGGCATGCTGCTGATTTTGGTCGTTGGAAACTCCCCATAATGCGTAAAGGTTATCCTGAATCCATCGAACCTTCATGATCTCAAAAAGACTGAGCCACAATTGAGACGCCTTATGTTTGCATGTGAGCGATTTATTTGGATGGATTGTGTTATTTGTTGAGCGTTTTCATTGATACAGGAGCAATGCTTGGGCATTTTGCTTTCCACGCCGATAGACTGAGAAGCCGGCCGTCTAGCTGAAGGTAGCGTGTATTGTGCTCGTGTATATGCTTTGGTATACGCATTTATCTTCGATTGTAAACAAATAGAAATAGTTAAAACCTCGCGGTAGTTGCAAAGCCAATGAAGCAATGTGTCGTTTTATGGAGCTGTGTTGTAAGAGCTCAAAAATCTGTCAATATTACCCAAGAGGCCTTCCAATTCGTCCTAGTTAATACACAATATATCGTCGTTTGGGTTGGATGGCATGGTGGGTTGATAAACGTGGAGCGTATAGATAGCTTTCGTCGTGGTAGCCTCATTCGTCCATGAAGCACCATTGTGTCTCGTCAGCGTCCGCTAGAAACAGTTCAACCTTGTTGACAAGTTGTCCTGTATAGAGTCAGATGTCGTTCCACTATGTCGTTTCCGCTCCATGGCTCGATCCTAAACGGCGCGTTTTGCCAGTAGCCTAAGAACTTACCAGCGACTCCCCATCTCTTAGCAAAAAAGTGCAGTGACGCAAATATGTTGTGAAATCTTGTGTCAGCTTCAGGGATTAGATGCTCGAGGTGGCTCAAGACCATGAGGCAGTGGTATGCCGAGTATGGCGTGACAGGGGAGCAGGGAGCGAGGAGGTGAGGGCGGTGCGCGAGTTGGTCGTTCAAGTCGGTCGTAGTGTCGGCGATGATACGAATTGTGAAATTAAGACCGGCGATGGCTTTAGGGGCGATGTCATCGGCGGTTGGGGAAAAGGGTCCTGCAGCAGATATGGTGTTGGCGGCACGAAGCTGGCGACAGTAAAGGAATAGAAGGAGGCTAAGTCAGTTGTCAGTTCGGTTTTCAAGGACTAGCAACGAGACATGATTTGGCTGCGCTTCCTGTCCCAGGGTCCATCTTACCATGTACAAGTCGCGAAACACTCGTAGAAATCCCCCCAACGAGAAGTCTGCATGATCATGGCCTCGACGAGGGCGCGTGTTGCAATATCAAGCTCGACATACTCCTCTAACAAGGCATCGGGGTTCCCTTGGGGTTTAGGAGAATAGGCTCTTGTATAGAGCATTGCACATTGACAGTTTCTTTGAAATGGTCCCAGAGGTACCGAAGGCGCCACGCTCGCAGGGTGCCGCTGAACAGAACGCGTAGGCGATTGATTCTGATTGTGCCAAATAAGATTGCTTGTCGGCAGTAGATCATCGGCGGCTGGCGATGGCACTTGAAGAGGCATATGGATGAGAGAACAATCGACATGAATGAGACGATCGAGAACGAAAAGACTCCAGTAGACACAGCGACGTTCTTCCTCCTCATAAGGAATATTGGCTTCTCGCTCAGCTTCGATATACTTTCCAGGGCCGATGCGCAAGACCATGGCCATGGTGTTGGCATCTCCAATACTCACATAGGCACGCATTACATCACCGTGACCAAACTCAAAGAGTGCCAGCAGGATGGAACATTGGACAAGTTCAATGCTAGGAGCAGAAAGACCACGTAAGACGCTCAGGACTCGTTTGGCGGCCCTGTAGGCTGGCATCTCGATCATGTCCTTACCCTCATTGACGCTGGTGCTCGCGGCAGCAGCTTCATCATCGTACTGAGAGACGAGCTGCATGCAAACAATCAGGAGGGCAACAGCAGGATCGCGGGGTCCTTGATCGGCATTGGAGCCGGAGCCTATGTTGTCCGTGCGGATGGCAAAGAGTTCCGGATGGATTACAGAGAACCAGGGATTCATCGTCTCAAAGTAGCGTTCGGTTGCCTCGCGCCAAGGGATGTTGCGTGATGACAACAACGCCATTATCATCGAGCTGGAAACATCAAAAGCAGGGTCGAATATACCCTGCCCATATGCTTCTTTGGGTGTAGATCCTGCAAGATATCCAGGTTCCACAACAGCGGTTGTTGGGGCCGTGTAGATAAAATCATAGGAGCACGTAGTTGCAAGCCTGGCGAGTCAGTCAAAGGGGATCGGAAGATCAAGTTGTAAGGGCAGTTACACACCTCGTACAGCGAGAACAAGCAGGCAATGCTTTATCACATTTCTTTTTGGTACGAGTACACTTTTCACAGGCTCTGTGCGCACGTTCAGGCTCCATTGGAGACTCAGAGCCCCGTGAAGATGACACGGAGCGAGACATAATGGCTCTTCTTCTGGGATCCGTGGTGGCTGATATGTAGCCCGTAAGGTGGGCTTGTACTTGGATGAGGTAGTTTGTGATGGGTGTAAGTTTAAAAAAGGACTTATGCTGACTACGCTTTTATTATGTCAGACAGCAAGGAGGTAATGGAAGAATATGAACTACCTAGACAGAGTGATTTGATGGGCGTATACCGTGAGTAGGAGCAAGATGTAGTTATAAATGTGAGTGTATGTGTACTTGTTGTTGAGCTTGATGCAAGGTCTTGAAGTTGAGACTGTTGTTTGATATTGATAATGAGACTGATGGTAAGGAGAGAGAAGAGGAGAACCGAGGCATTGAGGCCGGGAACGAGGGCTATTTGACGTCGAGTCTCAGTACGAATAGAAAATGATGCCCCCCCGGGCCACAGAGTTGATTAGATGTCGATGGGTCTCTTGATGCTTCCAGGCCTGGGGCCAGAATAGGCCGAGGGGTGGTTGCAGATACGCACTGCAGAGAGACCACAGCAAATGCGCAGCACAGCGGGCGGTAAGTAACTGCACGCTGTACGCTTTGCCGTGTTGTACATACAGCACTCTAGATGGCGAACCCGGTAGATGGGCGCCGGGTGCCAGGTGCAAGGTCAAGATTGACAGGGACCAAATCAAGGATGACGTCTAATCGGTTAGTCAGCCGCTGACCGGGGGCGATGGTGATGGGGCCCAAGGCTGTGAGAAGAAGGCTGAAGATGTTGATTTGAAAGGATAAGGTAAATATTGGAAATTGGACAAATGGGTAACGGGGCCTAACTAAAGAAGAAAGCAGACAGCGGAAAGAGCGGGGGCACAACCTCAAGGCCTGCCAGCTCAGGGATGATTTCAAATAAGGTGTAGGTAATGTCGCAAGTAACCTGAAAGGGAAAGACACAGGAGCCAAAATCCACGAAGCAACCAGGAATATGAACAGCACATGCCTGGTGGACGGAGAGTTTGAACTAGGTGCCTACTTACTTACACGATATTGATCAATGATTCAACTACAGCCCTAACTAATAAACCTCCAGACGACGGCTGCAGAGATGGCTTCCTCAAGAGGCATGATTAACCCTTGAAACCCACTAGTGGAGAGAGATACAAGGCCCGGATTGATTGACTGCTCAATCAGTAAGTACATGCTGTGCTGCTTTAAGTCTGTGAGGAGGTAGGTACCTACCTAAGATCAAATCCATCCATCAATCACATCTCATGTGTCCGAAATGCCGGGTCACACTGCAAATCCCCCCCCTCCCGATTCCCCGGAGAGACCGTTACCTCTCAGCCCAGTGAGGCCATGGTCATGTCATGCCCATGGTGGATGCATCCCCCATCTACAGCGTTGTCATTTGCAGGCTAGCGTGCCCGTGCAACCCAAGCTTACCTTACCTTGGGCTTAGGCTCGGGATGGGAGTTGGAGCTGCGGGTTGGTCTGAATTAATCATGCCCATCTAAGCAAACCTGATGACAATGTTCAATGCTTTTCTGAAGTAATCAGTCTCTCAGATCTCGATCGTACATGAATTGACTTCATATCAAATCATTATGAAGCATCTTCAAACTGAACTTCCCAAACTCATTCTAGCAACAGCTTAGTTGGATTATTCACGATATGTTTACTCTAACGCTTATGACATCACAGCCTGGCTGGCCCCTTGGGTAGCATTCATAACCATGAGGTGCCGCCATGCGACCTTTTTCTTTTTCGTACCGACAACACGAGAACCCATCATATTCTAATTAAAGAAACACTGGGATGGGATCTGATGAATTTTTGTTTACTAATCGCAAGCTAACCCTTTTCCATTGAAACACCAACTGATGCACCAACGATGACCTCTCTCAAAACCCTGAATATCATGCTTTGACTACCTCAGACAGGAAAGAGAACTATAGAGATTGCGAATCGACCGACTCTGCCACGATGAATACGAGATGTCACTTCCAGCAAGGCTATGTGGACTAAGGTACCTACTTCCTTCGCTCTCTTGATACTGGTATAGCCTTGTCTTACCTTTCCACGTTCAGCATGTCGTTGCTAAATTAAGCTCATGAAGCTCTAGTGCATGTCTGCATAACTAGCCGTTGAATATTTCCCGCAACACCACAAGGAAAAAAGAAAAGAAAACAGCCGCGATATCAGGTAAGCGAGAGGACCCCGTGACCTGTCAGAATAAAATCCGAACATTTTCGGAATTAACATGAACTACTGACTCACCCGGCGTAAATCCCGTTCTGGCAGCTCGATCGACTTATCCCCGCCTCAGGCTTTACCTAAATAGCTGCAAATGTCGATTGTTGTTTATATGATGTGCAAACTCTCAATTTGATTGAAACCAAAGTTCATTGTATGGAGAATATTGTTTGCCAATCATTTGGTGACTAGGTCTATTGATTCCTCATCAAAGCAACACCCCTGAGTTAACTCAACACCACTAAAACTACCAATACGCAGCTCCAGGACGGTGAATCTGTGCAGTCGATCTTCCAAAAACTCTCCGAAGACGGATCCAAGACTATTTATATAGCAGACCGGCATTGGGCTCCTACCGCTAGAATCAATACTCACCTCCAACAGCCATCAAAGCCCATGGCAACCACAGAGATGCTCCATCGCATCCGTCCCGGCACCTCTGCCGATCTCACTGTGGCTACAGATCTCTATATGCAGAGCTTCGACAAAGAAACTCTGCTCGACTTCATGTTCCCAAGCCGTCACACCGACTCAACTCCATTTCGTGAGTGGGTAACTCGGCGCTTTCGTCTGCGCTACTGGACGCCCGGCTACGTTCTCACTATGCTGGATGATGCCAAGGGTAGGACCGTGGCATTTACTTGGTGGCATATAACGGACAACTCCTTGTCTTTCCGTGAGCGTTGGCTCTCATTTCGTAAGTCTCTCCATTCTGTCTCTGCCAACTATCGAACTATCCACTCGAACCCTGCGAAAACCAAAACCTGATCAAACCACTAACTCGTCCAGACGCTTGGGTTGCTCCCATTATGTTGGCGGCGCTGAAACTACATTCCTACATATTTCCTCTTCGTCATGTGGACTCACATCGACTTGGTATTTATGACCGCGTTTTCAGTACCATTGAACCCGACATACTCAATTCTCCCCGGCGTCGTTCAGCTTGGTATTTATCTAGCCTTGGGGTCTCTCCTCATGTCCAAGGTAGTGGTTATGGTTCCCTGCTACTCCAGCATGGCTTGGAGGCGGCCGATCGTGCAGGAGTTCCCACTTGGCTGGTGGGATTGCGTGGGCTCGACAAATTTTACAAGCGTTTTGGCTACGTAGAAGTGGCCAGGGCCAACGTTGGGGAGTTGAAGGACTGGGACGGTGGAATCATCATGTTCAGGGGGGATTGATGGTCAAGACTTTGCACCCATCAGTAGATCTCACAGCATTCTCAATTTCAGACAGGGAAAAACGAATATCACATGGCGTCATCAACCAGAGTTTCATCACGATTCATCATCGGAAATATCGTTCAGATGGGTCATTTATCTCTCATCTATCTGGCTAGTTACGGCCGCTCTAGACTAGCAAGGCTGTGAAAGTTATGTCATAAGCATCTCCATAATAGCAAGTCCCATCCCAAACGATGGAGCAATCATTGTCATCACGGCAGCAACAAGCAAATATCCGTCCTGTACCAACTCATGCCGAAATATGCCTTGTTATATCGTTGAGCTTCCTGGGGTGCTCCAATGGGCGATATGCCCAGACCTAAACAACAGGCCAGAAATACCAAAAAGAAAAAAAAAAGAAGAAGAAAAAAGGGGGTAAACGAATGTCAAGCCAGTAACTTTTTTCAGTCCAGCAATGATGAACTGCCCCAGGCGGGGAAGCAACGCAAATTAGATAATATCGTTATCGTCGTGCAGCTCGTGTCAAAAAGAAAAAGGAGGTAAAGCATGAAGCTACGCATGTGGCACACAAGGCCGGGCCTCAAAGACTTCTGCTCCCTACCATCATTCAGGAAGTCTATCCCTTACTGGTGATTGCTGTCTGAAGCTCGATCACTGTGGAAGTTCTCTTCAACTCCGTTGGTTGAAAGGTTGTGCTGATAGGCCTGGTAATTGCCTCGAGCGAGAGTGTCGTCGAACTTAGTCATGGATGCATAGCCGTGTTGGTATCTTGAACGGGAGGCCACGGCTGGGTGCGTGATCGGAACACCTTCATCAGTGACCAGATCAGCACCGCCATACTCTGGAATTTCTTCTTTGGGGCACTGGCGCGAGGAACGGAGGCTAGTTTGGTCAACGGAAGCCAATGTGTGCTGCTGGTATTGGTTCGTAGAGCGGCCGATCCTGGTGTTCGACCCCGTCTCGGCAGAAAACCAGTAGGGCTGGTGGGTTTGTGGACGCGGAGCATCAGAGTACGGGCGCTCGTCTGCCATCGAGGTATGCAGCGAGGTGTCTACGCCGCTCATTTTAAGCTGAGAATGACGTTCTGTTGGAACTTGATACGAGTAAACAGCTCCTTGAGCTTGAAAAGGAACAATCCCGTAGGGGGGATAATTGAGGGGGGCGAGCGTGAGTTGAGAATTGACTGTCGACGCAAGGAAGTGGTGGTTGTCTCGGCTGTCTTGAGCAGCATGACCTGCGGTGCTGTACATCCGGTCCGCTCTGGCCACCATTGACATAGCAGCGGTATGGGTCGAGGGGTTTCTATCAGTCAGTACGAATCCATTTGGGTCATAGTGGTGATCGCCGCTATAAGTCTGTTGGTAGTAAGGAGCGTTATCGCAGGAACCTCGGTGATCGGTCATTGGCGCCTGCATCTGACGATTAATACTGGAATAGCTCATTGAAGGTGTTGTTGGGTTCTGACTGTCATAGTACCCAAGACTGGGTTGTCGATCAGTGCCTGGCCCGGTGCCAGAGTTCGCTAGAGGAGACCGAGAACCGAATGCGTAGGGGGCAGTCCGGTTGGACATATCGTCGGTATACGATCTGGAGTGATGAACAGGTCGAGATCCGTTGTAAACAGCGGGAGGCGTGGGCGACGAAGATGATTGCTGGCTACTATGCTCGCTCATAGATCCCTCTTCTTGTACCGGTTCGAGGGGCGAAGATTCCTTGACGAATGAGAGGGGGGATGGAACTGCCTCCCCAGCCATCAGCGAACGGCCGGATTGGCTGCTGGCCGATGTGTCGTGGCCCTGGACTTGAGCAGGCGGGTTTGCGAAAGCATCGGCAACCTCTGGGAGGAACTCGACAGGAGGGACTTCCTTGAGGCCCCCGTGTTGAATCTCCTGGCGAAGACGTTCGACAACATCGAGGATCTCGTCGTGCGTCTTGCCTTCACCAAGGCTCTGCGTGATCCAGCGAGGGATGAGATCTCGACTGTTCGTATCCGCCAGGCGCTTAACCTCACGCCTTCGAATCGAGAATGTCCAGGACCGGATGGTGATGCCCTCCTGATTAGTTCTGTTGACATTCTCCAATCCTCGGCTCCAGAATATCATTCGGACGATCTGCTCGTACACCATTTCGATTTGAGTCGAGCTGAATTCAGCACCAGTTCGGTAGCGAATCCTCTGGTAGTGCTTGCGACACATGCAAACCCAGACACGCTCCGGGATGCGACGAGTGCAGACCTTGTTACGACCAAAGAGATGAGAGATGACCTTGCGAGGAACTGACTCAGTGGTACAGTTAGGGACTGCCATGCAAATATCACCACCCTGGAGGGGACTGTTGACAGCTACATTTCCAAGGGTACGGCATGCCGCAATAACACGGTCATTTGGGTTGGCATAGGACGCTGTCTGCCCAGTTGCACCTACATCTATTAGTGGGTTTCAAACAACGACAGCCTGAATAAGAAATTTTTACCTGAGAGAGTCCCGTCGGACTGCATCCTCGCAGTCTCCTGGGGTTCAAAGGGCGATTTTGTTGATGTGCTACTAGGGGCAGGGGAGCTCTCTCCCGTATTGATCCAGGGATACTTCTCAATAACAAGACGCTCTTGAGTTGTGTTGATCTGTGGTGACAGTTGTGTTGGAAGATCGAGGTGCCGGGACGTAAGGCGTGGCAGAGAAGTTGGTGCTTGAGGAAAAGAATGACCAGAGCCCTGGGCGGGGTTTGGTGCCGAGATGGTTCGCTTATGAACGCGATCTAACGAATTCAGAAAGTGATCTTTTGGCTTCAAATAGCTGAACAAAAGGAATGGAGTCAGTATATTCCTGCTGGGAAATTTATAGGTTGAAAGTGACAATAGACAGCAAGGGGAATGTGCAAGGACATGGGGAGTGAAAGCTGGACGGAGGGTCTCGATGAGTGGAAGAGTTTTTGCAGACTCCCTGAGAAGAAGTATACCACGCAGTGTGATTCACCGGCTCGAGGCCAAGTTGGCAGTGGGACAATGCTGCTTTCGAGGGCCGAGTTGCTCCCGCTTAACGGACCTGCTTTTATGACTAAACATAATCCATCCGAGATGCGTCTACAGCAGGCAATCGTTTTTCTCCTGACAATAGAAACATTGTCCGTGATCCACGAACTGCAAAAGAGGCACCCCTTAAGTTTTCCAGACAATTTGACACTCCTTTTCCCTTTGTCTTTTCGGGGGCTGCAAGCAAGCAATACGCATACATGCTCCTACAGCCACTTGGGACCGAAAGGTGGTTTGAATGATTGGCAAGGGGCAAACGATGAGCGAACTTCGACCCATGCCAACAGCCATATTCTTCTGCACAGGAACAAAGAGACTTTGACTTACGTTTGATCTTCTGATAAGTGGTTATGCTTTCTTCTCATCATCCTCGCCTCTAGAATCGCGTCAGATGGACTACCCGAGTACAACGATCCAACACCATTGGTAGGCTGACGGATGTCCGACTTCACAGATAAACCGACTGTTACTGGATGGAGAGGCGCTGTTATCCTCGGAAGGCGTTCCAGTTTCGCTTCCAAGTCAGCGATGCCAGAGCCTATGACATTGCTCCCGTTGATGGTAGATACCGATGAGAATCTCGAATGGCCAGCAGAGAAGGTCGATGAGCAACAAGACGAGAAACTGCTGCGGCTGTCCGACATTTTATGGCTTCCTGAAGCCGGAGACGTATTGTATTCCGTCCAGAGACTCGATCTTCATTCGTTTTAGTATGTGTACTCCTGCGATTCGCCACCAGTGTGCATAACATCATTCAGAACAACAACACTAACAGTGTGACAGGGTCGCAACTCACCTTCTTATGTGCTGAGAAGCACGGCGCTCGTTGTGGCTGCTAGTCTTGTTAGTCAAACTAGATCATCGACTACCGACCGGATTATACACCAGCATGGAAGAAAAGGGGTACCTTTTCGGTGTCCAAGCATCTTGATGAACTTCTGGAGTGGAAGGCATTCTACTTGAAGCAATGTCAACCTCAAGCTTATTATGCCCACATCGGGCTGTGGTTTCGTTTTTCCTTACCGGACTGGTAACGCATATGATCCTGTGGAACCGGGGAGATTTATGCTGGCTGGTGTATCCATTGATACTTGTCTGGAGTGGTAATTGGATACATTCTGCCGTCTCACAGATTTTTGCTGCTCCTCCCAAGTCACCGGCGCGAAAGGAGGTCGTGAGGAGTTCTTTGGGCCAGTATCCCTCGGCAGAGAATAGCCACCAGCATCCCAAGGCGTACGAGTTCGACTATCGGATCGCACACTAGGTGTCCTGGACTGAGCGGAGTCGGGTGACGGAGTCGGCAGTGAAAATGATGGGCCTCTTTGTTCCCTCTGCTCATTGAAAGGTTGTGGGCTTTCCCGACTATCTCTCGCTTCCGTGTCTAGGTCGCTGAACTGATTTAAAATCGACTCAATCTTCATGATTAGGGTCTGTGTTGAGACTTGTCCGAAGGGAAGTCGTATTAAAATGCTTCGAGTGATTCTGAGACTGTCAGAATCTGAGATTGGCGCCAGTTGATCCGTGAAAAGACTGATAATAGGCGTGTGTATTTGTTTGGTTACGGCATCGAGATCTGAAGTCGTCTTTCTGGTAACGGTAGAGATTCAAGGGATTACAATCTCATGACAACTGTTGAAAGGTACTAGAAACAGGATCAACCTCGTTCCGGTATAATTATCGATTATAATGGGAAGACACTCCACAGAGAGGTGAAGGAACGAAGTAAAGAGGATGAAAACGAAGTGATTGGAGAGACAATTCGTTTAACTGTCAGGGGGACGGCTGTTTCTTGTACGTCTTCCAGAAGACTGGGGTCTAGGTTCGGTGCAGAATAACATGAAACTTGGCAGACGGATGCTATTTGTTTTTTTCAACGCCGAGTGAAGGGGTGAGAAGAGTGACAGGAGTGTCAGATAGATCGAGTCTGACCCGCTGAACCGAAGATTTCAGGTTGCCGATCTTGTCAAGGACCAGGATTACTTATTGTTCTATCGCTGTCAAAAAGGGTCCCCTCAGCTTCAGATCATCGGAGCCGCTTTGTTTAAAGGCCCAGGCTTTAATTAGTGATTGAGGAAGACAGGGAAGATACTTGAAGGCAAGAGATCTGATCCAGACCCAGTCGCTATGTCAGGGCTTGGTAATATGGGAGAAAGTAAGGGAAAGGGAAGAGATGAGACGAATCCACTACGACAGAAAAGTATGTAGGTCGCTAAAAGCTATGACTAGATGGATAACGCATGAAGTGGCCGGTAGGGTTCTGAAGACGGTAGTCGTTTGGGGTTGGGACTGGGGTCGGGGGGGTCAAGAACGGAGGGCTGAAGGGTGTGGATCAACGAGACGAGGATCAAGGATCAAGGACTCTCATGAGATGTCTGGAATTAGTAGGTTAAACTGGCCAGGATTGAAGTGTTGAGCAAAGCTGTCCATGATGGAATTCCTGGAGATAGAGATGACAAGAGGAGAAACCAAAGCGTATACTTGCAGCGGGAACCAGCATCATCATTGTAATTATGCTAGGCTATGAGTGCGGCAGTCGGTCCTAGCCCGGTGGCACAGGCACGGTGCTGCATGCGTTTGGATTATGACTAAAGAGATGCGTCCTTCCACTATTTTCGAGCTGCTCCAAAGTAACAACAAGCGTTCGGGTAGCTGTCAAGTCACAGGTCATGGTGCTAGGCTGCTGAGTCCCAGACTTTTGAGACGTGGACGGGGACAGCCCTAGCATTGTGGCGCCAAGGAAGCCTGCACTGAAGAATTCGAGAAGCAGACGAGCCAAGCCTGTCCAATGTTTTGCCGGCAGTTTCGAGCAACGGCTCGCCCTTGCTGGTTAGCATGACGGGTTGGTGTAGATCATGGCGTTGAGAGCCCCGGCCGAACCATGATCTCCACAAGGGGATAAATTGTCCGTACCAGGGTCAATGAATTCCATTGCTGAGAGATCCAAGCCAACCAGGGTGCTTCAGGATAGGCGGTCCAACCTCCAGACCAACATTGAAATCAGTACTTGGATGGATATTCATCCCACAACAGTAGTCGTGCCCCTTTTTAAAACCGCTTTGCTCGGTGAGGGTCGCCGAGAGGCGCAGCGGCATGTTACCTGCAAGTTGACACATACCCCATTACGGGAACACTTCGTTCAGGGGTTTCGGCCGCCTAATAAGCTTCCTAAACATGGTTGTGTCACAAACCTAGACAGCCTGGGGTGTCACTAACACTGGCAGAATGAAAATTGGCAGGTATAAGACCGTTGCAGCATTGGGGTAGCTGAGCCTGGGACGCGCACAAGCATATGATAAATATGTCTCAAACCGGGAGATGCCGAGGCCAGGCGCTGGGACAGGATGAGTTAGAAAAGATATAGTGTTCTGGGTGGCCTCTTACAGCATCAAAATTCATCTTAGCCAAGCAAGATAAGACGAAAAGAGGACAAGGGGACACAGGGTACTCTCCGTAGAAGCTATGCTACTCCGCATGGCCGCCGCTACAGGCACTCGGCCATGATGTTGACGTCGTCCCGTCGGCTGCCGTGCCCGCGTCCATTGATACTGATAAGTTCGTTTTTCAAAACAAACTGTGGGCAATGCTCCGAGACTGGCCCGTCAAAAAGGTAACGTCTCCGAAGATCTGGCTGAGAACTGTTAACTGAGGTGAACTAAAGCAGCAATCGTTTTTTCATGAGAGGGATGTTGGAGCGGTCACTAGTTGTTGTTTAGGCACATGTGTTGATGATAGCTGTTGCGCATAAGGCGGCGACGTAGAGCTGTGCCCAGATAAGGCGAATTGGATGATGCTGGCTAACGTTAGTACCTAGTGAATCCCGGATCGATCGCGTTACATTGGCCGATGCATTGTTAGTTGACAACTGGGTTGTCGTTGAACTTGGGGTTCCCGACAATTGTCTATTGGTTTGCTGTTGTTGAGTAACTTGCTGGGCGGGTCAGGCACATTCGTGTTGATTGGGCCCATGCGAGAAACACAAAGGCGGCGTGGTGTTCTTCACTGTGGGCCCAGATGGTGTTGAATACCTAGAACCCTGAAGTTTTAGCCTCAATCTGGACTGCCTGCATTGCCAACACAAGCCAGCGGAGAGACGAAAGTCAAGAATAGGCACATAGGTAGACTAAGGTAGCCAGGGGGTCGCAAGCTGTTCCAAGTCGGGATAGCACGCCCCACGCCATCTGCTCGCGACGTCGTAGCGCGATAGAGATACAGACGTAGGCCCAGAAAATCGTGGATGGGAAGGGTTCTGTTCAAGGGAGAGGCTCAATGATCGAGCCACCAACCAAGGGCAAGGCTAAGCAGTTTCAGCTTTCAGCCGGGTCCGTGGGAAGCTATACCAACAGGGACATTGTATGCGCAGGCTTGAGCTGATTTAGCCGCTGTAATGGAAGACGGCCGGCAACCAGGGTAAATTGCTTGCAGGTGCTGTGTCGTCTCATCGGTCCGGCTTCTACATGTCTACCATTCTATTGTTAGATAGATATTGGTGTGGTCAAGTCTTGGCGTATTTGGGGAGTGGACAAATGCAGTTGAAGATTTTTGGTTCCTGCAGCAGGACAACCTTAGATTCCGACGTGGAAGGAGAGAGAGCACCAATGTCGTAAAGAGCAGCTCACTAATAGGTACCTATCAGAGAGGTAGGCACATTACCTGATAAGGTTAGTAATTTAGCTGTTATGGTTACATTTAAATTAGACGCGACGAGATAATAAAGCTTCCATTAGCCAAAGTCAAAAGACCATTCCACTTCAATCAACAGTTTTTGCCAAGTGGAATACCAGCCAGAACAACTAGCATCTACATGGGAAGACTGGAAGATGCATCATGAATCAGCAGTCGAATTACTCGTTACTTAATCTGGTTAACTTCGTGCTCGAGGAGCTTCACTCTTAAGGCAATTGTCAAATTAAATTGCTTGATCTCCAGAATCTCCATCTCTAATAATCTCTCCCTCCACCTCCATCACACCATACACAAGACTAGTTCCCCAGATGTTTCCAACTATTCCATTCTTGAAATGGCGCAACCGCGTCAATTTGCTAGCGTGCAGCCACACCGAGCGGGCTGCTAGCACGGACAGCTGCTGATACACGCTTCGGTTCATTATAGATCCGCGCGCTGGTTCAGCTCGCACTTTTCGTCTCATGTGTCAATTTGAATCTCGGGGGTTCTCAACATCAGGGGGGTTGGTTCATTTTCAAATAGACTCGCATTAGGCCACCAACTTCTCAAACACAGACACCCCCTCTCCCTAAACCTGGGACATGTGCTGGTATGGAGGTACTATATACCTACTCACTCACTGCATCGCGGAGGAACGGCTGTAAATAGACTAAACCGGGAGTTTGTTAGAGCCGGGACGAAGAGACGAAACGCCGCCAGAAACGCGGTAGACTACGACTAGAATTCATGGCCGCGGCGCTGGTTTGACCCTCCAAATCCCCATCCAGTCCAAGTTCAATCCTTCGCGGGGCCCACCGCGGCTACGCTGCCCGCAGAGCCCAGGCTGAAGTCATCTCCTCTCATCCATGGCATGCTGTACTGTTTGGATGAGCTGCATTGACAGTAGCAGGTCCATCTTCGAAACGTCTCTGACACTTCTCGGAAAGTCGATCCGATGAGGAATCCTACATGCGAAGGAGACAGGGTTAATCAGCCAAGGCCAACATCCAGCCACTTAGTACCCCTGTTAAGTTCCGCCCGCATATGGTTCAACGTCCCGACAAAGCATATCATGACGCTGAATTTTGTTAGTTGCAGAATGGCCTACAAAGAGGCCATGCTCATCCTGCCTTCCGTCATGGTAGGGGTTGTTTGACAGCCAACAATGTCTTGTCTTTTCTTTTGATTGTTCTATTCTTTGTCTTCCTTTCCTTTTTCTGCGCACCATTTGCAGATCCTCCAATCTCCCGCCCTCATCTGGTGACAACGCGGGCCTCTGTTTTTAGAAGTACCCCAGCAATGGATATCCACTGGTCTGATGCGGTACATTCACACACATTCAGTTTGAAATCCTTGAATCCTATGATTTCCCGCGTTTCTGCATCGACGGACCGAAGTCCAAGTAGCGCGTTCAGCCTATAAATACAGTACCGAAAATGAATATGAACAGGGGACATGTCTGACACCATGCAATTGAGTTTGCGAGCAGTGGAAGCAACTGAAGTTTCGCTCTTTACGGTTTCGCCTGTAAGTACCTTATCGACAACAGATTTGTCTAAACATTTAAATTCCAATGCATACCTATAAGTCACAATACCTTGACCTTAGATATTTTTTGTGAATGGTGATACGAGCTAGTGTCATTGTATTTACAAACTTCTCGATAGGAAACTCAAGATCAGGCTTTCATGCCGCCCACTTAATCAGTCTCCCAAGCAGCGAAATGTCATTTGCCCATCGTGATATGACCTGGCACTAATGCAGGTCCTTCCATCCACCGTCTTGGGCGTTGCCGGCTCCTTGCCCCGGGCTCGACTGCATCAAACAAAATGATCTCTAGCCCTCCAACGCCGTTGTGGTCACGACGCTAGCTAAGGATCTGCAGGTAACTGAAGAGATTGTTTCAGGTTGGGCAGTGGAAGGCAAGAACACCGAAGCTTTTGAGGCACGTGTCCTCCAAAATAGCATCCGTGCCGCTTTTCGACACGGACAATGCAGCTTGAGACATAAACCACGACTAATAGTTGGGTGGATTCCGTGTCCAAACCTGGCTGGTCAAGAGCCATCATAGCAGCAATGCAGCTTGAAGATCAGGATATCCGACTTTTGACCTTGTCAGCAAGAATCACCAAAACTAAATTTCAGGAACTCTCTACGTTACTAGCCCTTCGCTGGCCTGTATCGTAAAGGTTTTCGCATCTTCATTGTATTTTAGGTTTAGTACGTCAACATGGTTTGCAAGAACCCTGACCCTGGAAATGTGTTTCATGCTGGGGTTGATGGCCTCTGTATACTATTAGACCCTTTCAAGATCCGGGCAACCACGGAACAGTATCAAGCCCATGCCTCTAGATCGACGACTTTCTCTACCGCCATGCCATGGAAGGGAGATGCAACAGGCAGATATGCTACCTGCTACCTGCTACCTTGTCTGTTAGCCCCGAGCCGTGGTCTTGCGCCTCACGGATTCATCAGAGGCCATAACAGGGCGTGAATCATCTGCAACGCAGAACACCTCATTACCAAAGAACGACGCCAGTAACTGACATACCGACAGGTTTCAATGGACGTTTAGTACAGCGAATCGAGGCCAGATAGTCCCTCACTCCACTGCATGCTACCTGATTCATGACATACATATCAAGTCTCCAAGAAGTCATCAGATGTCCAGAGGATACCTCTCGGGGCTGCTGATGATCAACCGTCCCATCAACTAATCTTGTTTGACGTTAACTTCCAGGGATCAAGCTCATTGAAAACCCACTTGCTAATTCTCAAAACGAAGATCGGCATGTATGGAAACCCCTAGATCGACCACTCACAAAACAAGCTCACACCTGATCCATTACCTGGACCTGAACTTTGGTGTGCAGATTTGAGCAGGCAGGGTTCGTACGACAGTAAAGGCGCCGATATTCCAAATTGAAGTAGGAGGTGGGGGAGCTGAGGATCCAAGAAACAGTTCTAGCCCCTCGAGAAGGGTGATTGATCCAAACTTCACACTTCGTGGGCTGAATCGGTGCGGCTACAGCGGCTGCCTGTAGGTAAGTATTTCCCAAGCTCAGATCAGCCATGAGAAAGGGGCAAATGCGCTCGCTCTGGTTGGTTTCGATGGCATCTGTTAGTTTTCTGAATGATGAAGAGCTGCCCCTTCTCCTGATTTTGTTTTGCCCCATCAGACTCTTGGACGATATTGCAGTAGGGTTACTAGAAAGGGTTTTCAAGAGGATATAGTGAGGCGGTTGTTTCTTTCGAGGCCTTTGGAGCGAAATACCACAATGGCCATGTGTCTGTTGGCAAAGTTTAGATTTCTCATTATTCACCACTTACATCGTCAGCGTCCTGCAGCCAATCTTTCTCCACCAGGCAATGTTGAACGTAAGCAACCTGCTTCTTCAGCTTTGCTAGCTTGGTAGTAACGGGTGGCAAGAGCCTGGCCAAGTGTGTTTGTGTGTGTGTGTTATGAAGCCAGTTCTCCCTGCCACATGCCCACTCTTGTCATCCGATCCAACTCCCCCATGGCAAGGAATTACCCTTAGGGACACTGACGAGCATTTTGTATAAGGAGATGAGCTGAAGCAAGTGAACCTTAATTCCATTGACAAAGACCATAAACATGAAGTGGAGGGAAATGGCCTGGACGACAAGAAGAAGTCGAGTTTCGGAAAAGCGGGCAACTTTCATTCTGTTTCATCAGAGTATCGATTCGTCTTTTGTTTGTTTCAAAAGGTCGATACCGTAACCAGGCGGGAGGAAAGCCGTTCGCCTGCAGGTCCCGGTCATTAACGCATAAGACATATATACTTGATCGCTCGATATCGAGATTGAAACAATATACCTTGCTCATATCTACCTTACCTGGCTATATGTGTATGCTTAAAATCAACTTTTGTCCGTGACAAAGCCGAATATGGCACGCTCTCTGCACCAGAAATGCAATTATTGACAGGAAAGCGATATGATATTTTACACATCGTATATGAGTAGTTTAAACGTCGTAAACCCATCTTAAATTACTCAGCGGCTGGTTATCAAGTCATAAAATCGATGGAGCCGATAGGACGCCATATATGATACATCTAAGGGGGAAGGCCGACGCCGAACTCTCTTATCTCGAAGACAAAGTTGCCGGAACAATATGCATATGCCTCCAGAAGATTCGTCCAGGCTGCTTTGCCGTTCAAGCCTGTGATCCAATAATACTTTCGCGCTCTCATCGTGACTGTTGTTACAGGGAGGATAGATCCATATCCTTGGAAGTGGAAAGCCTCCACAACAACCACTTGATACATTACCATGACAAAAATAACAACTTCATGGCTGCAAACAACCAAACAATAAGCAATAAAAGACATACAACAGCAGGTATTCGCTGGTCGTCACCGACCCAACTACTAATCTGCCCCTTGCAGGCTTGACTAAGGGAGAGCGGACGGGATCCCGTATTCTACTGCAGGTATGGTCGTATGTGCTCAGAAGCCGTCTTGGGTACGTTGATGAAGGGAGAGTTTTTTTCCGTTTCGAAAATTCGGTAATGGTACATGTTGCGGTTACGAGAGAGCCATATGTATTGTAGCAGCTCGATTCTAAAGCGACTCACCGCACCTTGAGGTCCTTGTATATAACTGCCCCCAATGCCAACAAGATACACTCTTGAAGCCCAAGGCCACTTCTCAAACAACTGAGAACCGTTTGGTTTTACTGTTGCTCCCGCTCTCAGATATACCCCAATCACACGCCACCGTCCAAACTTGCCCATCCAACACAATATCCCATACAGGTTGTCCCACATCAACAACACTCCCAACAATAACCGGCATCCTCTGTCCAAGACCTGTTAACCTGCCTTCGCCAGCAAGTAAGTATTTACTCTCTTCGGATGTATCGGTCCGCCCCTTTACTAGGTACATACGCCGGCCTGGTCGAATTTCCTCGATAATCACTTTCTTGGTCAAAGTTGTGGTTGATGCCGCACCTTCCCACCCCTTGACTTCAGACAGCCAGCCTTGGAGGTCGGCAGCTAATCCACCAGCTATGTATTTTTCTCCTCGACGTTGGGGAGAGAATGCTGCTGGGAGGCCATCTACTGCGGGATCGACGTCAACGGGCTTGAAGCGCGGTGGTGCGTGAAAGGTTGGCTGCTGAAGCGGTTTTAACTCATCATTGAGATTGGTGGCATCCTGGATACTCTGTGTAGAACCTTCTGATGGCGTGTGGCCACTTTCGTAAACCTCTTCTGGGGATTCGTTGGCTGGGTTGTGCTGCTCTCTTAGTGTGTTAGATTCTCGCCGAGGTGAACTCGATACCCTTCGCCGTTTCGGCTCCCGCTCTTCCAATGGAGAAGAACCGTATGGCGAAGGTGTAGAGTTAGACATCTCAAGGTCCATAGAGCCTGGAAGAATGACATCTGGTTCGTTATCTGAAATGGCTATGCTGCCACCTTGTGACGCAGTTGCATCGTCAGACTCGATTTCGATGGAGTCATGAATCGAGTTATGCTTTCTAGGCTGAATCTGATCATCACCACTCTCTGAAAGGGTTTCCTGTGAATTGTCTCCAACTTCTTCAACGTCTTCAATGTCTATGCCGGTTCTTGCCTGTGTCGGCCTAGGAACAGAAGAGGGGGCAAAGCGAGGAGTTGACTGGAAGCGCGGCAACGTCGCCGGGGTTTGCGATGACTGCGTTCCCCGTTTTGGGAGAAGAAACCTCTTTGGCGTAGGTGTCTGATAATTGTTAGGTTAAAATCGCAATCTTTGGATGAATGAGATCTTACACTTGGAGGGGGGCTCATGGTATAGGGTGAATACGCATGATCGCTACACAACCCAACAGACTTGCCATGGAGATAACACTTGTTTAGAACACCTTGCCGTCTCGAGGCAGTATGAGTCCTTTGCCACAAACAACCAACAATTATTTCAACTGTGTCGATGGTGAAATATTGTGAGAAATCGCTGAGAGGATGAAGATGTGACGTTCACGATTAGGGAAGGAACGGTAAAAGCTCGGGCCAAGAACTGTGCCATTACACACCTCTGATGAACTCTCCAGAGCTGAATACCTTACCTTGCCTACTGTACTTGATGAGGAGGACGGTCATAACAAGACACGTTCGTAGAATCACAAATAAGAATAATACCTGGCTGCTTTTCAGAGTCCATCTTACGACTTGATTAGCTCTACCGAAAGAACGCTTAATTCACGGACTGAAGCTGGTTTACTTTGACGTTCTGGCTGATATATGTAAAAATTGGACACTCCAAACTCCTAACACCCAAACGTGCATCTCTCAAGCCCTCCTTATATCTAAAACACGATGCAACAGGGTCTTTTATACAAAGTCGCACACATATGGCAATGAACACCATTAAAACGACACGGAAAGACCCACGGACGAGAAGCAATGATATCCAGTCATACAACGTGTCTGATTAGCCTGCCTACGAAGCAGACCTTAGCTTAGGCCATAATGAAGGCTTAACCGTAGGCCAACTCAAAGGTGGTTTCATGATTATCTCTGGTTGGCTCGGTATTCTTGACTTGGTGAAGCATAATGGGGGGTAAGCATGGTCGTCCATGCTTCTCTTCCCACTGCGGGCCACCGATGCCTGTATCATGCCAGCCCATCCAATTGTTGTACAGTCGGTTCGGCGGTATCGCCCGGTAGTACCAGGTTGAACCAACATATCTTCGCTCTCGTCCCCAGCCCATAGGGCTTCCGCGGCCGCCACATTCTCCATTCTCGCCAGGGTTGAACCACTTGTTAAGAAATTTGCCCTTCCAGTCACGGTCCATGAAAACCGGATGAGGAGCGTAGACTGCCTTTAGGCCGTGTAGGAGAGCAACTGTTTGTGGTGTCATTTCGGAGGCGACATGATTGCCACGCAGATTCTCAACGTGCATGATGTTCAGTAGCTTCTTCGACACTCGAGACTGAGTGACGATTGTGGTTCGTCTGGGAATATCTTGAGACTTGTGAGTTGAGTCATTGTAGCCCCAAACTTGATTAGCAATGACCCAGTTGCTGTTAATGGGGTTGAACATGGGAGAGACAGTGATGACATCGGCATCTTCACCGACCCCCCATTCATAGTTGTCCTGACTGGGACTTGCAACGGGAGGCTTGGGCCCAATGGGGTTGATAAATGGAAATTCAGGGGCGCCCCAAATAACATTATCGCCGTACCGTTTCTCAATGTCCTGGCGAAACTCGTCGTCGTAACCCCCGTGGAATGTGGGGATGTACCATCTCTCGTTTCTCTCCCACATGCCTTTTCGAGGCTGCTTCTTGGCGAACTCTCCAAGCTTATCCAAGAGGTGATAGTGATGACCAGTGAAACGGAAATCCATCTCCCAGTTCCAAACAAAATCAAACTGTGGGTAGTCTTGGCTAAATTTCTGAACAGAAAGCCACTGTGCAGTGTGGACATTCTTCGATTCAGGATCTGTAAGTTTTGGATAAAGTTTCCAAACAATGTCATCGTTCCAGAGAATTGTCATACTGCGGAACTCAGGAGGAACACTCTGCGAGAGGACAGTCTGGTAGACATCGTCGTCTTCAAAGATGCGAAGGTTTGTATCCTTGACTTGCACCAGCAGAAAGACCTCGTACTGGCCGCCTGTTTTGAGAGACAGTTCGGAGATTAGTGAACGAATATTTTGCTTGTCATTTTCTGTGTAATCCTTGCCAGTGTAAGATCGAAGAAGAATAGCAGTCCGAGGCTCTGAAACGTAGCCGGTTGTTGGATTCCTGGGGCTTCTTGGATGTTTCTGTTGACTTGCGAACTGGTTGATAGCTTCGGGGTTGGTCAGGGCAGGCGCGATGCCTGGGTTCGTCGAGACAGGGGTACTCTTGGGCTCTGGCTCGAGGGGAACATCTCGCTTTGCCATCTGTGCTTGAGCAGGCTCTTGAACTTGTTGAGGCTCCTCTGGTAATTGAGGCCCAATGACAGTTTCGGGGTACATGTTAAGATATTCGTTGACACGTTCTCGGTTCATATCAAACCGCTGGGCATTTCTGTGGAGGCAAATTCGTTGAAGGTCACCCCAGTTGACGTTATCGAAGTTGAGTGGCTGCGGTTCACCGCCAACTTTTTTGAACTGACGATGCAGTCCATAGGGGCCAAGTCGAGTCTCACGCTCCCAGCATAGGTTAGGATCCATATTTAAAGCATCGTAACTACCAAATCGAGGTAGAGGCCATTCGCGAGGCCTGCCTTTAAAGACAAGCAGATCCTCGACGGGTTCCCCAGTTGCACCCTTGCAAGGAAAGTACTGGGCATACCCGGCGTCCTTCCATGCGGCACTGTTGTACTTGGGGTAAGGGTCATAGCGAACTGGCTTTTCAGAGCTGTACTCCACGTCGGCATCTGGGTCGAACTTGAGATCAACGCTGAACTCTTCGGGCCGAGCCTCTTGGTTCTCCAAATTCGCCAAGGTCTTTCCATAGATGAGATTTGAGTGGGGGAAGCTGGGAACATGTTAGCCCGTGTATGGATTTTGGATGTTACCAATACTCACTTAGAAGTAACAGAATAAGCGTGTCTCCATTCTTTTCTCATATCCTTCTCATGTTGGAGCTTGCCCAGATCCCCAAACCCTCTATCCTTTCCATCAGTCTCAAAACCGGGCTCGATATCATTAGGGTCCTCGCCATCGGTGGGATCATGCCAGTCCTTGAGGTCCTCAGCCGTGAGTTCCCAGAGTTCTCGGTGAATGGCGCCGTATTGGTCTTCGGTATTAGACTCCCTATTTCCAGTAATGGGAGGTGGCGGCGAAACCGAGCCTTTTGAGTTGGAAGGGACCACTTGGATACTTGTGCTGGGCGCAAACAGGAGGTAGTAGGCAGCAAGCATAGCAAAGACAATTATTATCATAGATCTCGGCCGTAGCTTAGCGCCGAACAACCGGCGGCTTTGCGGATGCCATTTCTTCATGATGGTGGTAGATTTTGAAGTTGGTTGGTCGAAGGAGCGATCAATTAGTTGTACTGCGGAAGTGAATCGAACTTGGTGTCGGAATTGAGGACGAAGTGGTCAACAAGGTCGGACAAGATCAGGGGTGCATGGCTCGATAAGCTGAGGCACTGAGACGAGTGAATTCGGTCGGAACGATGCAAGGGATGCAATTCATAAGGAAGTACGTAGTGTCGTCTGCTAGTCGATTTGGATATCTGATCGCTCGGTCGCAAAGAAGTCCCCTTGAGGCCGATTGAAGGAGTGACGGGCTTCTTTTAGAGACAGCCAAAGAAATTGAGAAGTAGAGAAGTGCAAACACGTGTAAATAATGCACAAATAGAAAAGAAAGCCAGGCGCTGCGTTTGGGAGAATATTGTGTATGATAGAATGGGGAAAGGGAGAAAAAGAAACCTCAGGGAGAGTTCATGGAATGGGTGTGGATAACGAGGCGTTGGGTTGGATTGGGCTAACGATAGCCCGTGTACTGTAACTGGACTAAGGTTTCAATTTAGGGGTTGAGCGTAGCAAGTGGCGTAACGCTGGTGTACGGTAGCACATCCGTAGAATATTGTCAACCATTTGTTATCTCCTAAGAGCTCAAGGAGCTGCAATCCATACCCCGCCCTACTTTATCTCAGTATAAGCAGGGTACTAAAAGCTTTAATTTCTAACCTTTTATAGCTAAATTACTATATAATTAATTACAATTAAAATAATAAATATATCTTTAGATTATAATAAATAATAAGAGGTTAATTCCTATAATAATAAGAGCTTTAATAAGCAATATAAAGGCCCCTATATAGGCCCCAAGGAGGCTGCTAGGGCTAATAATTTTCTACCTAATAAATCTCGCAGCTTTAATTTTAACCCTTTTATTATGCAATATTGCAATTATTATATTAATTATTTGCCTACTATATTACTTAATCTTTTCTAGCTTTTTATACCTAAATCGCTACTTTAGTAATAAATTAAATATACTAATAGCTAGATTTATTACTTACTTAAAAATAGTATAGTTAATAGCTAGAATAACCTACTTTATAAATAGTTATAGCTCCTAGCTTAGGAAGGGATCTCTACTATATAGATTTATATATAGCTTAGTATGCTAATTTATATAAGAATTTATAAAGAAAAGAAGCTTTAAAGCTATTAAAAAGCCCCTTAGCTAGGAGAATAAGCCCCTTTATATTTAATTATTAAGTTTATACCTTATTAAAGGTTTTAGTTAATTTATTACTACCTTTATCTCTTTAATTATATTAAGATTAATAAAAATATACTCCTTCTAAAGGTATTTTAAGCTATTAAAAAGTAGTTTAATTATATATAGAGAGTATTAACTATATTCTTCTAACTAGGCTTTTATCTTATTATAAATAAGTATATAATCCGCTATATAGGCAGGTTAATAGCAATAACCCTTATTAAAGGGAAGCTAACCCTACTAGGCTTTAAGATCTAGGTTATTGCCTAAGCAGGCTTCTTTATTTAGTAGCTTTAGCACTATAAAGGCTTAAATTATAATATAATAAGTAAGAGATTAAGGCAGAAAGGAGGCAGCTATAGCCCTTTAGAAAAGAGAGAGTAAGCAGGTAAAGAAAGGGCTTCTTTACTACTACTAAGTAATATATTAGGTATTATTCTTTCCTTATATAAATTACTACTAATATAGATATATTATATCTTTATAAATAACCTCTTTTTAATATTACCTCTTTTTTATAAGCTTTATAATTATAGCTATAAGGCTATAGGTATAGCCTGCCTTAACTATAATATATATAAGGACTTAAAGAGGGATAAGGCGCTTAATAAATTAGGGCATTATAACTATACCTTTAATAAAGTTAGGTTTATTTTATTAAGGGATAACTTAATAAAAAGCTAAGATATTTTTCTATATATTTCCCTTATTAATTTATTTTTTCTCTTTCTTTTTAAGTTAATTAACTAGCTTAGAAGGATAATAGCCTTATACTTTTTATTATAACTATTTTTTAAGGCAATAAGTATACTAATAAAAAGAGAAAGAAGCTATCTATAACCTACTAATAAGCCTAGTTAATATAGTTATTTTTTAATAAAAAGACTACTAAAATTATTTCTATCTTAATAGTAGCTATTACTTATAATAATAAAATAAATCACATTAACTAAGGTAATTAATTAAGGTTATATATAAGCTATAATTACCCCCTTTACTAAGAGGCTTAATAGGCTTTAACTTAATCCTTCCTTCTTAATATTATACTTACTAATAGTTATATCCTTTAATTATATAATCCCTAGCTAAATTAAGAGAGATATAGATTATAAGAGGATTAGTAGAAGTATATTTTAAATATACTTTTTAATATATATTATTAAGAAAGTTAAGTAAAAAAGCTTTATTAGTTAGGGGCTAAAGAAGATATTAATAATTAAGAAAACCAGCAAAAATACATAAACTAAAGCATTAATTATATCTATTATAGCTATTATTTAAGGTGCCTAACTTATTAGGGCTTTTAGTAAGGTTAGATAAGGTTAAAAGGTTAAAAAAGGTATACTTTTACTAAAATTAGTAGTAATATAAAAAGAAGGTATTACAGCCAGCAGATTAAATATAAATATAAAATATATAATATACTAATTTATAATAATAAGACCTATTAATACTTCTATTATTATATAATTTAGGTAGCGCAAGAGGTATTTTTTATTTAACTCATTTTAATTAGCTATAACCCCTCACAGTGACCCGGTTGCAGCTCCTTGAGCTCTTAGGAGATAAGTTATCAGATTGGCAACATCACAAGATTGGAAGTGAATTCAAGACATTCAATATCCAAGGGAACAATAAAGTCTTATCTGGTACTTTCCACCAGTTCCTATAAATTTCTTTCCCCTTATTGAAGTATATACTTGAATCCCTGGAAGTCAATTTTTATTTACACGTGGCTTCGCCTATTATTGGATCCAACCCTTACAACCTTAGTGATAGTCTGTCCATTGGAACCATGGGAACCATGTCGGATGTTCCTTAATGTGACTACATACTGTCGACTTCAACAGCCTTTGACCTAATGAATTTGGTTTGCACTTTTGTCAGTTCAGATATCCCCATTTTATAAACTCATTTTCCAGATGTAGCGAAGCTTGACTTAAGCCGCAATTACACGATTACTAAAATAGTCTTCCTGTTCCGCTTCAAGTGCCAGTTGCAGAAAATTGTTATATCAGGCACAGGAGCTGAGATATAGTCCTACTCGCACTTTATCTGGATCCCTCAACTCATTTCTCGGTGCCTCCCCAAGCCGCCATGGACTGCCCGTCCCTGCCAGCATACCACTCTTCCCCGTTGAAGCTCCTATGAAAAGCTGTACGAATAATAAGCCTGAACGACGCTCAGCTGGATTCAAATTCTCGGCTGTCTCTGAGTTTATGGCCAACATTGTGACATGCTCTTAAACAAAACTGGATAAAGCTGTAGCAGGACATCGAATACGTGATATCTTGTTTTCCTTCCCCAGGCCATCGAGTCCAGGAATGAGAAGCAGTATCTATGGTGGTGGGCGCTGCCAATGGTTCATGGCTTGTTATTGTGGCCTGGTTGGATGGGGTTTAACAGCTGCCACACAACAGGACTTATTGCCGATTCGACATTGCTCGGCTATGACTCTTGTAGTTTGAGCCCATGAAACGCAAAAAGACCCCTTTTGAGAACACAAATGTGATCTGGTGTCCCATCAAAAACCTCTACTTCAAGGGCCAAATACCGCCACGCTCTACTTCCGATATTCGCGGCGATGAGCTTTAAGACGCTTTTCAATTATGAGTGAGCTCCCATTGAGAATCACTATAATGCTATGATGCTGAGGCCTGTAATACTTCATCTCCAATACCCAATCCATACTCCAGACTTTTCCCTGCAGTGGCACAAAGCACCAGAGACATAACCCCACCAATGCTGATGCCGTCGTTTTCAAGAAGGAAAAAAGAGTTGCATGATGTTCAATGTACAGAGCGCAGGGGGTTCAAAAACAAGGGGGTATAATAACAACAGGGAAAAAAACATGCTAGCCAACTCCCAGCATCTTAACAATCAAATCAGAGGATGTTGCTTTCTGGGTGCGCAAGAGGTGATATTACAAATAAAGTAATGGTCCATGTATCATCGTTAAGGTTCGGGTTTTAAATCAGGTCGTTACATCATGCCAAGTCGCGTGTTGCGCTTGTTCATTCGTGGTCGAGGTCCAGGAGGTCCGGGTGCCAGGCGGTTCCCAGGGGGCGGCATGCCATATGGAGGTCGTGGAAGTCCCATACCTGGCCCTGGTCCCATCCGCTGGGCTGGATGGCCAGGAAGACCCATCATGGGAGGTCGTGAGCCGGATGGCGATCGCCCCGGAGGCGCCTTCATTGGAGGATAAGGCTGTTGTACTCGGCGCCAGGCATCTCTTTCGCAGTATGATTTGCCGTCAACCTCAAAGTAGCCCTCAGAAAGAGATCGCCCACAGTCGAGACAACGGAAGCAACCGACATGATATTTGATGGAGAATTCGTCTTCCAGGTATTGTCCTTCAATCCCCTTCTCACAGCTTCCACAGAGACTGCCATTGAGCTTGTGGTAATGGTGCTCGCAATATGGCTTGTCGTTGAGAACATAGAACTCAGCGGATGTGAATGGCTCAGAGCATGTCGTGCAGACGAAGCACGCCTTGTGGTACTTGCCAGTCAATCTCCCATCTGCAGATGAGATGCTTTTGCCTGTGATGGTTAGGCCGCAAGCTTTGCAATTTCCCCGAGATCGCACAGGATCCTGGGATCCCTTTCGAGCGGGAGGCGCAGTAGGTGGAGGGAGTGTATGTGCACGCATCAATTCTGGGGCCCTGTCGAAATGAATGTGATCCTGAGGCGAAGTTGCATAAAGCGGTCTCGGTTGTGAATCGCTTCGCTGAAGAGGGATCTCGATTCGACGTTCATCTTTAGTGGTAGAGCTGGATCGTTCGCCTCTAGGGGATAGTTCAAGGGGCGATTCTGCGAGAGGCGACCTTGTACGTGACGGGGCCCGCAAAGGTGTTTCAGCTCGAGGACCTTTACTCCCCAAAGCCTCCATTGAGCTCTCGAGGTCGTCCATCAGGCCGTCCATAGCAGAGAGATCGGATGGATCACGTCGGGGATGAGATTTTGTCTGACTAGTTTGAGAACTGCCGTGGCTCTGGTGACTGAATGTGGAAAATCCAGAAGACGTCGAGTCTGACGGTGCATGATAGGGGTTGTTCACGCCGAACTCGGCAGCGAGATCGACGGATCCTGAGTACTTGCTAGATCTTGAGGGATGCAGAAGACTTTTACGCGGCGGCGGGGCTCGCGAAGTATCAGGTCCCATTGAGGGCTTGGATGCATGTCCAGGGCCACTTACTGCCTTGCGCTCAGGCTTGGTACCAGGTGCAGAAGGAGTTCGTAAGGGGGGCTCCGATCGAACAGCCAGCTTGGGAAATGTGTCGGAGCGGTTCATCATTCCCAAAGGCTGAGGCTGGAGTCTCGCTTCAGCTGTCGAAGGACGGCCAAAACCTTCGTAATCATCTCGTGTCGGTCTTTGAGGGGGGGCGGAGGGACTACTGTTGCTGTTATCTGTTGGAGATGCAGACCTGTGGGAATTGAAATAATCCTTTGGTGATGCACTCAGGAAGTCATCTGACTTCTCGCCGCCTTCCGTTATTTCTTTGGGAAAAGACGGTGACAGCGCCGAAGGACTGCGAATAGTATCGAATGGTCCCGGGGCGATGGTATCCATTCTTTTGAACAAAGTCGTGTTAGCTCCTCCGTTGGGGCTGATAGAACGAGGCTGGAAGTCCGGGCCATGCTTCTTCTCGCCAAAGCCTCCATAAGCCCCAGGACGATCGACTGGGCGGGGCGATGGTAGGATCAAATCATCCTCATGTGGTGTTGGAACGTCATCAAAGAAGCATTCCATTTCGTTAATTGATGATGTGCTGCGAGGCTCACTGTTTGGTGTCAATTGTCCCTGGCGCATGAAAGGATGGTCTACTATGTTGTTAGCTGTGTTTATGTGTATTAAACAATTGCCACTTACTGGCTGCATTGACATCTAATGATGCAGGTATGCGACCTGGTTTCTCAGGGGACGCTGGACTGTATGGTGTATACGCCTCATATCGTTCTGGTGGAGGGGACACTGTGGAACGATTAGTTCATTTCACTGGTTAAACGAAGCACTCATGATGTTTTCTTACGTTCGGGCGCTGGTGGTGCACAAACATGGTCGCCCATCATAGAGATTTCCACTTCCCGACTACATGATGAGCATTTGATAGTCGGGAGGAACATGGATTCTCGCGGAATCGCCATGATGGCGGTGTGAGTTGACGCGTTGCTTAGGGGGAATGGAGTCGAGTTTATTATGTGCCGCTTTAAATGTAATTGAGTTGTCGCCGTGGTTTCTCTCCAAATGCCCGAAAGCGCCTTCGACAAAGTGACGTATGAGAGATAATCGTAGGCCTTGTCGCGGTGGTTTCACAGATGGTGCTTTATGTGAGACCTTTTACATTCGTACCCCAGGCCCGTTCTGCGACCGGTGTCCCTGGGGTTGATGAAGTAGATTGAGGATGCCAAATGTCGGTGCGATTGCACTTGTCGATCGCATAAAGGCTGTCGTACTGTTCAAAGAGCGGTTTTTCTTTCTTTCTTGGTGGTAAAATCGTGGAGACAGATAATCGTAATGTTTTATCCCGTCTGGCTGAGTACCTGGGTTGTAAAATGGTGCCGATATTTGCTAGAGATGTGAGAGAAAGAGAGTGAGCCACTTCTCAGTTGATCGTGTAAATGAAAAGCTAAAGTCAAGAGTAGATTGAGATTCGATTGCAGTGGAAGGGAATCAGATCCAAGAATCGAAACACGACACTAAAACACCTGTGACGTGAAAGGATAGAAAGAGAATCAGCTGCCGACTTTCAAGAAAGGGACGATGCATATGGTGTCTCGAATGTGGAGGGAGAGGTGGGCGGGTTGATGCTAAAGGAGACCCTTGACCGAACTAAAGGCCTTTGAGATGCAGGCTTATCCTGGAGTCGGATCCTGGTTGGCGTTGGCGTTGGCGTTGGTGCTGGTGCCCTTGTTCATTAATAAGTTAATAAGTTGCGCTCGCCGAGAGACCCTGTCTCCTGTCCTGTTGGCCCCCTGGTTGGTGAAGGACAGTTCGCAAACTGACGGGTTTGCGGTGGGTGCGGTGTGGAATTTGCAACACGGGCACTACGGAGCTTTGTGCTTTGTGCTGAAGACAAGAACAGGAGCGACAACCTTTTTGGTTTTATTCATGAGAAGCGTTTACTTCTATAGGTTGCTTCAGGTTTGTTGTCGGAGTGGTCTAGATAGCCAACCCAGCGCACTGGATGTTGACAAGTGGCTACCTACGGACAGATCCTCCGTTACTGCTTTGAACAAACTTCTCCCGTATCGTCTTGGCTAGATCATCGGGACTCCATTGACTCCAGTAACACGGTAGACGACATTCCAGTAAGCTTTCCGTAACTAACTGCTTCCTTGAAGCTTCTGGACCCGAGATAGCGTCCACCCCACCCCCAAGAGGAGGCCAAAGGACAATGAGACATGATTTACGGATAATGAATTCAATTATCGATTTGGAGGGCGGACAGAAGAACTGGCAGAAACATGAACGTGAACTACATCTCGATGGATTCCTTACAAAGATTTTGCTGTCTCGCTTGTCAATCAATCAATGTTGCATGTCTCGTTGTAAAGATGGGGAAACAAGGGCAACAAGTCTTTGTTCGGTTAGGATCATCCGCCGCTTGTTTGCATGCATGAGACGTGCCTGGAGGATGATAATCTAAAGCGGGAGAGTCCCTCTTGTAGATGTCAGCCCGCAATTGGCTCCTTGACAACATCGACAATGATTGCATCCATCTTATTCCTTCGTTTGCGTCCCGTCAGTCTCCTGCATGCGTCAAGCTCAGTGGCCGGAAGATTGATGCCCTAATAGACTCATTAAAATGAATCCCGCAACAATCGAAAGCGAAGAACCAAAGAAACGAGCCAGATTGAGTCCGGCCTCAGCCGAATCAGTCATGGGATAAACGCCACAGAATATTCTCTGCAACCTGGTCATTGATGCCATATCCACTGTTGCTCATGGATAAGGTCAAGAAGATCCACTGACAACCGTCGACAACTCGGGTACCTTGCAGGCAGCTTTGTCCAATGAAGGGACTTATCTAACAAACTAGTCTCGTTTAAGATAGGCGTCCACCGAAAGGGGAACTGTCTCATTTAATGTTTCTTGTATTACTCGTGGTGTGGTGTGAAAGCTCCGCCTGTCGCTCATGTGAATCCAACTCTGGTAATGTAGCCACTGCTACGTAATTATCCGCCCCTGCAAATCAATGTGTTCTCTGGCGGCATTGCTATTGCATGGCTACTCCTCGCCAAGGTTTCTACAAGACATGCTTCTAAACTTGGCTTAGTTATCACATATAGTTCGTGTTTTAACAGAGCTAGATTATGGGTGCAACCTGCAAGCATACAATTGATACGGCCAGCGCTAATTGTCCCTTCCATTGGCTCGTTCAAAGTGACTGGAGGGTTAATAAACTGATTAATTGCCTGTACTCATTTGGTGGGTGAGCCGTGGGGGAACCGTGGCTGATCTTCATACCATACACCAAATACAGCAGGTTCTACCTCGTAGTTTAAATGACATTGGTAATGCAGATGATGGTTTAATGCAAGTGCTTCAGCTCTCCCCGTTTGCTTTACCAGGCCTTGTCCCGTTGTGTCTACTCTGTACCACGAGTGCTGAACCTCCGTAATACAGACAAGTTCTACTATACAAGCCTTCATTGCTATTTGCAGAAGAGAAACCAGGCTACAAGCGATGATGATCCACTGTCTCAGGTCTCTGATCGGAAGATCAAGAACCCGCTACGACATTAATAAACCATGACCACGGACTGCACTCAACCCGACAGCCATGCATTGGCCTAATTTTCAATAGATCGGTAGCTGGAGGCGCCACAATTTGAAACTTTCAGTGTCGTCAAACTGGAAGGATTGCAAAACTGCCGCCACGATCGTTGACGGTGTTGACCCTCGATCAACATGCTAGCGGGCTAGAGCTGCCCCTGGTGATCGGCCATGATAGAAGGGGGTTGGCGATTCCGTAACACATCAAGACGCCTTGTTATGATAAACACCTCCAATATCAACCTTATACAAAGACGTGGAGACAACCCAGTAACACGAGATGCATGTTGATATTGATTTCATCAACCAATATGGGCTCCATAACTCGTGGCGTTGTAACGATCCTATTTAGTCTCTTGCCAGTTCCCTATTAAACATTTAATGACCTCAAGTTCAGGATGCTGAATATATGCTTTAGTGCTTGGGCTAGCTAGTCATGAGCTGGAGAATTACCCCTGGGCCGTTTGCCTAGAAGGTTGACTTGGGCACGTCATTCATGGCTCTCCAAGGGCAATCAATTGGCATTTTATATATAATGGCTGAGACTGGAGTAATTTCTGAGGCATGATCGTCGATCGGCTATCGTGACCAGTCTCGGGCACATGGGTCTGTCAAGCAAAATGCGTCAACAGTCATCAGCCATAGCGACGGCTTCTGGACCCTGAATTTGAATCAAGGCTTCAAATATTGTAGCATAGTGCCAACACATAGAATAAAACTTTACTTGTATTATGTCTTTCGAGATCAAGGCTGAAACGCCAGTCTGGGGATGGAGATACAAGCTATATTTTCGCTCGGGTTCCAGACATACATACATTAATGGGAAGCCAGAATCAGGAATGTAGGTGAGTGCAAAGCTGGCTATGGTCATGGGACTCGGTGTTGAAGAGGCCTCACTGTCCTTGAAAGTCAATTCGAATGGCTAGAGTACGGACTCGGCCGACATCTCGTCCTGTCCTGAGACTCCCTCAGAGCGATTTGACCCGTATGTGCCAGCTTCTCCCGCATTAGACGGTGAGGGAACTTCGGATTGTGGAGGCCAGGATTCTTCGACGATCTCAACACCACGCAGAAACCATGTGGGTATTCGGCTCGGCATCGCATCTTTCTGCTGCACTTCCTTGTTACATGTGAATGGAGCTGCTTTCCAAGATAAAGAACAACCGCGTTAAGATCTGCAGTTTAAGAGGGATGCGGTCTCTCTGAGGGAGCTATGTCAAGAGAATATCCAACCGACTCATTCCTCTAATCGCTGAAGCCTCTTGGGCATCATGGCGCTGGGCTAGCGTGCGTTGATCGAGGTTGATCAACGATAGGCACCAGCAGGAGATAACGAGTGACAGTACAGATGACCTTCGCCAGCTGGACAAGTTTGTAAGCCAATTGTTTCGAAGACTCAGGATACCTACCTAGTCGATGCAAGTACACGTTGTGATAAGAATGCACGCAAGATGCTACCAGCAATCGAGACCATCACTCAAGAGTCCTTCTATCTCCTGATTATTTTTTACCTTAAACATGACATTTGATTAATCAGAAACAATTTCGAACGCTGCTTACCAGGTGGGTTCCATTGTCCATGTAACGGAACGTTCACAGTGCTGTGATATGAGGCTCTTGAGACTTTTATTGATTCCAGCAGTCTCTGAAAATGTTCATCGCGGTACCAAAGATACTCATGTACAGTAATGACAACAAGTCATCGACGGGTAATAAAGCCTGTAATACAAGACCTTTTTTACCCGTCCAGGCTTGACCCTGTGTTCTTGACTAGCTGCATCATTAGGACAGACCTGTATGATCACCAATGCCCCGGGTAGAGCCAATCAAGTTGGATGATGTCGACAGCATCGGATGAGACAATTTATTATGCTTAGAGACGATACCCACTGCTTTTTGTCCCGCACAAGTTAAGAAAGGTCAAGTCAAGTTGTTGAATGCTGGGAGATGCACAACGTCAGGGGCTCAAGCCAATGGTTCGGGAGAGGGAGTATTACAAGGCAGGGTTAAGCTGCATGAGCGTGGGCGGTACTCCGTAGTATTGTACCGAATGTGTTTTTGGACCAAACCAAACATGTCGAACAAATATCAACAACTAGCACGTACCTACCCTCATACTGATCAGAAGGAAAGAAAAGGAAAGAAAACCCTTGGTAAGTCGAGGTCAAACCTGTGCTCTCATAAGGTCTTGTTTGAAGCCAACTGAACCCCGATTTCATGGATGAAAATGGTGGGAGAAATGTGGGAAAACCTGGAGGATTGAGACGCTATCCGTACCTTTTTCTCGGTTCTAGGAATCCAATGGATGTGTGCTAGCATCAGGTGTCCACAAACATACATGGAAAACATACAGTAGCTTACAGTAGCTCGATATCATCAATACACGCTGTTCCGAGCTCTCCGCGTCCCCAGCCGCTAGAATATCGCTACTCCACTATTGGCTCCTTGTCAACACTCACCGCCCGAACGTCCACGACAGCCAAGCGAGGGAAGTGGCAGTACAGCGAGGTACGTCTCCCAGAGTCTGCCATATTTGAACCCTCCCCATTCCCGAACAACACTTCATTTCTCTCTCTTTTCCTTCACCAACAAACTTCGTCAACTTACAATCAGCTAAATAACGTTTCCAAACCTTTAAAAACACTTATTTCTTACCAAAATCTCTCACTCTTGACATCTCTCTGCCCCGCTACCCCGCCATCAACAACACCCCTCCAAATAATATTATCATAAAGACCAAGGCCTTGACCCTTGGTCACTCCAGTCGTCAAGACGTTTTCCAATCTCCTTAACTCGTATGCCACCCAAATGAACTCCCAAGCAAGAAGACATGAAGAGAAATGAACAAATACTAATCTCACAAAAGGACGCACCACCCGTTCGCAGGAGCCCGCTGCTCAGCCGATTCCGGAGGCTCAGCGGACTCGACCTTTGAACAGTAAAGGTCAAATCACAAATAGAACCCGTCCAATCTCAATCAATTTGCAAATTTCCACGTAAAGCCACTATTCATCATGGCTCCTCACGCGGAAGTCGGCACGGGCTCCTCGAACGGGGCGGTCTACAACGGCCGAGGTTCCTCAGCTACCCAGGACCTCTTTACCGTCAACTCCCCCAACGTCACCTACACTGATGCGGAAATTCGTTCTCGATACACCTACCGCACTACCAAGGTTGACGTTGATGCCAATGGCAAGTATGTCGCTACTCCAAACGAGACTCTCTATGACTTCAAGGTCGACCGTAAGATCCCCAAGGTCGGTATGATGTTGGTTGGCCTCGGAGGCAACAACGGCACTACCGTCACTGCTGGCATCCTCGCCAACCGCCGCCAGCTCGCCTGGGATACCAAGGAGGGTCCTCGCGAGTCTAACTACTACGGCTCTGTTGTCATGGGCTCTACCCTCAAGCTCGGTCATGATGCCAAGACTCATCAGGAGATCAACATTCCCTTCCATAACATCCTCCCCATGGTTCACCCCAACGACCTTGTCATTGGCGGCTGGGACATCAGCAAGATGAATCTGGCGCAGGCCATGGATCGCGCTCAGGTCCTCGAGCCTACCCTCAAGGCCCAGGTCAAGAAGGAGATGGCTGAGATGGTTCCCCTTCCCTCCATCTACTACCCAGACTTCATTGCCGCCAACCAGGAGGACCGTGCTGATAACGTTCTCGAGGGCTCCAAGGCTTGCTGGGCTCATGTTGAGAAGATCCGCCAGGACATCCGTGACTTCAAGGCCAAGAACGGCCTTGACAAGGTCATCATCATGTGGACTGCCAACACCGAGCGATATGCCGACCTGATTGAGGGCGTCAACGACACCGCTGACAACCTTCTCAAGGCCATTGAGCAGGGTCATGAAGAGGTCTCTCCCTCCACTGTCTTTGCCGTTGCCTGTATTCTTGAGAAAGCCCCTTTCATCAACGGCTCCCCACAGAACACCTTTGTCCCCGGCGCCATTGAGCTTGCTGAGAAGCACAATGCCTTCATTGGTGGTGATGACTTCAAGTCTGGCCAGACCAAGATGAAGTCTGCCCTGGTTGATTTCCTCATCAATGCTGGTATCAAGTTGACTTCCATTGCAAGCTACAACCATCTCGGCAACAACGACGGCAAGAACTTGAGCTCCCAGAAGCAGTTCCGCTCCAAGGAAATTTCCAAGTCCAACGTCGTTGATGACATGGTTGAGGCTAATCACGTTCTGTATAAGAAGGGCGAGCACCCTGACCACTGTGTCGTCATCAAGTATATGCCCGCTGTTGCCGACAACAAGCGTGCTCTTGACGAATACTATGCCGAGATTTTCATGGGCGGTCACCAGACCATTTCGTAAGTTGATGCCAAGGTTTCGAAGACATAGACCGCAACTGACAATTTCCAGGCTCTTCAACATTTGCGAGGACTCCCTTCTTGCCTCTCCTTTGATCATTGACTTGGTCATCATTGCTGAGATGATGTCTCGAATCCAGTGGAAGGCTGTATCCTCCGATGGTACTGCTACTACCGAATACAAGAGCTTCCACAGTGTCCTGAGCGTCCTTAGCTACATGCTGAAGGCTCCCCTCACCCCTCCTGGCACTCCCGTTGTCAATGCACTAGCTAAGCAGCGTGCTGCTCTTACCAACATTTTCCGTGCCTGCGTTGGCCTCGAGCCGGAGTCCGACATGACTCTTGAGCACAAGCTCTTCTAGGCGCTACGCCTATGCTTAATGTTCTTGACATAGATTGATTTGAATGAGGAAGATTTATAGGACAGTCTTTACCGGATGCTCTTATTGCTATTTGAAAACCGAAAAATCATATAAAGAAGGAGGAGAGATCAATTAGCCCCATAGACAACCAAATTCAATTGTGCCATTCTCCTCATGATATACGGAATCACCATGTATATGACACCGCGCAATATATTGTATGCGTGCTTGGCCCTCGCTATGTATACATACCTGAGGCAGGCATTTGGACCTTAGCTATCTGAGGATTTGGATGATCTGGGAGGCCAGGGAGATCAGTCTAGAAAGGTACCTTAAGCGACAAGGATGTATCATCATTGCAAGGGTGTTAATTGAATTTTAACGTGGCTGGTAGACTTTACGCGGGATTGATGCGTTCCAACGCGTCTCTCCACGCCAACGCATTTTTATGGCCCGCGCGTCGCGTTAAGCTCCCCACTATCACTTAGACCAGGTAGTGACCGTCATTCTCAGACTCTCCCAGATCAACATCCACTCTTATGTCAAGAAATTATTCACTCCCAAGGACTACATGTTAATTTACTTGTTATTTTCATCTTTTCACTGATCACTTTCTATCTACGTCACAAATACCATTGGTATCACAATGGCTACTCCCTCACGAGCTTCCTCCCCTCCCTCAATGGGCGGAACTCCCGAACCACTGTCACCACAGTCCAGATTCAAAGCCCAACTTGCAGCTCTTGAGAGCAGTGACGACGAAACATCCTCTTCAAATCAATACACAGGCAAAAACTCAAAAAATCACCTCGGCCTACCACCACAGACCATACCGGATAAAGAAACGTCCGATGAATCGGATAATGACATTATTAGGCCTCGAGGCAAGCTGGCGGCTAGGATGCAAGGGACATCACAAAAAAACGAGTCACTGAATACATCTTCGTTCCAAAAAGAAACCACCCGGGATTGCACAGAGAAGATATGCGAGCAAGAAGAGAAGGCGACCGAAGAAGTTGAGAAGACAAACGATGCTGGCATGCCTGATGTTGAATCACAAGAAGACGACGCTCCTGTTGCACGCCGAAGATTGGTTCGCAAGGCACCTTCTTTGCCAGCCTCAAAACGCACCTCTCGTGGTTCCAGCCCAGCACTTTTCGTATCATCACCTATTCGTCCTTCGCCAACTCAATCTATGCATAATGGCTCGGGTTCTGAGGGTGACATGCCTGCTCTCAAATCTGATCGCTTCAAAGCGATGCTCGAGCGCCGCAGACAAAAGCGACGTGACGAAGATGCCGGGAAAGAAGCGAAAGAGGCCGAAAAACGAGCAAAACAAGAGAAAGTCGCACAGGAGATGGAAGAGATGGTCTCGGATGGCGATAACTCCGGTATCACCGACGATGAAGGTGGTCGACGACTGACCCAGGCCGAGCGACCCAGTGCTCGTAAAGCCAGCAAAAAGGCCATCGAGGAGATGAACAGAGAAACTCAGAGAATGTCGAGGAATATGCAGTTGGCACATGAAGCCAAGACACGAAAGAAGATTACCAAGAACAGATTGTTCGAACGTTTCAACTTCCGCCCAGCAGGTGAACCAGAACCAAAGGTTACCAGCTCAAGCAGGGGACCAACACCACATAGCGACGTTGAGATGCAAGATGTCGATACACCGCCGAGTTCTCCCCCAGTTTCCAAAGAGACTGCCGCCGTCGTTACAGTCCCGGAAACTACTGCTAGAGACGATGATTTCGACTTGCCAACTATAGATAGCGTGGCCGAGATAACCAAGCTCAAACCAGACAAGGGAAAGGCCGTGGAGACGCCAGCCGAACAGGAACAGCCCATTCAAAACCCCAGGCGTCAATTCCGTGTCAAACTTCCACCTGTCAGAGCCAATGTGACAATGGTGGATTCGGATGACGAGTTAGAAATCACAACCACCACCAAGGACAAAATTCGAGCTGTATTTGAAATGGCTCCAACAAAGAAAGCGCAGGAACACAGTTCCGTTCAGGCGCTACGCGCCCTTGCCCAACTTAAATCTCCCGGCAAGGAGACAAGACAAAAGAACGAAAATCACGGCATGACAGCAGGCGAACTCCAGGCCTACCTATACCAGAAGGCTCGGCAACAAGCCAAGGTGGAGCGTGACCGCAGAGTTGATCTGCTCAAGGCTCAAGGTGTCGTTATTCAAACCGCAGAAGAGCGTGAGCGTCAGATGCAAGACGCCGAGGACATTGTCGCCAGGGCAAGAATGGAAGAACAGATCATTAGGCAAAAAGAGAAAGCAGCTGCCAAAAAGGAAGCGAAAGAGAATGGTGAAGTTGACCCCCTGGCCTGGGATGATAGCGAGGACGAGGAGTATCAAGCATCTGGAAACGAAGCTGATGGAGAAGGATCCGCGGTTGAGTTGTCCGGATCCGAGGATGAAGAGGAAGTTAGTGACGAGGAGCAAACAGATGGCAATAACATGGTCGAAGTCGAGGCTCGAGATGGAGAGTCTGAGGCCTCCGCTGATGAGAATGATGATGCAACTCTTAGCGCCAGTCAAGATGTTCAGGACGATGCCGAAGAGTTCCCTGCTACGAGATATCGACGACTACGAAAACCTATTGTTCTTTCTGACGAGGAGGAGGAGGATACAGTCGAAATGACACCCAGACCAAAAGCTACTGCCCACATGTCACCAATAGTCCCAAACACACAATCCCCGACTGCACCTAGATCAGTCCTCCGTTCAGCAAAGAAGAACTTTATTCCAGGTTTGCCGGTGCAGGGACCGGCTGGCCTCGGCCTCACGCAGATTTTCGCTGGTACCATGGACGACAGCCAAATGAATTCTGCCAACGGTCCAACTCAATCTCCGATGCCCGATTTCGATCACTTTCCCGACTCCAACTTCTCTGCAACCATGGACGAGCCCATGGAGGACATGATCATAGACAGTCAGAAAAATGACAGCCAAAAGAATACTCAAGACGTCGCCCTCGACCTTTCTCAGTCTCAGATGCGCGGTCTGGACAGCTTGCTTCGGGAAGAGAGCACTCAAATCTCCGACATGATCGATTTCACTCAGGATGGTGGGCTTCAAGACCAAACACCCTTAAAGAACAGATTCATCGAGGCACCAGGTTCGACTATGGAGACTATGTTGGCCGATCATGAGGACCCGACCCAAGCTTCGCCACTCGTCCGCCGTGGCCGTCTTCGTCGCAGAATAGAGACATCTCAACGCATTCAGGAAATCCCAGAGCCGCCACCTGCAGAGAAGGCTGATAATGTCTTTAAAGTGTTGAAGGAGGGTGCCAAGAACGAACAAAAGAACCGCCTCCGAACTGAGTTTGACCACAAGAACAGCAAGGCAAAGGAGATGATTCAGGAACAAGCTGAGGAATCCGAAGATGAATATGCTGGGCTGGGTGGTGCAGATGGCGAGGATAGTGACAATGAGTCTGTCGCTTCACTTAAAGATATCATAGACGACACTGATAGTCACGATATCGACGGAGCCAAACTCGCTGCTCTATATGCGTAAGTACTACATCAGAATGATTATCAACAACACTGACATTCCATAGCGCTCGAGAGCAGGCAGAAGATGAGAAGCAGGTCGAGAAGCTTTTCAAGGACATCACGACTGGTATGCTTCGCCGTAAACGAGGTGCAGGCTACGACCTCGACGATTCAGACGATGATGGTGAGGCTCGTCGCCGAATGAAGCGTCGACAGTTCGCCAAAATGCAGAAAGCTCTATTTGCCGACGAACGTGTCAAGAAGATAGCTGAGAACCCTGGTAACCAGGCCTTCTTACGAACGATAGAGGACCGTGGCAGTGATGATGAAATGGACTTCTTGGACGCACCGGAAGAGGTCGTCGAGTCCTCACAATCCCAGTCTCAGGATGAAAGCAGCAAGGCTCAGACTGTTCCCGACAGCCAACCTCAGAAGGTTCTTGGCCCTGCGGATAACAGGGCCCCAGGCTATCTGCGTAGGACCAAGGATGGCAAGAAGCCCTCTAACATTGGCGAAGTTCGCGAGACCTTGTCCGATCTGCTGGAAGAACCCCATGGTTCAGTTATCCCTGCAACTGAAGTTGGGTCAGACAGCGAAGGCGAAGAGAACACTGCCGCAGAAACTCGCAGCGATAAGGAGAACGATATTTCCAACCCCCGCCGTGGCCGTGTCGCGGTCGTTGATCGCATCAGCCTCAAACGCAAGAGCTCTTCGAACGTTAGCACTGGCCGCCCTGCCTTTGCAACAGCATCAAACTCCTCATTCAAAGTCCCCGCTCTGCTACGCCGTGCTACTACGAATTCATTTGTATCTGGTACAGTTTCTACCACAAGCTCTGGTTCACCAGCACCAGCGAGCGGATTCGGTGAAGAGGCCAAGATAAAGAAGGGAGCCAGCAAGAAGAGCGGCGTCCATGCATTTGCTCGTGACAGCGAGAGACGAGCGAAGCTGGAGGAGAATGAGCGAAAGAGAGAAGAAAGGAAGGTTAAAGGGGCAGAGAGGAGAATCGGAGTCGTGGGTGGTTTATTGGGTAAGGGATCATTTGAATAAGCTGGCATAGAACGGAATTCGTTCATTTATATGGATCATGTTTGTTAGGGTTTAGAATTCACATGATGGCGTGGAGTTGGATTGGACGAGACATGAAGACCATTATCATGGCGACACTATACCTAAGTTTCGAAAAATGTTAATTCATTTGTGAAGGCTGTGCATTGCTGGTCCACCATCCACATGTGATTGCCCTGCCCTATTCATAGTTATCTCAACAAAACATCGCCTCCAAAGGTAGTCTGGTGATTGTAACGTGGTCACATACCGACCCAAGCTTATTGTAGGTTCACAGCATATGACTATTACTACTAGGCCCCTGGGTCCCTACTTCTTCCGGCACCATTTTCTGCACAGGGAGCAAAAAGACTACCATTATCTATATCCATAACACAACACATAGGCGACTGATGCTGCCAAAAATGGTGGTTCCGCCCGGGATCGAACCGGGGACCTTCTCGGTGTTAACGAGATGCCATAACCAACTAGACCACGGAACCGTCATCTGATTATAGAAGATGGCTTCGGTGTTTGGTGATGACCACTTCTACTTGCCTGCGCATTACCAACCTAGGGTTCACATGGTGGGGTCTACTTCACAACTTTAACTCCACTACCCCTATCGTCGTTCCCAGTCCATCTTCGAAATGCTGCAAATCAGCCACTTATGCCTCTCCTTATTTGCAAGTTAATAGGTTCCGTGGTCTAGTTGGTTATGGCATCTCGTTAACACCGAGAAGGTCCCCGGTTCGATCCCGGGCGGAACCACCATTTTTGCACCAGTTCCCACTCCTGGTCGTGGGAACAGACTGTATTAGATATTCACCACAGCCCTCGTCAGGTCTTATAGTTGACCTGGTAACACGACCAAGTTTCATAATGCCTGTATAGGCCTTGACACAATTATGAATAGGGTCTTAAGCTAAGAATGGGGCGTGAAGCAATCGAGTCTCTTGTATAAGATACCTACGCATCACTAAGGTACTTCCTGTTCATGTAACCCAACTCTGTCAGCTGTTGATTTACACAGCATAAAGACATAACGATTTATCTCGTGTAAAGTAGCTGCCAGCTATTCTTCAAGGGTTGCACTTCCTGAAGCTAAGTCACCCTAAATAGATATAAGCAAGAGGAAAGGTAGCTTCTTCTCGGCTCTAGTAATCTTTGCATCCTTTGCTATTCCCTCCTCAATGAGCTTTTCGATTACACATTCTTTGTTCATGTTGGCATTCATTATCCCATGTAGCACGCAGCGTGCTCTGTCTTTTCTGCGGCGAAGATAGAGTACATTCATGCCCTACGTTAACATGATTTGGACAATACTTTCTTTTTCACCTTTTTCAACCGCTACTGGATCCTTGCCAATTCTGTCCATGAGTTTTTGCGAAGCGTCGATGTAGGATCCGACTTGTTTCTCAACTCCGTACCTGACATGAAGTTGATGAATCACCAGGAAGAACAATACACAGCGTTTCTGCGTCTTAGATAGTGTTCTGTGGGGGTGCCTTCGTGGTCGTCTTCCGTTGGAAAGTGGCTGTCAGCATACATATCCTCACAAAGGAATAAAAGATCCATTCCAAGGCCTACATAGTTCAAATTGGAATTCGTGGATATATATTATTTGTAGAAAAACCACTCATGTTCGCCCATTTCGTCTATATCGATACACTTTTTGCAGACAAAATTTATTCTGCCGTTTTCCGAACACTCTGACCATATATATACTTTGCGTTTCATCGCGCAGAGATTTGTTTCTTCAGGAGAAGGAAACATAGTCATAGATCCCTTTGCTGATTCGCTTTTTTATTAGCGACTCAACGTGCAGAGGTGTCATACGTTCTGCAATGCGGAGTATCAACTTACTTAGCAGACAGAGTGGAAGCACCTGGTTATGGTGGTAGGAAGACGGAAAAAAGAGGTAAAAGGAGCAATGAAATAATATGTCAATGACCTTAAAATAAGGCTCTCCTACTGTTGTTGACCAAGCAAGAACTGCTTGTGAAACACCTAATTCCACGACGGCATCTCAAACCGACTTGAAGCTTGTCTCGTTTTCATAGAGCTTACATGTTCGATGAGTTTTGAAAGTATGAAATATATTAGTGTTGCCGAAACTAGCTATCAGCATAATTGCACCGTTGAAATGCAATTGTGTTATCACTTGATATGAATACCTCGCATCATAAACAGTTCTCTGATTGACCTCTATTTGCCCCCCGGCTGTCACGCCAGCAAGGTACATACGCTCTATATCAATACATCCTCTAATTCGTTGTGATCTTTTACTTTTGGAACGCCGCACCCGAAAATTCTAAACTGCCTAAACCCAACAATCTCTTGGTAAATAGCCAAAGCTCAAAGGCTTCTAACTTGATCTCCACGCGCATGAACCCAACCCATGCAGCAAACACTCGCACAGCATTGAGCGGCCAGATATATGATCCGTTTTGACCGATCTCTTCAAGCTTCTCGTGGAACACGGTCTTTGTGCAATATCGTGCAAGGATCATAAACGAACGAATGGGACCCTGCCGTGTCTGGAGGTTCTCGTCCAGGCTTCGGGTTAGATCGTTTGTCTTGAGAATTAGAAGGATAATGCGAGGTACGCGGCTGAGAAGCTGCACGAGGTCGACAATGAGACCCTCTTGCAGAGCCCCGCTCATTGTTTTTTGCTCATCGGCCGTTCGAGTCTCGAGAATAGATCCAGACTTGCTAACAATGCTGTAGTCTCGACCAGTAATTGCTGAAGCAAAAAGTGGGAAATCCTTGTCCTCAATACCAGCAACCTCATGCGCATACTTCTTCATTCGATCCATATCGCCATCAATAACCGCAAGCCACATCTTGGCATATGACCTTCGCAGAGGAAGCTCAATGTCGCGGTAGAGACCATGATCATATAAAATGACATCAAAGTTAGGCCCACGTCCAAGGCCCCGGCGGGTATTGTTCTTGCGGATTGCAATATTACCACCGTGAGGATCACAGTGCAGGGGTGCACCATCACCGAAGATCATTTCGTTGAAGATACGCGCCAACGTGGCAGATACTTCATCTCGGTCAATGCCGTTCTTATCCAAATACTCAAGATCATCGAGTCGACTTCCCGCTTCGCACGCCATGACAATGATTCGCTTCTTAGCCCAGATCACCTCGGGGATGATCAGGGGTAGCTGTGGAATCTTAGCAAAGTGCTCCTTCATACGTCGGGCATTGTTGGCCTCTTCTTGGAAGTCAAGCTCTTTAGGAAGGGAAACGTCCATCTCGGAGGAGAGCCACTCAAGATCATATTCGGGGAAAAATCGTTTCAAGGTCGAAAACGTGTACCGGGTAAGCGCAAGATCCAGGGGTGCCCATGCTTCCAGCTCAGGATGTTGAACCTTAACCGCAACCTTCTGATTTGACCCCTTGATGGATGCCAGATGCACCTGAGCAAGAGAGGCAGCACCAATTGGCTCAGGGGCGAAATCGGAGAAATAGTCCCAGAGCTCCTCTCCGGTATCCTTGCGAAACATATCCTCGATCGACTCAAGTGAAGATACAGGACACTTGTCTTGCAGGGGGATGAAGGTATTTGTCCATTCAGATGGTAGAAGGTAGTTCATGGCGCTCTGGCGTAGTAATTAGTCCGATCGCTCGAGCTCCAAGGTTGATGGAGTTCATACCAGATGCTGGCCGAGTTTGATAAAGATACCGCCGTTCTTTTCCAATACAACGAGGGTCCGTTCGGCGCATCGTTTGTGGCATGCCTTTAGCATATTCTCCTGTTCATCCTGATCTGCCGTCGTTTCTCTCGCGTTTAATGTTGTTCGGTAACTACTCAGCTTATCAGTTTCGTACCGCTTATCCCCAATGGCGAGTAACCACATACTCGTTGATACACACAGCGAGCGCAACCGCAACTCTACCTGTACGTTCCGCCGCCTCATAACTATTCTTGATGTCGTCGGTGAACGCAAGCGCAGTCGCGCCTACAGTTCCAACACCAGCCGAGGCATATAACAGCGGTCGTTTAGGGCCGGACTTGTGACCATTGTTCTTTCTCGAGCCTCTCCGTGATGCGAAACCTCTTGCGCTGACATCCCGGAAGGGCTTACTGCGGACCAATTGACTTCTACAAGTCGAGCAGGTCCATGATCGAGCGGCGATGCGATTCGCAAAGGCCGAAACAGATAAGGCGTTCATCTGACCGCCGATAGACTTTTAACAAGGAAAAATAGTATGTAGTAAGACAGAATCACTCATTCTTAAGAAAGAAAAGCTAGCGGGAAAGGAATGGAAACAGGTTGGCACCACAGAGGCCAGGCCTAGGCTTAGATCATGTCGTCAACCAAAATCAAGTCGACAGTTTTTTTGCTTGGGTGTGCCGATTCCGACAAACCTCCGTCCATCGCTCGGCTTGGGCCGGGGGCGGGGGACGAATTGGCCACCCGCCAGGCAGTATTTTCGAGAGGCGCCACGTCACGTGACTGCGCGACCGCGACTGTAACGCGTTAAGCTCACCTCTTTACACGACCACGCATCTCGAAATTACAACACAAAACCGTTGTACCACTCAAGCTCCCTCCAACATTTACTTCATATCGGACATTTACAATCCTATGCAGCGTAATCGCCAAAATTGTACAGTCAGAAATATGATGTCTTTTTCTCCCGCCCCCATTTTCTCCGGATCTTGGGACCACCACCCTGCTGTCTCGTCGCCGCTCTCATCTTCACCTGTGCGCGCATCATCGCCACTCTCACCAATTGACAGAAATGTGTGTCCGCATCGGCAAATTCAATCTTCTCCTATCAAGCCCCCAAAATTCAGATTTGCTTCGCGTCCTACTCGGCCAAATCCAGTGAACAGGAAGCGAGATGAGATACAAGAAGGAAGACGGGAGGTCTTCCTCCAGAATGTGCGACAGAGCCGTGAAGACAAGGCCTGGCAACGCAGAGACATAGAGGGACAGGTATGAAAAAATCACTTATATCGTATTACTATTGTTAATGTGATTACAGTTTCTAAAGACAAATTATCTCGCTGATCGAGGACAGCTGTCTCGTGATGCTCCTGACACTACCGAGGCTGATATCGAGGATGCCATGACTTTTTACCAAGAGCAACCTCCGATTCCGCAACAAGACGAGGATGAAACGATGATGGATGAGGAAGAGCAGCTCGAGGCGATGCTTGCATCCTATGAGGAACAGCAGATGGTTTCTTCACAACGGCCACCCTCGCCTCCGCTATCAGACGAAGACTATGATGATGTCTTTGCTGAGCTCATAGCGCAAGAACAATCCAAACAGAATACACCCTCCCGACCACAAGACCAGATGGACACTTCAGGAGATATTGAGATGCAATAATGTTCTTTCTAAGTTGCTTCCTTTTTTTTCTTCTTTTTCTTTTCAGTGTCTTGCGCGTTTGCTCGCTTGGAGTTGGGGTTGATCGGATCACCAAGGAAGGGACACGGCGTTTGGGAAGTGTCAGGTTGTATATCGTCAGATGTGCATAACTATTATTTTGAGACAGGGTATATAGATGGCCTGGAGGCAATATCCAGGTTCGTTATCTACTGAGGGTTGCAGGCCTCATCTCCTGGGTTGAGGGCATCTTGTGCCGACTGCATGTCTCCAACTAGATCAGATGGGGGTGACCCTGCTGCTTGCATCTGGACAACTTGTCAGTGACATAAATCTCACCAGTGAGAATGACAAGGAGATGAATCAAACCTTTTGCATCTTATCCACAATGAACTCACGGTCCGTCGCATTGGAATCCGAGTACGTCTTCTCTTCGAACTTAGCCACTATCTCGCGTACAATGGACTGTTGCTCCTCGTAGCGCTTCAAGTCCTCCTTCGGTGTCGAGTCACGATTCTTAATAAGCCATCCAGGGAATTTCTCATCAAGTTCCTTCATGGGCTCATAGAGAATTTCCTTGTTAGTAAGCTGTTCCATCATGCCCATAAGCATCTTGGAGAATTCCTCCTCACTGCCGTCGCCTCCCAGATCACCAAGGTCGCCTGAAGACAAATGCTTGAGCATCTCAGACATGAAATCATCAGCGGACCCCGAGGCAGCAGCAGCGGTAGCTTGGTCTCCCGAAGCTTGCATGCGCTCCATAGTTCGCTTGATAGTATCTTGGAACGATGCATCCTCAGGTGGTGTTTGAGAGGATGGTCCTTTGGAAGTGCTTGGAGGTGGCGCATCACCAGCGCCTTCTGCCGCGGCGATGTGCTTGAAGATATCTTCAAACTGTGCTTGCATATCAGGCTGTAACTGTATCAGCAATCATATTTGCGTTAGTCTTTCAAGATGAGATAAAACCCACGGACTGCTCAAGTTCTCCTAGTAGATCGGCCATACCAGCCTGCAGTTGCTTAGCAAATTCTTCTTCTGAGAACGCATCCTCGACTTCAGGCTGCTTGCCAGAAGCAGAACCTTTGGGAGCCTCTGATTTACTGGAGCCAGCAGCAGCTCCAGAAGGCTTAGGTTGATCCAGCTTGACGGTAGAGAACTCATCCAGCATATCTAAGAGCGGTCAGCCACGGTATCCTCATAGCTCTATGCCTCTTCACGGACCATCTAAATCGTCCAAGTCGTCTTCATCCGGGTCTGGAACCTCTTCCGTTTCATCGACAGGTATCGCGGCGTCCGGTGCTGGGGTTGGTAAAACGGTAGTCTCCTCTGCTACAGCCGCTGTCGTGGCGACTGCAGCCGCATCGTCTCTGGGGACCGCTCCTTGAGGAACGGGCTGTTGAGGGGCAGCTTTGGATGAGCCTTGAGGAACAGCATCCTCAGGAACAGCATCCTCAGGAACAGCATCCTCAGGAACAGCATCTCCAGCAGAAGTCCCATGTGAGGCAGCACTTAGAGGCTCTGATTCTAAAGGAGTCGCCGGTGAGAGACTTGAGGCCGGGGCATGAGCGGTTGGAGCATCAGGCATGAGAGTGTGAGATGAAGCCGGAGCATCAGCCTCGGCCTCGGCCTCGGCCTTGAGGTCTGTGGTATCCTTGATATCATCCTCTTTGTCCTCTTTCACCTCATCTTTGACGTCCTCCTTAACAGCCTCTTTGAGTTTCTCTGTGACCTCATCCTTCAAGGCGACTTCCGTATCTTTGTCTGCACCCATGATGATATCTGCCTTGTCTTTCCCAGTGCTCGAACGCTCCCACTTTTGCCAAAGGAAGCAGATGAAGTGAGACTGATGAGTCAGCCAAGTTCATATGATGCCTCAAAAGAAAGGTAAACAATAGCGGAAGGTTAGTAGAGTGAAGTTTTGTGTTGTAGGGGCCAAGTCGCAAGTGATTTTATACCTTGGTACGTGGGCAATCTGAGGGATGGATGCCCGCCCGCTTCCAGCTTAACTAAATCACTGAGCCGAGGTGACCTATGATACGGCGCTAGCAGGTTCGCACCTCAAGCTGCCGCTGATTAACATGGAGGTGGTGCCCCTCACTAGTACCTAAAGGATTCAGAAGGTCACCAAGCCGTAACAGCACCATCGTCCCTCCCGGGCCTACGGCGGAGGGCGGGAGGCACTGGGCATTTAGGTGACCACCTAGCGGGGTTTGCCGGAAAGGGATGCCCCGACTGGCGTCTTTTCAACCAACGACAACAGGTTCTGGCCTGTGCATCGAATCATCAACAAGACGTCGTTTCGTGAATTGTACCTCAGGATTGCGCAAAAAAGCACCGGCTTCGAGCTGACTTTCGATTTGTTTCTTTCTCGTCAGCTCTTTCCACTCCACAACATCTTCCTCACCCAACAACGCAAAGCCCGAGAGCTGTGCAAGCTCCTATCCGGCGACTTTTTATCCTGCCAGAACTTGTGTTGCACCTCAGCTTTCCGATCTCTCACGCGATCCTCGAGAATCTTTTTTTCTTCACATTCTTCGCCTACAAACCTTTCCGCCCTCATCCCACCTCTGATCGACTTCGCTGAACGACGGAATCATGGCGCTTTGCCAGAACCGGTTACAAGAGGAGAGGTGAGATTTGTACAAATTGCATAGTCTCCGGACTTGACTGAAATCTCAATAGGAAGCAGTGGCGACGAGACCATCCTTTCGGGTTCTACGCCAAGCCCCAGCGCACCAAAGAGGGTGTACTCGATGTCAAAAACTGGGAGTGCGGAATTCCTGGTAAAGAGAACACAATTTGGTCTGGTGGACTCTTCAAGTTGACCATTGCTTTCCCTGATGGTAAGTACCACATCCAAACACCGCACGAAATTCATTGGAGTACTAATATTTGTTCACCACAGAGTACCCTACGAAGCCCCCCAAGTGTAAAGGCCCTTTGAAACTACAATATATGAAGACGCAGTTGCTAATATAAGCACAGGCAAATTTGTTCCCCCGCTGTTCCACCCCAATGTCTACCCTTCAGGAACTGTCTGCTTGTCTATCCTCAACGAAGAAGAGGCTTGGAAGCCTGCGATCACCGTAAAACAAATTCTGCTTGGTATCCAGGACCTTCTCAACGACCCCAACCCCGAATCACCTGCCCAAGCGGAGGCGTACAACCTCTTCAAGAGAGATCGCGCCGAGTACGAGAAGCGGGTTCGCCGTACAGTTCGCGAGAACCCCACACCTTGATGGAAAATTCGGAGGCGTTGGGAGGGAAGAGACTTTTTAGACCAAATTTTTCTTTGTAAGGCACCTCAGGCTACGGCGTTTATAGGGAAATACCAAGGCGGAAAGTTACTCAGAGTCTATGAAGGGGACTCCACGCATTACGGAGGCATGCTATATATCACAGCATGACAAGAGGAGCTTGACGATACAGCAGGAAATAGGTGCTAGGCAACGTTATCAGAATCCTTTTTTATAGCGAGGAATGAGCAGGCAGTTCATCGCGATAGTGCGCTTTTTGAATTTTGTGAAAGTCTCTTTTCATCAAGAAACCACTTATCTCGGGACTCTCGAAGAGCCACTACCCTTATTGTTTCATATTTCTTGGATCTTCATCGGCGAGTGAATCACTTGCGGCTGCGTTGTCGGGATATGTCCAGGATCTGCCCCACTCACTCGGTTACGTCGCAAACAAGAGTGGGTGTCTTTCGTGTGGAAGCTGTCGTAGGAATTGACAGTACAGTCCTGATGGGAAGTTAAAATGAGAAGGCCTGAGTGATATGTGTAACGGGGCTGCCATATATGTACGTTTTGACGAACAGGTTCTTATACGAAATATCCCATATGTTCTACTCAACGTACGTTGACCTTCAATCTCAATGGCATAAGGCGTTTTAGTTTGATCAGAGCCTCTCAACGTTGGTCTTGTGACGCGACAATGAAAAACCGCACGCCCGCTGTATTCCCCTTATCAAGTATATATGTCAAAGTTTATTCAGATTATGTAACTGACCCAGGAACACCCAAGCTCCAAGGCCTCCTGCCGCCAATTAAGTCTGCCGAATTACAAGCCGAGATCGGCCAGGACATTTACTCACACTCAAAAATCTTCTGGCTTGGCTTGATTTGATAGCGCCAGAAAGCGGCTGAGCCGTTATCTATCAACGGACAGGTTCTTCCGTCCATACACAAGCGAGGAAGACGTCGACTCGAAATCAATTCAGGTAAACGAGTCGAGTTGTGTAGATCCTCACAGGACAATCAACTGGCCTGACATCTTCACTCATGCTGGTCACTATGATAGTGGGGAGATGCTCATCCGCGTCCGCAGCGGAGTATCTGGTGGATAACCTTAACAAGTTAAAGGCATCCATATGATTGTATCGGCCATGGCCATTAACCGCTAGTAACCTTGCGGCTTTGAGGTACTGGTACTGTCTGTACTTGTACCCTGGGTATCTTTTAGTAACGTACTTATCGCCTGTTCTGTGCCGGCGGAAGAGTGTGGAGTTTGCTATGACTCCTCTTTTTTTTTTCTCGCCCGAACTACTGCTAAATATTAATCTTGCCTCGCCCTTTCTCTCCCTCTTACCATTCTTCTTCAAGCACTCCCCTTCGTAATACACACATAACTTGCGCATTTTCCAGCAACCGCAAACATGTGTGGCATCTTCGCCTGTCATCGGTACGCTCCCTCCCCTGCGAAAATGAACATGGATCTGTTTTGGTGGTTTGGAGGGGCATGAGGACCCCGCCATCAATTGGGATAGGAATTGGAATTGAAATCACCCCGCGGTCGGAGGAGGAAAGGTATTGAAGAATTATGACATGACTAACATTTTGCGTCCCTGTAGTCATCCTGACGTGGAAAAGTTCAAGCCCACGGCTCTGAAGCTCGCAAAGCAGTATGTATCACTGTTCAACTAAGGCACCACCCTCGAAATTAACCTGAATTACGCAGAATCCGTCACCGTGGCCCTGACTGGAGTAAGTGAAAATCACCCCGATGTTACAGCCCTCGCACGATCGCAAATACTAAAGTCGAATGCCCAGGTGGAAGCGTGATTGCCAACCACACCAGTAAGCCCAATTGACTATCAAAGCACAAAAGCTTTTGGTTCTGACTCTCTTGTTTAGTTCTTTGCCATGAGCGTCTCAGCATTGTCGGCGTTGGTAAGTCGAAAGTCTTGCGCCTAGATGCAGCCTTCAGCTAACGACCGTTCTTCCAGAGTCTGGAGCCCAGCCCCTGACCAACGCTGACGACAGCATCATCCTTGCTGTCAACGGTGAGATCTACAACCATCGTCACATTCGAAAGAACCTCAAGGAGCAGTACCACTTCAAGACTACATCTGATTGCGAGGTTATCATCCCCTTGGTAAGAGGACCAATTGATGCATGACTTAAGGAAGAATGGCAGGCTCACAACGGATTGCCTGCAGTACACCGAGTTTGACACCGATTGCCCCAACCACCTCGATGGCATGTTCTCTTTTGTCCTCTACGACAAGAAGCAAGATCGCACAATTGCCGCCCGCGACCCTATTGGTATCACCACCTTCTACCAGGGCTGGTCCTCCAAGGAGCCCGGAACCGTTTACTTCGCCTCCGAGTTGAAGTGCTTGCACAGCGTTTGTGACAAGATCGTTGCTTTCCCCCCCGGTCACGTTTACGACTCCAAGACTGGCGAGACGACTCGCTACTTCAAGCCTTCTTGGTGGGACCCTAAGAAGGTTCCCAGCAACCCTGTCGATTACAAGGTTCTCCGACATGCTCTCGAGAAAGCTGTCCGAAAGCGACTCATGGCTGAAGTTCCCTTCGGCGTTCTCCTTTCTGGTGGCCTTGACTCGAGTCTGACAGCATCTATCGCCCAGCGTGAGGTCACCAGACTTCGAAAACAGGCTCTTGAGGCTAACGGCAACATCCTCCCTGTTGAAAACCCTGACACTGGTGAGGGTCTCGTTGGCATTGACGATGATGATCACCTCGATACTCTGACATACCTTCCCCAGCTCAACTCCTTCTCCATCGGACTGCCCGGTTCTCCGGACAACAAGGCCGCTCTTGAGGTCGCCAAGTTCCTTGGTACCAAGCACCACGTTATGACCTTCACCATTGAGGATGGCCTCAACGCTCTTTCAGATGTTATCTTTCACCTCGAGACCTACGATGTCACTACCATCCGAGCCTCCACCCCCATGTATCTCTTGTCACGAAAGATCAAGGCCATGGGTATCAAGATGGTTCTGAGTGGAGAGGGTAGCGACGAGATCTTCGGCGGCTACCTGTATTTTCACGCTGCCCCCGATAAGGAGGCTTTCCACGAGGAGACAGTTCGCCGTGTCAAGAACCTGCACTTGGCTGATTGCCTACGTGCCAACAAGTCCACCTCTGCTTGGGGCCTCGAAGCTCGTGTTCCCTTCCTCGACAAGGAGGTAAGTTGAGCTCTATTGCAGTAGTTAGTCCTGAGAAACTAACAGTGATAACAGTTCCTTGAAACAACGATGAACATCGATCCCCAGGAGAAGATGATCACCAAGGACAGACTTGAGAAGTACATCATTCGCAAGGCTTTCGACACCTCGGACGAGCCTGACGAGCAGCCTTATCTCCCCGACAACATCCTCTGGCGACAGAAGGAACAGTTCTCTGATGGTGTCGGCTACGGTTGGATCGATGCTCTCAAGGACAACGCCGAGAAGCACGTGACAGATGAGATGATGAAGAACCCCAAGCCTGAGTGGGGTAACGATATCCCTGATACCAAGGAGGCGTACGTTGAGACCGATTTCGTGCAGTTGAATGAGACTAACAAAGAATAGTTACTGGTACCGATGCATGTTTGACGAGCACTTCCCCCCTCACTGCGCGTCGACCGTCATGCGCTGGACTCCCACTTGGTCCAAGCAGACTGACCCCAGTGGCCGGTACGTAATTTCTCTATCCCCAGAGCTGGATGGACTCAGTGGTCCAAAAGGGAACACTATTTGCTAATGTTTTGTTGCAGAGCCATTTCCACTCACAACGCCAAATACGATAACGCAGCTTAATGATACAGCGAATCGAGCAAACATCAAGCACAGCAAGCTCGCTTGCCTCATTGTAACTTACAATACCCTATCAGAGGTGTCTGGCCCAAACGAATATAAGGTGTATTTCTGGGTGTCGTTCTCCTGGAAGTAGAGAAAAGGCGTCTTGGATCTTGCTTACCAACCAACCTTGGAATGATGATGATGGGAAAAGGTACGAAATGATAGGGACATGGGAACGAAAAATCAAGACAAAAGTTCTAGAAACAAAGAATCGCATCATTTGCATAGTGCAAGTGTCGGTGAATTGTCGCCATCATATTACATTCTGAAGTTGGTAGTAGGCGCATTGTGTCGCCTGAGTTGTTCATGCATGAAGGGTCTTGACGTGAAATGCTTGGAAAGATGGTGTGGCCAACTGACCAATAGACGACTAATGAAGTCGGACGTGGACATGTCCACTTCGGCCTTCAATGTACGGCTTCCATAAGAAGTGTTTATCAGGAAACTTCTTTGGTACAGGTAGTACCTCAACTACTCATCAAATTAATGGGTCAGATGTGACTGTTTAAGCTACTGGTAGTGGTCAGTCACTGATGGAGTCACATGAGTTGTTACTTGTTAGTCTCTGAGCTGTTCATGCGTTGACAACCTGGAAGCTGGAGATGGAATATGGATGAACATCATCATAAAGGACTCGTTGGGCAGCATGATTGCATGAAGTTGATGCCCCAAAACCTTACACAGTGGCATCTGTACGTAGCCAGAAATCAAGAGGATCAGGGAATGCCAACCTAGGTAGGTTGAGGTTGCGATTATTGATAGTCTGTCTTGTCGGAAATGGAGGTGGTCTGTTATCCAATTGACTTGTTTCTCTCCTCATTTGACCAACTCTTTCGTGGCCATCGTTCATTACCCCTCCACGTGGGCCCTGGTTCTGGGGGATATTGCTTAAATTAATTACATGATCTCCAGCTAAAAGCTGCCTTTTATCACCCGGCCAAGGGACAAGATGACACAGTCCCGACATCAGCCGACTTGGGCTATCCATGTGTTAATTCCTTGCAAGGCGCCGCACAGGGCATCTTCAGAGCCTAGCACACAAGAACTTCCCTAGGCATGCACCGAACCTGAGCTGGTTCCAGCGGGGTTCCCCAACAAGAAAACCCTGTGCAGGAGATCAGCCCTGTGTGAGTCTTTCAATCCTAAGTATTTTCTGCCAGGCTCCATCATCTCCCGCTCTCCTACCCGTTCGTTTCTCTCACATCTCTGTCGAAATTCTAACTTCATTTTCATCACAACTTTCCTTTGAGACTTATATCTTACGATACCATCCACCGCAACTATGTCTGTTCCCGCCTTCTCCGACATTGCCAAGCCGGCCAACGATGTATGCTTCTATCTCCCCTCCGTCGTCTTGACACTTCTCCATGCTCTGTTTTGATTTCTTGGGTTGTGACAATACCGAGACTTCAGCAGTTCATTTTTCGCTCTTTCGGAACTTATACCATAGAGTGAACTAGAGTATTAACCTCATGGCCCCTATGGCATTGATATGCTCAGCACAATCTATCGCTACTACAGATTTTTAATGTCCACGAGCTCTGCTAACTCTTGCGCCTCTTGCGCCGTTCATAGCTCCTCAACAAGGATTTCTACCATCTCTCTGCCACGACCTTCGAGTTCAAGGACACCGCTCCCAACGGTGTTGCCTTTAAGGTCACTGGCAAGTCGAGCCACGAGAAGGCTACCTCTGCTGCTGTGAGTATTCCTGTTCCCGCAAACTCAATGGCAGGCCGCTGTTCTTGTTCGGGGGTTCGGAAGCTAGTATTCGGTCAACCGCGGCTTTTCGTGCCGTTACCAACTCGATTTACTACATCTTCACCTCAAACGAGCTCTTGTCGAAACTCGAAAACGGCCTACCTTTTTTGAATGCTTTTTTCTTCCTTCCTTCAGGTGACTAACTTTAGTATTAAGATCGAGGGAAAATACACCGACAAACCTACCGGTACGACATCACCATCTTTTCCTTCAACACCTTCGCTTTCACCATCTCCGTCTCCACCACCCATGCCTAAACCCCGCCGCAAACAGAATCTCCCCTCTCTCAGCGTCTCGCGAATCCTCGGGCCTAAATCAGGCTGGCCGGTCGGATTTGCGACGCTTCTACAACCTGGCTATGCTCAGTTGCTAATGTTCTATTCCCGTACAGGCCTGACCCTTACCCAGACCTGGAACACCGCCAATGCTCTAGACACCAAGATCGAGGTCGCCGACTCCCTCGCCAAGGGCCTCAAGCTTGAGGGTCTCTTCAACTTCCTCCCTGCTACCGCCGCTAAGGGAGCCAAGTTCAACCTCCACTTTAAGCAGCCCGGTTTCCACGGCCGTGCCTTCTTCGACCTCCTCAAGGGCCCCGTTGCCAACGTCGACGCCGTTGTCGGCCACGAGGGTTTCCTAGCTGGTGCCTCCGCTGGCTATGATGCCAACAAGGCTGCCCTGACCGCCTACAGCGCCGCTGTTGGCTACGCTGCTCCCCAGTACAGCGCTGCCATCACTGCCTCTGATAACCTCAGCGTCTTCGCTGCCTCTTACTACCACAAGGTCAACTCCCAGGTCGAAGCTGGTGCCAAGGCTACCTGGAACTCCAAGACCGGCAACGCTGTCGGCCTTGAGGTTGCCAGCAAGTACCGCATCGACCCTGTCTCTTTCACCAAGGTTCGTACGATTAAACTCGGGGTGCCGTGGAAATACGTGACTGACTCGCGCTCCAAAATATAGGTCAAGATCAACGACCGTGGTATTGCTGCCCTTGCCTACAACGTCCTCCTCCGTGAGGGTGTTACCCTGGGTCTTGGTGGCTCTTTCGACACCCAGAAGCTCGACCAGGCTACCCACAAGCTCGGTGCTAGCTTCACCTTCGAGGGTTAGATTTCTCTCAAAAGTATTGAATCTCCCAATCTTCTAGCAGAAAGCCCTCGTTAGAATACCCGCTTCAGAGCTGTTCTACCCTCAACAGCTCCTTGTACCTTACAGGCTTGCATTGCGGTGGTCTCGAGGGATGTAGATTATGTCAAATAAAAAATCTCGAAGATCATATTATGGCAAGTCTTGATACGGCAACTGTGTCTGCCAAGTTGTTGTGCTCGTACAACCGGGGAATAAATCCCATCTATGAAGTGTTTTGAAGTAATGATACCGTTGAAAATTTAGGCATGACGAACGCAAAGCCTCGTATTGACACTTATCCTTCGAGAAAAGACCCGATCTTCCTGTCTCTAATGTACGCCTGTTTAACTCTTGTTTTTTTTTCGCTGCCCAATGCTCATGAGCTGAATATACACGAGAGGCGCCAATATTGCGGTAGCGAGAATGCCCGATATTATGATAAAATGGCCTGTGATGGTTGCCTGAGGCTCGAACTCAATGTCATCGTCGCCCATCGCGCGCCTTTGTCTTCTATCTTTGCGCCGTTGGTCCTCTCTTCGATGTGTTCGCGTATGACCCGCCTTATCAAAGTGAGGGACGTCATTGTGATGTCCAAAAGGGTCATCACCTGGTCCCATTCCCCCATGGGAAGACTCATGACTAAAAGGGTCATCCCATGGACTCTTCTGACGACTATGCGATCCGCCTTGTTCATGTGGTGATGTGCTTCCACCACCTGTACTCTCTTCATGCGCCTTGCGACGCTTATCTGCCTGCTCTCCCCAGCCTCCGCTGCGGTAGAAGCTAGGCGGCGGACCGCGAAAGGTGCCTCTCCTGCGACTTAAACCTGATGGTGCGCGACCGCCGGGCTGATGAGAGTGATAGGAGCCGCGATGGGGGTGAGTTTGTGGTGGGTGGTGGTGCAAACGAAGGGTATCGCGATCGTAGGCTGCTCGACGAGTCTTATCAGACAGAACAGTATATGATTCGGATATCAGAGAGAACGTCGAAGATGCGTTTGGATCAGATGGATTTGCGTCGGGATGGTGGGTTTTTGAGAGAGAATAGAAAGATCTGAACTGTTAGCTTTCCGCGTTCCATGAGCATCACAGGTAGCGACAATACTTTTTTATTTCCGCGGGTGTTGCATCGTGCCTTATATTAAGCCTTTCGTAGTGATTCTTATGTGCGACCTCATCATGCTGCCCTCTTCGCTGCTGAGCTCGCAGCCCAATTGCGGCGATGTTTGATGTCCGACACCGGAGCAGTCTGGCGCTACATGTTGAAAGAATTGGCGCTGGACGTAGGCTACAGAGGGAAGAGGGACGCAGCGGCATGCCGCATTACGGCCGAAGAAAGAGAATAACAAGAGAGGATAGAAGAGAAATCGGAAGGAAATCCGTTAGAAATGTTGCAGAAGATTGGTGTTAGTGGGTAGGAGGAGGTTCTTTCTTTTCGATGATGTAATCCCTGGAGGTAGTATGCGCCACGCGGGGTGATGCGCGTAGCGGGACAATTGATAGCTACCTTTAAGGTGTATGAAGGATGCGTTCATAGTCAATGACATCAATTGCTGCAGGATAAATTGTTTCCAAATCGTCATTAACTTCATTAAGATCGCTTCAGTAGCCCATATCCAATTTTGATCTATGGAGAGAGTCCTACGAACAGTGTTCTCTCAATATCGTAAGGCAACTCAGTTCAAACTTTACGTAGACTTACTTGACATAGATAAGTAATTGTTGGCGGTTGAAAGGTCATTACTACAAATATTTCATATACCAAGAAATAAAAAAATAAAAACCCCATGCACCTGTTGTTACACTAGCCCATTAAAACACCAATAACCCATGACCGTACCAGATGAAAGCCTATAGATTAATGGCCAAATTTCCACCACGTTGTCTTTTTCTTGGGAGTCTCAACCTCCTCACCCCTGGGGCGCTTCAAGGGATGAGCCTCAGTGTTGAGCACCCACTCGTCCAAGTTGATAACGCTGGGATCATCAAAGGTGAGGTAGAAGTACTTGATTGTTTCTGACATCCAGAAGGTCTAGCGAAAGTCAGTTTTTGCCAATAGTTTGAGAACGAGCGCAACCTACCTCCATGTTGTCACGCTTGTCGCTACCCTTCTTGTTCACGTCACTAATTGTAGCAAAAGCCTCTTGGGTCTCAGTCTGCTTGACGATGGCCTCCCACATGCGCCAAGCGGCAGTACGCCAGACGTCGTCGCCTGTGATGCGCCACATGTAAAAGACACTCTCGATAGCCTCAGGGCGCAGGCGGTATTCCGAGTTGCGAACACGAATGAAACCCTCGGGGAGCTTATCCTTCTTCTCCACAGGCTTGTCACTCCAGCGGCACTTGCTGGTGATGGACTCACAAGCTTCAAGCTGAGCAATTTCGGGCATAATATTGGTGGGGAAAGCATCGTATGCCCAGACACAGCCAGCGGTGAGACGAGAGCCGAGGTCAACGAAGTCGCTCCGTGAAAGGAGTTTACCAGCCAGGGCAAATGTACCACCGACAAAGCATGTCAAGTGCTGCATCTCAGCGGTTAGCTCAGGCTTGCTACCCTCGTCGCCCGCCAAAACATTGCCCGACATCAAGATATCCAGATCCTCGGGGTTACGAGGCTTATATAGAATATGCTTGACAGCAGTATCGAGAGCCTTGGTGGTCATCTCGACATATTCAGAATCCAGGCCACCCAACAAAGCATGCATCTTGGGTAAATATTCGTAAAGCGAATCTGCACCAGCGCCGAGGGTAAAGCGAGCTTCATCAACTTTCTCATCGCGGTAGTTCATAACATGGGGCCACAAGCCAGGAATTTTAGTCTTGTCCTGGTTGCGGTAGAAGAACTGCTTAATGCGCTCAGTGGCATCGTAGTACTTGGGGTTGCCAGTGATCTGGGACAGTCGGGTAAACTCGAGGCACATTGAGCCTCCCGCAGCGCCAGACATAGACTCGTCCGCCTGCTGGGAGCCACTCTTGGCAGCCTTGAAATAGAGCCAGTGGGATGGCAATCGATTAGGAGTATCGAACGCGGCGTACAGCATTTCGCCTAGCTCAATGGCCTTGCCGAGCAGAACAGCTTCGTCAGAAAGCTCATAGGCGGAGAGGAGGCCACCGAGATGACGGATAGCCACCTCGAACAGGTTGAGGTAGTCGTCGCCAGTCCGTGACCAATCGATCATGGCGACAACCTTGACGGCTTCCTTGAACTCATCCTTCATATCGAGAATCCATAGAGTGTCGAGTGCATCGACGATTTGCGCAGCCCAACCAGAAAATGTTGTCTTTCCACGGAGGGAGACGGGCGCGAGCTCATCCCAGCCCCACGCATGCTTCTTGTAAGCTTCCCAGCTCTTGGTAAATGCTTGCTTAATGGCTGCTTTCCTAGCAGTCGTTTCACTATCTTCCTTATATTCGTGGGTGCGCTCTTTCTGAATTCGTGGCAGTAGCTTAAAGGTGCCGTTCGGTGGGCTCTTGATATCCTCAACCGGGTGGAAGACCTGTTGCTTGCTCCAATCGTAGCTACTCGGAAGATAGTTGTATGTGCCAATTCTCACGGTACGATAGCGCTCGTATGGGCGAAAGTTATGGATCAGGAACCATGTGATAGCGATGAAGAGAAAGAGGCTAATGTAGCGACGACCTGGTCGTCCTTGAAATGTGGCCAACATGATTATGATATGTGCATTGCGGGTTGAAACTGTCAGATGTCGAAATGATGTAGTTATCTCACCTGGTTCAAGGCAGATAAAGAGGAATTGGATCAAAGGAGCGACGTGAAGGGCGAACTAAGCATGAAATAGAAAGCGAGTGATGGAAGCACCGCGTAGCGAACGTTAGGGAGGGAAAAGGGAAGAGCTACCTTAAGTTGCATGAGAAATATGTTATCTGGTAGTAATCAAGCACAGTACCGACCTTGGGGAATATCTTGTACCTCACTAAATGTGCGGCGCAGACGTGGAGGCTCAATAGCGAGACAGAAACAAGGGAGTGACATTGGTCCTGTTAGCGGAAGCCAAGCCCGCCAGCTCCAAGGGAGGGTTGCATATGCGCCTATAAGGGGGGGAGGCTTGCGTTAGTAGTTTATAGCTACCTAATGAGCCATGTACAACAAACCGCGAACGATTCTCGATAGGCATGGTGTTACAATTGCGACCATAACAATTAAATGTAAAGTCCATAGGCGCCCAGTCGCATCCGTTGACGACATTTTATGACAAAGCCAGCCTGTCCTGAGTCGCAGGAGCGTGACCTCACAAGTGCGTTTGTACCCAGGTAGATATCGACGTTTGGTGTAATGGTCCAGGCCCGGATAGTTTGTCGCCGGCCGCCACAACCATTCACACTTATTAGCACTACTGGGCAGACATTAAACCCCAAGCCCGCGAGCCCCTGGCCTAAAATCTTTCTCCTTTATTAGGTGTGGCTGAATTGTCTCACATACCTGATTCTCCTATGTCTTTTCCCTGAGAAGAGAATGGCCCAGAAGAAGGCACTTCAACGTCCAGGAATTATGTTGCCATAAGGTACCTGGTAGTTTGCGCACAGTAGGTATTGTGATAAAAGGCACAGTGGAATACCAACCTGGAATATGCCACCTTGTTGAGAAAGCCCATGGGACGCTTTTTCACATTCCATAAAAACCGCCCCTTGCTTCACCCAAGAACTTCCCTGCATCTGGAATGCACTTGTGCCTGCATTGGATGTTAAAGGTCAAAAGAACGGCTCAAGTTTGTTATCTATCTGGTAAAGACTGACTAAGGCCAACTCTAAATTTCAACGTAGGGTGCCAAAACACCAAACAAGTGAGTGACCCACAAGTCCTTCGATGGTGGGCGTTTGCCAGTATTATGTATACGGCGCATCTTCCAACATCTCATCTCATACGACGATACCTGAAGGCAGTCTGTCGTTGCTGGCCACTTCTCAATAACTCTTCTAATCACCACGCCCCGACCCTTCCACTATCGCACTGCTTTCTGAAGATCAAGACAATCTGCACCTGCCGGGCCTGCTACGACCCTATAAAGGCCGCCGTAGGTTGAGCCCCTGGCAACGCAACTCCCATGTCTTTGCCCTGGCCTATCCAGCCGGGCGTCACCCATGAGACGGACACGGCACGGTCTCC